GGAGCTTTCTGTTCTATCCTGAGGGACAGACAGTGAAACCATTGAACAGTGTCCGTCTTTTAAATCTTAAAAAGTTTTTTGCCGTTGTGTTATAGCTCCCCCGCTTCTTATTGAAAACACTGTTGCATCTCCAAAATTGTATGTATAAATCAATGCTGTTACTTCTCTCTAACTTTTCTCATGACATATGCTGCTGACATCTTGGCCAGATCACCCTTGTGAAAGAAATCATGATCTCAATGGGTTTTACCTGGTTGAATAGAAGTGAAATTAAATATTATCTTTACGTGATATTTAACCATAAAGCTAAAGTTTAAAACAGTTTTTCATATCATAGCTGACATCCTTTCAAAATAAAAATTGTTTAACAGTGGAAGAGTTATCCCCAATTTAATAAATCTAATAAAATAATTATATATTTCCTTGACAACATTTCACCAACTTTAAAGCTCCTGAGAGGAACTTTTGACAAATTTGAATAAAAGCAATCTTTACTTATCTCAGGCATGTCCAAACTATTCCACAAAGGACCGCATGGCTGCAGGTTTTTCTTCCAAACAAGCATTAGCACACCAGACTTGATTCATCTTGTCAGCTGATCGTAGTCTTTAGACAGCTAATTGATCAGACTGCTTAGTCTTGATTGGTTGGAAGAAAAACCTGTAGCCACATGGCCCTTTCTGGAAAAGTTTGGACATGCTTGATATATCTTGTCCTTTATACTTTTAAGACATGTCCTTTGATAATGAATCTCATCCTGCTGATATTTTGACTACCAAATCTATAACTTCTGTAAATATTCTCTGAGGGAATCATAAAAAACTGCAACTGCTTGACTGACATCCACCCCCTTACAGTTAGTGCTATTACATGCACAGAGTTAAGTCGCACTGAAGTCGTAGATTGTTCAGGCGATTTAACTGGACTGCTGTCCTTGTCCTAGTTTACAAGCACTGGGCAATAACCAAATTATTGACCTACACATGTCCGCCCTTGCTACATAGTTACGATCGAGTTGACATATCACTTATCAAAGGGGCTGGCTAAACGCGTGAGCAAGAGGCTAATGGGATTTATGTCAAAGGATGAAAACAACATCACTTTTACAGCTCTTTACTGTTTTTTTTTTTTTTTTTTTTAAATAAGAAGAACTTTGTCTTTTTAGTGCATTAAGGGTAACTTCAGTTAGACGAAGGCCATATATATATATATATATATAATTTTTTGTACATGTAAGCATACCGACTGGTTCAAGCATTAAGTATGACAATTTACAGTCTTGCTGCCAATGTTGTTTGCTTGTGTATAGCATAGGAAGGCATCATAATCTATTCAATCTATGTCATTAGCTTCTCACTGTAGCTTTAAATTACTCTTTAAAGGAGAAACATGGACAATGCTTGTCTCTTGACTTGTTCCTAACATTGATATGTCAGCATTTGTCCATGTGTTTGTATCTACCACTTACCACTGATTCTGTGCAGTACACTTTATACATCCATGGCTTTGCACTTATCTGACTTTTGCGCCCCCCAGTGAGATATTTAATTTGCTGTTGTTGTCCCCCTGTCATGTTTTCATTTGTCAACAGCTTCAATGTTAGCAAACACATCAGTCTGCTCGGGTCTCACTCGTGCTGAACTCATCTTTTTTGGCTCCAAGTCTGTTTTGCTCCACCTTGCGGGTGTAGCTTAATTTTGTTTGGGGCTGAGAGCTAAGTCACGGCCCTGCTGAGTATGAACTCTGCTCTGATGCTGATGGAGCACAACATTGCGTTGATGAACTGCTGATGATGTATTGCGTTGTGTGTAAATGAAATGTTTCTTGTGTCACTTTCCTGTCCTCAAAGGTCTGTGAGAGGCAGTGTCAACACAAAAGAAAAGCTGCATCAGTAACTTTTCAACCATATTACTACATGATTCAAATGTCTTGGATCGTGCAATAAAGACACAGTGTCTGGAAACTGGAATATTCAGCAGTATCTATCGGTCAGACTCTATATTAAACCCCCCTGCTTACCCCATTCCTTTGTGAAATAATTATGGCCTTCAAGGACAAAAACCACTTTCTCTTTCTTTGTCTTACAATACGCCAATGCAATGTGGTGGCCTTCATGAAAGGTGGCCTGCTTCTTGGAGGGTATAAAAGGCTCATTCAAATAAAAATGTAAAAAAAAAAAATCCAAATATACTCATGAACATAATATTCCACTTCTCTCAAGTCTGCTACCCTGAGGGCTGCTAATTACTGCACTCTGTACTTCAGCACATTTCCCGTTTTTTATCGAACTGTCATTTGATTGTAGCTTGCTTACTGTTAACCTTGCATCATGAGAATAATGTTTTATTGCAGGCCCGTGGATCAATATCACATTAAAAAAAGCAACAACATAGAAATTACAACAGCAGGAAGCAAAGATAGAGCAGCCGGAGTTCACATGTCACAGTAATTAAAACACAGACATTTGTTTTCATGTTTCCAAAAATAGGAGAAATAATGTGTGTTACTTCAAGTTAGTTGTGTGAGGAAAGGAAAACGCAGCTTCTGATGGTCTTTTTTTTATTCTTTAACAATTATAAAACACTCTTTTTGTTGTTCAACTTGATGTCATGCTGCTCACCATCACTACAGAAAACCCAGAGTAGTTGTTGTAAACCACCACTACAAAGTGATCAGCATGAATTAAATCACTAACAAGTCTATCTCCCATTACATTTCCAGTCTTAAAGGCTTTCAGCTGTTCCGAGAGATCATTCACACATAAATTAAAGGAGTAGAGCTGACAGAATCCAGACCCTATTCATCAGCGTGAAGGCTGCCAACAAACTCCTGCCCTATCAAAGTTGCATGGTTTGATGCAATTACAAGAAATGGAGTATCCTTATCAGACGGCGAGGAACCCCTTGCTTTCATAAGACCAATTGAAATTTTTTTTTGAATCATTTAGTTTATATTTTATTATGTATATGATTCACACATTCTACATACTAATTATTGAGTGGTTTCAAAAGAGAGTTAAACGTGGCGGATATCTCGACAGTTACCAAGCCTATCTTAGCAGGCGGCTAAACCATAAACTGCATAAAATATAGATATAGTCTCAGAGTCATCAGGGGTTTTTGTAGAGGAGCTTTAAGGCCCCTGGTGGTGGTTGCCACTTAAGCTAGCTCAAACTAATTCTTTGTCAATCTTGAAAAAAGCCAAGTGATGAAGTGAACGTGGATCTGAAGTGTCTTGGTGAACATCACAGTTCAATCAAGTCTTTCACTGCAAATTCATGCAAATGTCTTGATCATAATGACACAAAAGTAGATGGGTTTAAAGTAAAAAAATAGACCCTCTTTGCAGTGTGTTTGGTCAGAGAAACACACTGTTCGAAAGCTTTTTTTTATGTACCAAGCTGTAAACATGCTTATATCTGCAGCAGCAATTAGCTTTCTGAACACTGGTTTAATGGGATGTCATTGGCCTTTGGAGCCAGCGTCATGTGCACACTGGAAGAACTGCAATTATTTATTTATCCATTTTTTAAAATTAATATAGACTTCTGCGTGGGATGTTTTCAACATCCAACTTGAATGGGTTTAATATTGTATCTCTGAAAACTGGCTATTTGTACTTGATGTTATCTCCCTTCAGGTTTGATTAGGACTAGGGTGAAAGTAGATTTTGAAGGTTAAATCATCATTGCAGACAGCTTGGTTGTAACTACCAACATAGCCTCTCTGTCAATAATGTTGAATACAAACCTGATTGTCGGGTTGGTCGGATGATTTGTGGGTAAAAAGAACATGTACTCTAAATCTATTTCACTGAAGTGTCTGGTTGATGCACACAGGGGACCAAACCTTGAGTCTTAGTTTAACATTTTGATGCAATCAGAGCATCCGCAATCTGCTGAGAAACAGCAAAAAGAAACAATTTCCATCAAAAAGATTAAGAAATATTAAGAAACTAATCCTGGGGATTTAAATCAGCTTTGCCCTGTGCTCCTCTCAGAATAATAGAACTTTTCTGAGATTAAAAGACAAGACGATACGGATGAAAAGATCAGAAAGAGATGATGGTGTAGCAGAAAAACTGTTTAAAAAAAAAAGAACAGATTGCCACACAGGACTGATGTTTTCAGGTTAGGTAAAGAGGCTAATTTTGTTTTTATTTGTTTGTGCTCCCAAGCATTAGACCAACTAAATGAACCCCAAACGCCTTCGGCAGGAGCAGCATGATTCCTCAGTTTACCTGCCCTGCAGGCTGCTTTTGACAGTGCTGCTGCAGATTTATTCAACAACTTGTCAGCAGAGAAAAATAACAATTGCAGAACTTCCTTTGTTTTCATTGCGGCCATATTTGCTTGTACAATGAAAGGAGGAAAAAATATAGCGTGCTTGTCTGTCTAACCCACTTTCAAATCCTGTCTGTTACGCCCTGACACACACAGCAGTCAAACAGAAATGAAAAAGGCACGACAACATGAAGAGCAGAAAGGAAGGTTAGCTTTACTGACAACAGCATACAAATAAATAAATGTTTGACGGGTATCTTACGTTGATGCAATTTCACCTATTCAGATCTGCTTTACTCTAATATAAACACAGGTCATGCGAGCAACCTCAACATGCAATGATGTTTGTGATGTTTCGCAGTACACCCATTCATTTTTCTTTTCAGTGTAAAGAGGAAACAGTGAGGTGGTGGTGACATGTTTGAGGTGACAGATCAAGAACATGAAGTTTGTCTCTCTGAGGACTTGATGTATGGTGCATGGTTGAAACCAGCACCAGTTCAAATTCACACAATCTTGCATTTGGCATTGTTTATTCTACCCTTCATTTCAAGATCCATCAGGATTCATCACCCAAGTGGAGGAAACACTGAACCTTCTTTGAATCAACAGTTAACATAGTAGCCTTTAAGATGTTAGAAGTTTTATTGCGTGTTGAAGCCAATTAGAAATGAATGTACTGGATTATTGTTGAGATAACGAGCTTGGAAGTGACAGCATGGGGCCACCATCTGAGGCCTATGTTAATGAGCCAGTGCTTTTATTAAACTTGCCGCCAGGAGCTGTCAGAAGTATCCTGAACTCCTGGTGTGCTTCATCTACCTGGCGGACAGTTCGATTAGCCCAAAACAGAAGACTCAAGGCGGATGTCCTTTCATTACCCCGATTTTGGGGTAATATTAAGCAGGATTAAACTTCTCAGAATTGTTGTTCATCTATAAGGCTTACAATTACATGCAAGACAGCTGCTCTAGGCATACACTTTTTTCCAACTTTTTCAAGTATTAAAAAAGCCTGTTGGATCCCTAAAGGATTTATGAAGCAGATATGCCAGACAAGCATATGGCAGACACAGCACTGTGGTTACAGCTGAGATACATAACTCTGATATTGCTCACATTGATTTGGTTATAAACACTCAGTGTGTGTGTGTGTGTGTGTGTGTGTGTGTGTGTGTGTGTGAGGATAGACAGCGTGAAGCATGCTGATATCGATTCACTCGGACACTTGCTGTGGTATGCGTTTCCTGTGTACTTTATGGCTGCTGTAATTAGCTGCAGAGCCACTGGAGGACATGCAGGCACCTCTGTTCCTTCTTCGTTTTATCTATGTAAACTCATTTTCATGGTAAAATGGTTTTGTACTTGCAGCCTGTGTTTTTGCATTGAAAGATGTGCGCACTCACTTCTGCCAGGATTAACTATCAGAGCTGATAAACAGATTGGAAAAAAAAAAGTCTTGGGCGACGCTAAATGGCGATATGTATTCCAGGTGTGTCTCTGTAATCTCTTAAAGTGCAGTTTTTGCATCTGAAAGCAGATTGCATGCCCATGCAGCTCCTCAGCAATTAGGAGGCGAGTGTCAACAGTCAACCTTGGCCAAGTCTTAATGCTCCTTTGGCCGTCTCCAGCCCTTGAACTAACAACATCACTTCCTGAGTCCCCGGGGAGAGGAAAGTGAAGAGGCATTTCTGGCTGAGCTGTTTGGCTCCATCGCGCATCAGACAGAACAAATCGATTAACTTCGAGCACTGATTGAAAGCAATACACCTCAGAGAGAAGTAGCTCTGTCGCCGTGACAAGGTACCAGCAGAAGTATTAATGATAATGATCCTGAAATAAAGGACTCTGCTGCTGCTGTTGGATCACAACTAGCTCTCATCATGCTGCCCAGCCAATGCTAGATGAAGGCAGAGTTGCATTAGAAAAAACAAAGCTCCAACAGACAAAAAGCAATTCTTATGAGCTCCTTTTAATAAAAGAGAAGAATTAAATTAAGTCAAGCCAATTATTCACTCTGTGAGTAAGTATCTGCAGAGGAAGTTAATATTCTCTCACAGTTTAGGCCAAGTAGGGGTTTTTAATTTCCACAATGCTTTTGTTTATGTCTGAAAGAGTAATTTAATTCCCATCAGCTTCTTACTTTGCCTTTAGTGCTAATTAGAAAATATTAGCATGCTAAAAAGCTAACTCAAAAGAGTGTACATATCTGCTAGACGTCAGCATTTTTTGGACTGTCATTGTTAGCATAATGCCAAGCTAACATTAGCATTTCATTACAGCCTCATAAAGCTGCTCCCTGGAGCTAAAGATCGGTTTAGCTTGACTGGCATACAAAAGGAAATGATAAAACTCACAGTACCTTTACCTGTACCTGTAACTACTTTTATTTTACTCTTTGATGGGCTATTAGTTTAAACCTTGTTTCTGTTGTGTTACGGGGGGATGTTGGGGATGTATTTCCCCAGGTGTGGTGGTAATAAGAATATCTCAGGAATATAAATGAGCCAATAAGCCTTTGCTGGCTTCAGCTGTTGTGTGATTTGGCTGGCACGTTGTTGACACAGTATTAGTAGAGACTCAGGTAGAGGCTTGTTAGCTTAGCGGCTGCACAGGTGGGATCAGGCACAAATCTGGATGGGGAAGCAAGAAGTGAACATCAGGAATGAAACTACTGTAACAATGCAAACAGTGTTTCCAAATATTTACATGTAGGAGCAGGTTATCAGGAATTAAAATGATTTTGACAAATAGAGACAGGAGGCCTTGAAAGGAAGCAGGATGAGTCGGCACAATGTGAACAAGAGAGTTGTGTGTGTTACATTAAATGTGGAAAATACATTAGGCTTGCTGTGAGACTCATGTTTGGAAAGCCTGGCAGGAAGAAAAATCCTTCCTCTTCCAAAGTCTTGGAAGCAATGAGCGCCCATTCACTTCTCTATAACGTGGCTTAGGGATCATGTGACCACACATGCTTCCCAGCTCCAAGTGTACAGCAACTCTTTCCAGACGCCAATGGAAAACTACAGCTGTAGCTACTGTATTTCCTCCAACGCACTCCACAAAACTTTTTGGTCTCTCTCTTTCTTTGTGTGCGTCTCTTTGTCTCATTAGCTTGTGTCAGCATATTCCACAAACCCATCCCCCCTCCTCTGCCTTCTGAACTCTAACTCTGGATGGAAAGACTGAGACGCGAGGGAGGGGGAAAAAGAGAAGTCGTCTGAATATGTGTCAGTTGGCCAAATCAGCTCCACATGCTTGGCGTCATGGAGCAGGATGTGGCAGACTATCTACTGGTTCTTCATCTTGTTTTGTTTTTTCCTCTCTCCACAAACCCCCTTCCTTATCTCCCTCGGTAACTATCTTTCGCCCTCTTCTTTATGGACCCCATTCCCTCTCTTTATTGTGCCCTATTTTGTGCTTCCACCTCCGATGTCACCACAGGCAAATTAGACTTTAGTAATGTATTGCGGCGTCCTGCTCTGGTCTTAAATCGGAGGCACGCTCTGTGTGCGGCGGTGTTGTAACTTAAGTTTTTTGCTGCAGCAGTGGGAGCGTTTCAGCTCAATGCCTGGCAGTTTGACTTTATTCCATGGCTTATTGCTGCAATAATGCAGACCAGCAAACTGAGGAGCCCTGTTCGCGCACACACACACGCTGGTTTATTCATGCTGGGCTGGAGCCTCGGTTACATTACCAGTCAACAAGAGCCAGTGTTGGGTATTAAGCCAATTTAGTGATACACACTAGTGCATCGAGGCTTTTAATGACTATCAAAAGCGAGAGTCGCTCACGCTAATTCAGCACTGCATGCTAGACTGTGTTTTCATGCGACCACCCATCCATAAGAACTCATGGCTCTCTCTTTCCTCATTGATTGACTGATTTATATCGGCACTCATGCTTGAAATAGAATCCACTTCTTGTCTGTGGTGAAAATGCAAGGACTCGAGTGCACTCACTGTGTCCTCTCCTCGGCTCTGAGTGTGTGAGGCAGATGTTCGCTATGCATGTGCAAAGGTTCACTGACTGCAACTCTAAAGGTGAATACGAAAAACAAATACAAAAAGATAAAGTGTGCTTCTTTTTTCATTCTCTTTCTCTCTTTTCTTCACCAACCCCACCTACCCATCCTGTCTAGTCCTCCCCCCATTTCTCAGCCTTTCCTTCGCACCCCCATCCCTCATCCTCTTAGGGGAGCACGGGAGCATGCAGTGGAAAAAACTGAGCCAATAAAGACACTGCCAGAATCCATCCACTCCCTGTGCCTCATGTAGTTACTGAGGGAGAGAAAGAGTGGTGGAGCGGCTGGAAAGAGAGGCAAAAGTCCACCGTTAACATCTTAGATGGAGGAGGTTAGTGTAGAAAGGGAAGTAGGAGGTGTGAGGATAGGTGGGGAAGGGGGGTAGAATGAAGATGGATAGGCTTGGATGGTTGGAAGAAAGTTCTAAGAGGGAACATGTGGATGAACATATGGAGATGTACCCAGGGATGTTTGTGACGGAGAGTCTGGCCAGTCTTGGAGTCTCCCCTTGGGGGCTTTGCAACAGGTGCAATCCTTTACAGCCCCGCAGCTACAACTTTTATGTTTGTTAGTGGTGGAAAGCTCGAGAGTCCTCATGCTGTTATCGCACCGGATTGCCTTTCTGCTTAGTTTTAATTGGAGAAACTTAAGAACTTAGATTTGAAAGACCTAGTTTGAAAGTGCTGTCTTAAACAGATGTTCAACACGGAGGGCAGAGACGAGTTAAAGTTGAACAAAAGGTGAGATAAAATTTGGTTCAGGTGAGGTCTCTTCTCTCGTAAATCATTGAGTGTTTCCAGACTAACATACATTGCCGCCTGATTAGCTCATTGATCGTCTTTTTCAAAGATGGCCCCCTGCTGATTGCTGGAACTAGGCCAAACCCACCTACCATGCACAGTATGTGAGACGGTAACAGCACACACCATGACATGCAAGCACACCAAGCCTGGAAGTCCTAGACTAGTCTACCCAAGCTGTATCCAGAAGCCCTCCGTTCCCTGTCATTTTGTTTAACATCAGCACAGACTGATCCCAGATGAGGCCAATTTCATGGCAACCCGTACCCCCCCTCAGGCTCTGCATTTTACAATATCTCATTCAGGGATCCTTCACGGCACACTATCATTTTGTTTTTCCATTTTTTTTGTTTGTTTTCTTTTTGTGATGAAGCATTTATGATTATGTCTCTCAGGGTTGTCATAACAATTTACTCCCACAAGGCCAAGATATGAAAGGCTCATATGCATGTGAACTGGAGCATTTAGAGCAATTCTCATTGAAAGTGTGGTCACATGCTGCAGCATGGCCTGGTTTTTCTTGTAAGGAGAGAAGAGCTTTGAGAAAATGGAGGAGAAGACAAATCTATTATCTCGACGTCACTCTCAGGAGGCGTCAAAAACAGTATCCTTTCTTGTATTACACATAGACCATCATGATAATTGCATCCTTCTTGTCAGTCATTTTTCTTTGTCTTCCTCTCACAGGCAAAAAAAGACAAGAATATCTTCAAAAAGAGGTCTAACATTTGTTATCTCTAACCTTACTTTTCATCCGCAGATGTTGAGCAGAGCACCACCAGACTTTAAACTTTGGCTGTCTCTTAGGTCTGTCTCTGCACTTGAATCGATGAAATTTATTGACAATGACAAAGTGAAACAGGCAAAGTGTAAAGTAGTGTCTGTAAAGGGGCAAAGAAGAGATGACGTTGAATCCACAAGACCACAATGTTACATTAAAAAAGCTGGTTTTAGGAGATTGTATCATTTACACTTTCACACTACATTATTGAAATAGACTGTTAGAATGAGACTCTTATTTGATCGTTCAAAATCAAAATACCAATCTTTTGATCATTTTCTTTGTCAATGAAGTACTATAGTTGGTATAATTGATGGACATCGGAACAGGTCCATAAAATAAAGCCTAAAGATTTAGAGCACCTTCTCCATGTTAACAGATGGGACATGGGCCAGACTTTAAAATGAAATACATTCAGGACATTTCCAGGAATGGTTCTGTGGTTATAGTCATTATTATGTGTTTGATTTATTCACAAATATCCTTTTTTTCCCCCTGAGAATTGTAGTTTCAGAAGGTCATTTGATGAAATGAAATGGGGGATATAACCAGGATTACCAGTACAATTTACAAAAATGTCAATCTTTGCTGTGTAATCAGTAAGTTAAATATGTGGGGCGCCATGTGTACGCCGTGGATCTAAGCAGTGATCTCTTCAAATTTCCAAGATGGCCATGTCTTTTAAAGGGGGTTGTTTGGCTTTGTTTTTGAAGACAGAGAGTTCTGGATAGTTTTTCTCCATATTTTTAAAGAGTTAAAGTATAGCACGTAATGAACTGAGTTATTGCAGGTGTTAGCATGGAGCCTTATAGTGACTAAAGGCTTTGACACTTCTCTTAGTTGTACTGTTTCTTGGTAACAGAATGGGTCTTATCTGGGCTGAATCCCCACAGTGTTCACTCATTTGGAACTACTAAGTACCTCAAAGCTCCTGTGAAGGTGTTTTTTTTTCCTTCTTTAATCATAAAACAAACAGAAATCAATGTTGATACCTTTCTTTAATGTTCAAAAGCAAACCATGAGTTTAAAGTTTGATCTTTTTAATGTCTTAAACTGCAGCAAAGGTGTAAGTGTCAAAAGAAGTGATCACAAAAAAGAAGTAGCAAAAACATTCAGCAGTAAAGGTCCTCACTGAAGCTTTAAACTTTTAAAAAGAGTTTTGAAGTGGTTCAAAAGTGTAATCCTGATGGCTCTGACCCTCAAAAGCAAATCATACCAGTACCAAGAATTTGTTTACTTCAGCACCATTGTTTTCATGTGCATCCTCTCTGTAAATAAGTCAGTGAATGACTGGAAACAGGCTGATCAATCCAACAGCCAATTAATTGAGCAAATTATTGGCATTTTGAAATAACCATATTGACATTAACTCTCACATATGTCATCGTATTTTTTTTTGCAAGTGGTAAAACAAGTAAATGATGCCATCTGATACTGCTTTTGACACAAATGTAAGTCATCTTCAGGAACCTATAGCATAATCCCATAAATTCTGGATTAACTGGGATTCATGCATTGAATAATGGAATTAGACTCATAAATGATCACTACTTCTAACTCAAGGTTTGTCTTTTTATCATGGTTTTATTACCAACTGAATAAAGAGAGGCCTATTTTTGATGAATATTACAGACAAATGTGCCTGCCAGGGTGAGCGAAAAGATAAAAAGTGGAGGAACTGAAATGGCAAATTGAAGCGTAACAGTCAGATACACTCGTTAATTTTAGGTGATCAATCTATGCTATTTTTTTATTATTTCAAACTGTCTATATAAAAACTCAATATCGCATAAAGCACAGAACTACTTGAGCTTGATGCTAATAGGTGAATGTCATTACTTTTACATGTATTTATCATCAAGTAAACTATTGCACATCTCAAATTTCTTACAGATGAAAGAGTCGGATATAGATGTAAAGGATTTTCAAGTTTCTTATAACTTGAATCATATTTTTTTCTGAAATAAACTATCAACAGCCTTGCCCAACATTTCATTCAAAGCCATAAATGTGAATCTCAGAATAGCAAAGAAACAAATGACAGTCTTTTTTAAGGGAACATCATCTCGGGAACACAAGCTTCCTAGCTGAACTGTCCGTCTACAAGGTATATGATGAGATATTTCACAACCTTTACAGATTGTTCTTTCTGGGACAAAAAAAAAAAGCGCAATTTCTGTTAAGGGAAAGTTGATGGTTTTGAATAAAAATAAAAAAATCAGGTTTTGCAATGGAGTATGAGGAATATAAAAATGTTCCAAATTTGATTAGCAAAATTGGACTCTGAAAAACTCTAACTTTAATATTTTTGTTGTCAAGGATACACAAGAATTAATTTGCAAATCAAATTTGGGATTTTTACTTGACAAGATCTGAGCCTTCTGAACTTGCATTTTTGAAGGAAGTTATTTAAAACATGAAGGTTACAGTGAACAGCAAATGACTTTACTGCTATTAATTACTCCAATATTATTAGGATATAATAAAACATAAATCCACACTCACTCACCCGTAGCTGAGCACATGTTCTCTAGACTGTAGCTTTGTGTACTCTTAGGTTGTTAGGTCACATCTGGGTCAACATGTTGTTCAAAGGTCGCAGCACCCCAAGGCAGCTGCAGAAGCCGTTGAACGCAGTGTAAGCAGCCAGAAAAGCAATGCTGGAGTTCACTAAATTACTGTCAAGCCCACTTTTCTGTTCTCCTCTTTGTGCTTTTATTTTCCCGAAGTGTGAGGTTATTGCTAATGAGGAAGTCAGAGATAATGACTTGGTAGTGGAGTTGACCTCTGAGTAGAGGACAGGAATGAATACATTGGAGATGGGAACACTTCTCAGCACCTATTGAACCACAGCATTGGGGGAGGGCGGCAGACATAAATCAAATGCCAAAGTAATATTTATTCACCTCCTGAACTATTTACTAACTGACAATAAAGACTGAATTTATGTGGCAGTTACGAGTGTTTCCGGGCTGCAAACTGGGGCGCAATAAAACCCAGTGATAAAACAATATGGAAGCTGTAGACCTGACCATCAATCACTGGTAAGTGTGATCAGTAAGTTCATTAAGCTAAATGGAAAAAATTCCTCTTTATATTACACAAGACATACTGCCTCAATGCCTCTCTCTTATCGTACATTGCTTCAAGCGACCAGAGAAGATCTGTACTTTATAATGTCACTGTGTTAGATGTCAGTACAAAACCTGGGCAAAGTTCTGGCTCTAATTCTAATCCTGAGAACTTTAGGAGACCTGGACTGAACCTGGAGTCATGCTCTGTCATCTTTTGGACAATGTTTGAGGACAGGGCCACCCTGCAGCTCTGTCAAAGACACACCCACCTAGAGGCAAGAGGGTCAAAACTATAAAATGCAATATAAAACTGCAAGTCCGTCTTACTCTGCAGTTAGAATCTAAGTGTGATAGGTGAAGAAGGGGAAAGTGAGGGAGAAAAGATGCCCAGGGTTCATCTCCAGGACTTTGGAGAAGGTGATGTCAGGGTGGGATCTCTTACAGACAAGGGGGAGGACCTGAGTGGGGGAGAGGGAGTGTTGAAAGAGACAGGAAGAGAATCGACAACGAGAGAAGAAAAAGTTAGGAGGATTGAAGGCAGAGAAGGGTGGGAGAAGGAGAGAGAGTGAGTGAGTTTTGGGACTTTGGAGAAGCGTGCGTGAGAGAAGAGAGAGGGAAAGAGAGAGACTGAGAGAGAAGAGAAAGAGGGGAGGGGAAAAGTTCGACACGGACAATCCCGCAGAAAGTTTTTTCTTCTTCTCTTTCTTCGTGGAAGACGCTTCAAGAAAAAAGGAAGACAATAACTCACGCTGGATTATTTCAGATTTCCATCGCAGCACGGGATTTTCTATCTGCTCCCTGGATACGTTTACGCATCTTTATCGGATTAATGTGGACCCGAATTTGTGGATTTATCACTGGTTGAAGGTATGTTTTTAAAATGATGGCTTTTAGGATGCCTGAAGCGTCAAACTACGGTTTTGAAAAGTTTTGTTCTGCCTCAGCATGGTTTCAGTCAAGGCAGAAATACTGCACAGAAGTTTGGAAAGTTTCTGCAGTGAAACTCTGAGAAAGTGTTGTAGTTGGTGAGTCTTACAGGCAGCTGTTTTGTAAATCTTGTGGGATTATCATTGGTGTATTTTACGGCCTTTAGAGTCATTTTACGCAAAAACATGGTAAATAAGTGCAAAATCTCTTGCAATGTATCTGCATTGATCTCCACACAGCAGCTATCACAAATAAGTGTTTTTACATCTTTGTGTAGAATTTTCTTACACCAACAAAACCGCAACTAGTTTGAATGAAGAGATGAGGCAGATTTTCCCTGCATATTGAAGTCAGGTCTTAATACAACACCCAAGTGGATGACTTAATACTGTAAATCTTCATGGCCTGAGTCCAACCCCCTGTGGCATGGAAAAGACACCAAGCAGAGCAGCACTGTGTTGGGATCTGCTACATGCATATCATTAAAACTAAGTAATGTCTGTGCATAGCTCACAACTGATCTGAGATTGAACTTTTTTTTCCCTTTACCTTGGAAGAAAGGAAAAGTGCTGCAGGGAAAGCTTTTACGCGACAACAGCCACATCTGTTTTTCTCATGACTAAACCATCCCATGTTTTCAGGCTTTTTGCATCCTGCCTCTACACCCCACAAAGAAGCCCTTGGGAGTTCTGGAAAGTTTTTCTGCAAATCCCCTCTCTTCTAAATGTGGAAAAACTCAATGCTGCATGTGTTTAATTTTCCAGAGTGCTGCCTCTTTAGAGATAGCAAGATTTATTTGTCTGATCTGGCTCCTTATTGTTGCCTCCTCACCTTCAGATATCTGTCCTTGAAGCAGTACATTTTTAAAAAATCATGGACTTAAAAAAGGTTGTAGTCTGCAGTTTCTCCAGGGACTCTCTTCCCCTGCAGTTACAGGTTCTCCTCCATCTTCAGTGCCCGGGGAATTAAACCTTGTAAACGGTACAAATGGCCGACCTTGAATTTAACCACACATTAGGTGTTGCTCCGTTAACCTGTTGCTGGCTGCACATGCAGTGTTAAGCTACTTACTGCTTAGCACTTGAAGCCTGTATTATGGGCCTGCCTGCAGCTAATTGCACCATCAGCTTGCTTGTTCTGGTCAGTCAGCACATTCATCAGAAATGCAAAGATGGAGAAAAGCAGCAAGTCAGCTGCTTGTTGAGGGCGGACCAAACCAATCGTGAAGGTGTCACTAAATGTCTTTGCTTTTATGAGGCGATGAAACTCACTGGCAGCCCACAGTGGGGTTGGTTGTCTGTATTTAACACTCCCTGCTTTTGTTTGCGATCTGCAACTGCACTGGCCTGTCTTTCATTCACAAGTATTCAAGTACAGGCCCTGAACACTGCCCAGAATGTAAGACTAGTAAAAACTTGCCTCAGTGTCTTGGGCGCCTTACAGTATTGGGCTGCCTTTGCTAGTTTGCAAGCTTGCATCGCCTCTGATTCCTGGATATCTAGAGTATCCATCAAGGCCTAAGGACTTCTTTAATGACTTTGATTCACTGCTACTTTCCCGCTGCAACAGGCTTGTAATGCGCTCTAATGCTTGGCCTGAAGTTACAGGAGCTAATGTATGCATACCGCTATAGACATTTAACATTAAAACAGAAAAACTACTCTCATATCTTGAAAAAGATCTCTGGAAGTAAAATGTTTCATCATTATGAGTGAAGTCAGTGACCACCTTTTAGTGAGTGATTTGTTACGCTAGCTAGCTCTGTAATTAGCCAAGTCCTACAGTCAGCCAGTTGTGTCCAGACGGAGATGCCACAAGTTCTTTTTCATCAGTTGCTTATTTGCTTCATAAATATTCCCGGTCCCCATGATGAGTCTTTGTAAAAGTACTCACCATGTCCAGACCTGAGTCTAACACAATCTAGAGTTTTATAGAAAAACTCTATCGGATGGTTTTCCATGCAGTTATCAACAGACATTTGTATTCCTCCCAGTCGCCTTTGTCGTTGCAAACTTTTGAGATGCTTTGACTTTCACTCCAGATTATTTAGATCCATCTCGATTTTGAAATGATGGACTTTACATAAAAAAGTTCCTAAAGTTAGTTTTCAGCCTGAACTTATGACTTAAAACATCCAAAACTCGGACTGGACTTTGCATTAAGTTGAAAAATTAGCATCCTGATCTGTTAGCCTAGCATACGAGTGTTAGCATTTAGCTCAAAGCCCTGACCAGACAGGGCAGATACAGACTCTGTAGTGTATGCAAAATGCTGACTCGAGTCTTGGTTTTCAGGACATGACCTAACTTTTATTCAAGCGCTGATGACTCAGACTTGGACTGGGACTCTAGTAGTGACTGTAATTGGACTCAGAAGATGAAGGGGAAGACTCAGTCTTAGTCACTGACTGGGAAAGACTAGTTAACTGTTTTTGTTAGCTTTCAAATACACATGTGTTTGTCTGCATGGACATCCACGTGTTGTCTGCTCTTACGCCGCAATTATTTGCTTTCAAACCACAAAATTCATCCAAGACCATTGCAACATGTGAGACATATAAAAGAACTATCAAGGAAAAGACCAGGATGCATTCAGAGAAGTCAGAGGGATTAGGAGGACAGGGACTTGGGGTTTGCTACTCAACCACCGCATTGCAAATTACATGTTTGTGAATTCATGCCTAACATGCACTATAGAAAACAGAATGCCAACTTCCCACAAACAAGAAGAGCTTCTTTGGTTGGTTCATGGTGTTTCTGATTTATTAACAAGAATAAGATCAAGAATATGCTGCACAATATACAGCACAAAAGATTTGCAGCTAGTTTTCTTGTCTAGTATAGGATCATTTGAAGTGCAGACAGGCTGATAACAAGCTCCGGGCTGTGCTCAGATGTTGGAACGGGGACACATGAACTCTGGCAGACCACAAAATTTACATTGTGCTGTTACATGAGCTCTGGCAGACATGGGGAAACCCTGCCAAGAGCACGTGTTGGCTTCAAATACTGCCTCTTAAATCTACAACCATAAATATGTTCAGCGTTATCTTAATGTACATTTGATGTCACTGAATGGAATCATGCATGTGCATCTACTTTTTTATTACAGCATAAAGGCTGTCTGTTACTTGGCTGTATACCAGTCAATTTATTTGGTGAACTTTCCCACAAACTTTTTACTCAGGAGGGTTTTCCAGGAGGAGACAGAGGTCACAACCTCTCAAACTGATCAGTAGATGGTTTTCACAGCATTGCACTCAAAGCAGCCCTTACTGTATGTGTTTGTATGAGTGAAACAGAGCTGGATAGATTCGAAGCTGGTACCCTGTAAGCGAGCTGTCCATCACTCTTCTTGTTTAAGAATGCAGGAGGAGACAGCTGGAGAGGCAGTGAACCCTCGAATATTACAGGACTGGAGCATTTATGCTGGGTTTTCCCATTTAAACAGATGCAAAGCAGTCTAAACAGCGGGCTTCTGGTTCACTGTTATTTAATCATCCGTGGCTTGGTAGCTAATAAGCAATTCTCTTGTCAAGCCATAGAGAGGACATGTTTCATTTAACTCTGTAAGAGTGTGTTCCTCTAAACAGGCTGCTGTTAAGGCTGTTGTTCCATCTGTAAGCGGCAGCAATGATGATGAAATGTGTGACAACAAAAATCGCTAAGCGCTCAGCACAAATTACCTACGACCATTGTCATACAGATCAGCCTCAGTGCATCTTTTGTCTGGGTATCCGAGCCATAAAATGCCTGGAACTGATAGCTTTAGCGGAATTAGAAATTGGGCAGTAGTTCATGACCTAGAACTAGAATGACTCCCAGGACTGTTAAGTGAGTCTATCTTCCAGGGAGACACATTTTTGTTGTCAGAAATAGGAATGAAAGTTGTGTTGTGATTGTCCACTACTATCTGGCGGTTGTGCTCAAGCCTGTAAGCGCTGGAAGATTTTCAAGATCTGTCACTGTTTTCCTTCCTGTATTGGCCTCGTACTCAGTGACCCGATCGCTCGCAGGTCCGCTCACCGGGCTCATGGCCAAACCAGCGGCCATGCCCAGTGTCCTAACCCTGCGCTGGCTTTATCTGCCATGGCCAGATGGGTGGCCGTGGAGCTGCAGATGGAGTACAAAAAGAGAAGAGGAGAAAGAGTCGTCCATGGCAGAGCATATTAGGAAGCTTTTTAAACTGTTTTGGATTATAGCCAAACAATAATAGCAATGAGCTGTAACTTTTCCTCCAGCCTGTGTTCTCTGGGCTGTGATGCATTATGTATTATGTACTGTGTGAACTTTCTTATTATTGTGATCATGTGGCATGAAGCCTGTAATAACTGTTGCAGCTTTAGAGTGCTCAAAGTTAGCTGTCTCCGGTTTTGATTAACCTTCCACCCAACCATCTACGAGGGGAACTATTACTCTGAAAGCTTATTTCTTGCTTTTTTCGCTCGCAGCTTCTGTCTGTGCTGTCAAAAGTTGTGCACACAGACAACATGGACAGTCGCTTGATCTCGGTAACCCCGCTAACCCGGCCTTTAAAATCGTGAGGGAAAAAAAAAGCGAAACATATGAATAATTCACAACGTGGGGCAGATCAAGCTGTCCTTTTTCTTGCAGAACATAATTCGTAACATTGCCCTCCGCCGCATTGTCTGTTAGCAACACACTACATGAGCAGTCAGGTCGAGCTAGATGCTATTCACACCGTGTCCTCAAACCAAGCAGGAGGCGCCACATTGTGTACCCCCAGGGGAGTGTGGGGGTCATTTCTCGGGGCAGACGGGACAGGTGTGCGAAGAGAGACACAGTCTGCTCGCCTGTCTGCCCGCCTTTAGGGCCCTGCTGTACCTGTAAACAGTGCAGAGTTATGGGGTCCTCACACATGCTGGGGGCGAGTCCAGGTCAGCAGGGATGTGTTTATGCGAGTCTGTGTGGGCGTTTTCGATGTGTGTTTATGATAAAGATGTTGCAGAGTTGGACTCCCATTTTTACGTGTGCCTGAATGCGTGTGTGTGCGCTTGTTATTGGGCCACGTGGAAGCATCTGGTGCAACACAACCCCGGCTCCAGTAGAATAGTCTCCAGATGTGTTTGTGTGTTTTGGCCCCACTGTCTGTTTGACTGAAAACCAAGCTGCCTGCATGCAAATCATCCTACTTTCATGTGTGTGTATCCCTCTATTGTGTCGCAAACACAGTCTTTATCTTTTGTGTTTTCCTCAACTTTCAGACTGTTTTCTACTGCGGTCAAATGTGGCTGCCAGTCCACTTTCTCAGACTTATCCCAATGCATGCTTGTGTGAGTGTGTGTTAAAGCAGCTGCCCAGTCAGAGGCCAACCAGATGGACAGGATAATGACCATGATCAGACTTTATAGAGTTACGCTCCTTAATGAGGGACATTCTGCTTAATTCATATGCCACTAACAAAGCCAGCGTCATACCACATAATTAACACATCAACTGTGACTGACTCATAAATATACATCAATGTCTATTTAGGAGTCAAGCATAATGCGCAGCTGTCCCCAGCATAGGCAGACTGGGTGGCATGCCGACAGAATGTGGGAAGGGTTTGACTTTTTGACTTTCTTTTTTTTCTCTTTGTTCGTCCATCAGCTGGTGGGCAGAGGCCAGGTGAGGTGAGGAGGAGAGGTGAGGTGTTTTACAGAGGAGCGAAACCATGTGGCTCCTCTGCTCTTGTCTGACGCTGTTGGCCATCAGCTTCGGATCATGTGACACGCTGACATCAGAGCAAGGTGAGTCTGCTTCCTGTTTGACCTCTAAAAAACCGATGTTATTTCCAGAACAAAACTGTGCTTTACTTTTGAACCACATCATTTCCTATCTTCTCAGGACAGGACAAAAAGACAGTAATCATCTTATATCTGAATTTCAAAGATCCTTCAAGGAACTTTTGGCACCCCCTTGTGAACAAACCAATCTTTGCTTGTGTCTTCGAAAATCTTGAGTAGTTTTTATTGTGAAAACTTTGAATGGAAATTGTAAAACCAGGACTGTTCCTTCAGCTGCTTGGCTGACACCTACCCCCTTACACCATTTTCATAAAAAAAAAAAAAAAAAAATTATGAATCTTGTTAATGTGTTTGGTATTATGAATTGTCTAAGCTATGATGCAGCTAGCTGCCTTTAGTTTGGGCTGTAGCTCAGGTTAATGACTACTGCCATAATACTGTCACACCTGGATGTAAACCAACAAGAATGGCAGCTGGAATCATGAAGCAGTATTTGATCTAGTAAAATGGAGATACAGCTATGTATACAGGTTTGTGTATGGTTAAATGGGCGTATAAAAACTTAATGAGAGAAATTCAGGTGTTTGCCTCCAAAGAGGACTTAACAACACAGATTCCTTTGTATGTCTCTTTTTTTTTTGCACAACTCATTAAAATGCACAGGAAGTTGTTACTTTAGTTTCTTTGAGATGCTGGTATGCAGATTCAAGGGCAAACTGGTCCTCTCTTAGTTGAAACAAACTCTGTATTTATTTCACCCCAGAGCAGCTTCCCTCGGATTAAAACTCATACTCTGGTCTCCCTCTGCATTGAGTCACGGCCCAAAGCTGGTGCAGACTTCTTGACACCCCCATAAGTTAAGTCTTGCTCACTTCAGCTGGGAGTGTTCCACCACATACTGTAGATTTAGTGTGATACGGATATTTTTGTCCTCAGGCACGACAAAGTATGTCTTAAAAAATGTCAAATTATAGCTATGCAAAGTGCAATTTACGATCAAAATTTGATTAAAGAGACATCATAAAAGTAGAAGTTTAAGTTCGCAACTGGATTTTTGGTGTGCAAAACCAATACAGATCGTCAGTGTCTCGAGTCAATCACAACAACACCCGCAGCATGGGCTGTTATTTGCTGTGGCCACTGTGCTCACTTGAAAAAGTGTCACCAAACGAAAGCAAATACTGCACACAGGGCAATTTTAATGAGACTTAAAGGTCACTTATGGAAGGAAGTGGAAGTATCATGGGATGGCTTGCTTTAATGTTGTGACAGTAAACAGTGTTGAGGTTGTGAGTGCTGCCAGCACAGAAAAAAGACGTTAGTGGGCATGGGTCCATAAATAAATTAATGGCATTATCTTGTTTTGAAAGCCAGTGTTCTGCTTTATCAAACTACTTTTAATAATGCATTTAATTCATTGATCTTAACCTAGTTATCAGAATCATGCCCCACAGAAATAAAAAGGTAGAAGCTTCCCAGAGCACAGAATGAAGAAAAATGACTGACATTTCTAAAAGTCCACATGACAAGAAATGAACTACATAAATATTTTGACTGCTTATTTTAAACAAAAATAGTGACTGCATTTTTTCCCTTATAGGACAGACTTGTCCCTGCTGACATTAAAAAGTGAAAAAGACACTGAAGTTAAAAACAAGGATGAGAAACTGCACGTTTTTTGGAGTTGTATGCCGACCACCTCCTCAGCCCATCAGAGTTTGATGGACCTGCCTATGTCTCTGTCTTTGTGTGTGTGTGTGTGTGTGTGTGCGTGTGCGTGAGTGAGAGAGACTTGAGTGCACAATGGAGCCTGAGGCCACAATGAAAGTGGACTTGAAATTACAGCTTCTGTCTGTTTGATGTTGGTTGCTGTGGGTGGCAGGCTGGTTAGGCTGTGGCAAGGAGACGCGTGTGTTTATCATTTGAGGTTTTGTTCCTCCATCGGAGCCATCAATCATCCTGTGCTTTTACATGTTTATATAGGAGAAACATGCCTTTTTCTGCTTGATTATATACGGCATTGCAGGCTTTTTTCAAATGCTATGGCATACTGAAACCCAGGTGTTTGAATGTATGTGTGTGTGACGGAGACAAAACCAGCAAACCAAGAAATCAAGAGGTAGACAGGTGAAGAGAAATGTCTTTTATTTTCCCGTTTTATTTATTTATTTCATTCTCAACTGTCATACTTTCTCATCACACTGTCGGCGCGTTCTCAGGGGCCTGCTCTGTAATATCACTTGGGGGGAGAGCAATCCTCTATAGCTCCCAGAGCTCTGAAGGGAGCTTTGTGGATGTGGTGGTCCCTCTTGGGAGACCCTTGTCAGAGATTTTCAGATGAGACTGAGTCAGCCTGCAGCTCCCTCGAGTCCTTCCCCCAGCGGTTGGAGGAAAGTGCTTTCTCAAGTGCAGCTATAACATTTTGTCGCACCCCACACACACACACACACACACACACACACACGCACAATTCCTCTGACTCATCCAAATCTCCATTCACTGGTAATTTGCTGACATTACAGGAGGAACATATTAAGTAAAACTAGTGTTGAGGAGCTGAGCTGGATGATTGCGCTGCAGTTTTGCGGTGTATAACCAAGAGACTAGTCCCCATAACTGAATTTAATTGCTCAAATTTCCTGCCTTTGGTAGTGCTGCTGATCTGAGTCTCTGTACACCTTGTACCCTATACAGTCTGAAGTAAGAGTTTTATATATTGATTAGTTTTGACTCAGTTTTCCCCTGTCTGTGTTTGAGCTTAATTGAAAGTTAGCCAGTGCAATGCAGTAAAAGCCAGTTCGTACTGAAACGAAAATCAGAGGCGACAAGAAGCTCACAGCGAAAGCAGAATTCAGTCCCAGGCTACAAGAATAATAAAGTTTTTCTGTAGGTACAACATAAGAGAAAACTTTGCACTTTTCTGTGGTTAAGAGAATGATTGGAAAGTTAGATCCTTTACCCTATTGCAAAATAAAAGACATGTAAAAATTGTCGCCTTAGGGGTTGACCAATATTGTTTTTTGCAAGGACCACAAAGATTACGGTTACTGGTGGTTAACCGAACTGAAAAATGAAAATTTTGCATCCCTTTATTAAATGTTTGATCCAAACAGAAACTTTCAAAACTATACAGGAAGTTAGAGTTAGGAGTACCTTCATGTCATACCAAAATTTACCACAGATTTTAAGTGATTAGTCTGGCCAATCAGTGTTGTGGGCAGGGTAACTGAAAACTCTAACCCCCAATTTCCACCGCATCCGGAACAGCTCTGCTGTGGAATGGCGGCTCCAATGGCAGCTGATCGTTTCCATTCAAGTTACTGTGTCAATTTCCACTGGCTTCTTACCGTTCCGCTGCGGTTCAGCGGGCTCCGCAGCCGATCGCCGGGGTTCTATTTTTTCCGGTTGCCGCATAAATTCGGTACAGACACAAACCTAAACATCTGGCTTCTTTTCAAAATAAAACACTACATGTTTCAGGTGGATCATATTTCACACTGTGTAAATGTGAGCGGGGGTGAACAAGACAAAGGATTTCAGACATAATTTCATCCTGTTGACACCATGGATGAGGTTATGTGGCTGTCTTTATGGAAACAACTCGTTATCGCGCAATTGCATGTGAATCTGTGGGTTCTTGTAAGTTCTTGCAATTCCCGCTGTCCAAAATCTGCCACGAAATATGCCTTAACAAATGCAACCGGTAGAAATTGCTGCTGAAAATTGCTGCCTTTCCACAGCAGAGCTGTTCTGGATGCAGAGGAAATTGGGGGTGAGCCAATTGGATAAGTAAAATAAATAAATGTGTCAGTCATGCAGGCTAATAATTAGTCAATTAGTTGATATACTTGTGGGTTTTCTTAGGTATTTTCTAAGAAGACACTGCATGCTGGTCATACTATAAGTTCATTCTCAATGTGAGTGATTCTGGCTTTTTTCACTTTTTCAGAAGTCTGGAATAAATTTTTGGTATGGAAAAAAAAGAAAGGAAAAGAAAATAGCTACTGATAGGTCATCAAAGAAGAAAGCTACTATCCTTTCTTGCTTGTCGAGTCTCAAGTTGCAGAGTGTGGGACTGCTTGATTTAGATGTTAGCTGATTGATGGTCTCAGTGGGTGGCAAATTTAATGTCCTACTGTAAAACCACATGGCGAGATTAGAGGGTAAACCTGGCCACACACTAGACAACTTATAGGTCTTAACTGATTTTTTAAACCTTGAGAGACCACAGATAAAATGGTGGTTCTGACTGACCATGTTGGAGGTTTATAATCCCAGGTTGGTGACAGTAAAATAGTTGTTTTGACAACACATACTTGGGGATAACTTAATCAAGCCCAGACTCAGGCCTGACCTCCCAATCATTGGCCCTAAATCTGATCTTAAATTGAGTAGTGAGCAGCAAGCTTCAGACTTTGTCCAGCTAGTTTATTGAAGGATAAGCTGGATTTACTGAACTGTCTTCACGGTGTATCCTCGGTTCATGGTTTCTGTTTGGCAAATAGATAAGTTAAAAAAGAGCAAGCAGGCAAAAAGCTTAACTTGAGCTGGACTTTCTGCACATAAACTGTGAACGGCACGGTGAGCTGGCAGGCACTGATGGAAAGAGCCGGCTTCTTGTAGGAGATGGTGAGTGCCCGCTGATTGCAGACAGGTGTGCTGATTGGAGATCCAGAGCAGGTGTGCAGAGACAGGGTGGGCGGGGGAGGGGAAGACCAAACTACACCAAGCACTCCACACTCACAGTAAAGCTGTTTTTTTGATCATCACTGCCATTAAGTAATCTGTGTCTATCTTCAACAACCCCAGATACTTTCTTGGTATCTTGGTTTCTTGGTTATTACACAAAGCTTGCTATCAACTTGATCAATCAACCCAGGGTTTTAAGACACATATTTCAGACATGAACAAGCCTTTCGTCAGTTTTCGTCATATCAAACAGACTCAGAGCAGAGCTACGATGAGAAATATGTCAAATTAAATAAACATTCTACACGAAAATAAACTCAGCTGCGTTTGTAAAATGAGGAGAAAACTGAAAAGGAGAGAGGAAATTGGCTGGGAGTGAAAGCACAAATTACAGTTAATATCTTTTCCCGACATTACTGCAAAACACATCTAAATAAAACATCCCCTGTTTGTTCCTGTGGAGTAACTCTGCACAGATGTATTTGTGTGGCGTGTGTGATAGTGTTAGACATAACATTTTAGCTGTAGACCCGATTTGGCCAAAGTGAGCCATTTGGAGATAATAAAACTGAAAATCTCTTAAAAAGCAATAAGAGCACGTACTTAAATTTAAATCTTATATGTTTAACAACTACAAGTCTGCAGAGCTTTCCCAGTCTCTGTTGTGGGATGAGATTATAAAGCACAGCATCTTTTATCACCGTAGGCTAATTATGTTTAATATATTAGGGGTAAAATCAACCTAATGTTTAAGACACATGTTGTCCTTTTTTTCTCAAAGTAATCCATATTAATTCTGAGTTTACCTTGAGGCCCAATCCCCTACTTCAAAGCACACATCCTGAGGCAAAATCCAACGATCATACAAAGATGTCAAAGAGCGCCGAAGAACTTGACCATACAACCATCACATCTTCAACCTTTTACATGAAATACGGTATTTCATTATAGTGATAAATCTTGTTGATTGTAACCCTCTCACATCGAGCTATCATCAAAGAGGTATTCTGCTTTGACCACTCTAGTCTGATTGATCTGCATTTTCTTCAATGCAACCAGTCCCATAACACCACCAAAACCCATCGCAGGTGTGTTTGCGGTTGCCTCTTGTCTGTTTTCTTCAATATTGGTTTAAGTCTCATGCTAATTTTTGCACTGTTTTACCAAGGGCGACCATATATCCTCTTTTACTCAGACATGTCCTCTTTTGGGGGGCTGTCTGGCCTTGTCTGGAGGAGTTTTTAAATCTTCAAATGTCCAGGGTTTTGTAAGTAAGCGTTTGTGTAGCATGGACTGAGTTGGAAGCACATAAAAAAACACTTGACCCGACCCAAAACCCCCTCAAAGTTGGCTCCGCCATTTGGTAGTTTCCTCTTTTGGGGGATTCAGAATATGGTCACCCTATTTTACCACTTCATGTCTTTGTTTTTCAGCCGATTACTCGGCCATTAACCACCAATCTAAAGTGTTGAGAGTCGTATTAATAACAACCAGCATGTCGTCTTTGTGCTGCTGGGGATACAAATAAAGTGAAATCATAATCAGTACGCTAAATGTGCCGTGACTCCTTTTCGCAGATTAATACGTGTTGTGTGTAATCAGGTTGTTTTCCTGGCATCATGAAGAAGTTTTGACCAATTGGAATTAAGTATCAGCCAGGTGATCATTAAGACAACCTGGTAATCATGAGCTTACTGTTATTCCCTACTTAGTGTTATCAAAACCAAGAGTAAGACATGTTAATAGTAGTTTGCAAGATAATTTAAAAGACCCTAACTCGTAAAATTTAATAAGACGTCTTTATTTCATTCACTCTTGCTGTGTCTGAACATCACTGGCAAAAAATGAACTCTGCTTAAACACTTAGACATGTAAGTGCTTCAGGGTTCAAGTTGCTTCATGAATGAACCTGTCCTGTGATGTCTCTGCTCTCTGCTGAGAAAATGTTCGTAAGGCACTCTGCATGCCCTGCTTTAAAAAGACATAATGAGCACACAATTACTGTGAAACACCATTACAGAGTGGAGTAGTAATGACTCACATTCATGCGATACAGAAAAAAATATGTCCAGTACACAACAAACACAACATAGAAGAGCCACACTTGTGAAGTTCACAGACTTCTAGGATGCTCTGTCTTGCTTTATGGCTGTGAAAAGCTTGTAAATTTATGTCATGAGTCCAGTATATGTGTGTGTGTGAGCTTGTGAAATTGTGTTGAATGTGGGCCAGAGGCCTACAAGGGAAAAATGAGTGAGCTCATCTCTCTGAAGTGCAGCGTTTTAAGTCTTTCCACTGCTGTGTACTGCAATTTTATCTCTGGAAAACAACCAGGAATGTTCTCTCTTTCGTCTCTCTTATTTGGCCGAGAGGGTAAGTAAGAGAGACTCTCTCTGTCTCAGTGCCTCCTCCTTTTTCATCTTACTCTCATGCCTCCCCTCATTTTAGCCAAAAATTGACTACAGTGACTCATGATACTGAGTCATCTACTATGAGACCCAGAATCCCCCACATCTTCCCATATGCTCTCAGTTTAACAGCTCTGGGGCCTCGACAACTCCTCCTCTGACTCTGACTTTCTGCTGATCAGCAACGCGGTCCAATTATCTTGGGATGCCACATTATAAAGCACACTCAATACCCACCATACCCTCTCCTCTAACAACCCACACACCACATAGTCTCACTGTGAGCACACCTCTGACCTCATCTTCTTAATGAAAGGACTTCACCAAGTTTATACTGTGTGCTAAAAAAAAAAAAAAACAGACTAAAACTTCAGAGGCTGTGGGTTTTGGGATCCAAGGGCACACAAAGGCACTGACACATTGCTTATTTGAAGAGGGATATTGAAGTGGTTGGAATAAAATTGCTGGAGTACACCCATGATTTTTTTGTCATCATAAATGACTTAGTGGTAGATCTGTGTCTCGTCTTTGACCTTTGAAGAGGTTATACTTGAGTTTTCTAACCTACAAGATCAGTTAATGTAACTCCATTTATTTGTACACAACCTTCAAAGTAGTATTTTCCCTCTGGGAAGGCCTAAAATGTCATGATTCTTTATCCTTGGCAAGGTGGAGACTTATGGGGAACACTCACAGCAGTGTGCTGCGGGGCTGCCAGTGTAGTATCATTACCTGCTTTGGCAAGACTTAAACACAACTCATCAAAGAGGAAGTGAACCCAGCCAAGACCGTCCAATCTCTTTAATGCTACACACAGCTAATAGCAGGATCCCGGAGTTGCACGCATACTATGTGCTAATTAGCTTGTCAACAAGCAAATGCCTTTCTTTGATCACAGCTTGAGAGGGAAATTGGGTTCAAGTTGTGCAGTGTGTCCACTGCTAAACTGCCAAAGTGCCGGAGAACACAGCAGTCTACTAAAATATCCTCCACCCTCGTGGATCCAGAAACAGAAGGCGTCTTCTGTGAGTTTTATATCACATATTCAGCAACTTAATAAAATGTTGAGTACTATTTACAGTGCAAATGCTGATCTCCAGCTGACAATCATACACTGCAATACTACCATCATAAGGAAGTGGATCACTGCCTAAACGAGCAGTTTTCATATATTGTTTTAATTTTACTGCATCTCTCTCTGAACTGTAAAAGCCTTTTTTTCATAATCAACATTAGATCAAGAGAAACATGTGTGCCTTCATGTGAGTAGTCACCTGTTTTCAGTTTTATGGCCCACAACAGACAGCTACAGCTCAATCTGGCAAGCAGAAGTCCTTGCTATATTAACCCTCTGTAGGCTAACAGGAAAACCCATCATGGTAAATCGAATTAGAGGCAAACTTATTAACCCTAGAACACAGCTAAAACAAGAGCAAGGACTGGATTCATATTCATTTGGCTGCAAGAGACACAAGTTCAGATTTACTAAATGTAGGACAGCTGCTCACATATTTACTAGAAACCATCAAATCCAGATTCTGTCATTGTCCGGCATATTTATCTAGTTTAGCACATATTTTTAAAGAAAATCCCAGTGTGCTCTGTTAGCCTTATGTGTATTTGATGTTTGACTGATAAAAGTTAAGCCGCTCACTGTTTTGAAATGCAGTCATTTTTTCAGGGTTTTAGCTCAGTCTTTCCCTTTGCTTGACTAACACACATCTGAGTGTAAGCAGCTTTATTGTGAGTGATTTTCTTCCATTTATGTTTTGAGTTGGTAAGATTTCCTTCATCTTTAACAACAAGCCTTGTCGCTTTTCATTTGGCCTTGTGAGTGAAACAATTCCGCATCTGGAACGGCTATGAAAAGGTCGTATCCGCTGATCGCAACCATTCAAGTTAATGTTGTCAATTTCCACCAGCTCCTCAACGCCGGACTCTGCAGCTGATCGCAAGAGTTCTATTTTTCCGGACACCGGAGCATGCTATAAATTCAGCACAGATTAACCCGTGCTGGAAAGGAAGTCAGGAAGTCAACTTTCTGTTTCTTTTTAAAATAAAACACTGTTTCAGGCGGATCGTGTTTCACACCATGCAAACAGGCGGAGACAAACAAGTGAAAGGTTTTTAGACAGCATTTTACCCCGACGACAACATAGATGAGCAGATGCTGATTTTAGAAGTCTAGAGGTGGATTTTCTCTGGGAAGACACAATCTGTTGCGTTTATGGTTAGCTTCTGTGGCTGTCTTTAAAGAGACAACTCATTATCACGCAATTGCACACGAATCCGCGGGTTCTTGTGAGTTCCTGCGATTACCGCTGTCTGTAATCTGCCATGAAATTCGCATCACCAACGGATATGCTAGAAATTGGTGAACGGCAAAAATTCGCTGCTGTTCCGGATTGGAGCTGTTCTGGATGCAGTGAAAATTTGGCGTGTGAATGTGCATCTTTGTGTGTTTGTGTCGAGAATCACAAGGAAGCTAGCTGAGCAGAGCGATGTTAGAGGACCACATGATATGAACCTAGCATAAACTTAGTAGGGTTGATCTAATGTAGTACATGTAAATAATTTTCAATCAGTGCTCACTCATTGTTTTCTAGGAGTGGAGCACACGTCTTTAATGTCAACAACTGCTGTCCATCATGATTTTGATTTTACAAGAAAAATCTGTGATCAAAATCAAAATCTGATTCATTTTGCTGCCCAAATACAGAATGTAATCTTGACAGAGTGGTTGTAGAGTTCCTTTAATGACCTTTTGAGGGTGAAAACTGTATTTTGTGCATCAAATAATCAAATGATCATTGACTTTGTTTATAATAGGACAGGAGTCTTGTATGTCAGTGAGGTTTGAGATTGTCTTGGAAAGAGGGTGGAAACAACAACCTTAAGGGTGCTAGCCTGTGTGAAAAGGGCAAGCTGCTTTTGGTCTGGAGATAATGCTCTCACCTTCAATTTTTCTTTTTCCACTCTCCCACCTTCTGTGTTTTGTCCTTTGTACCTTATTCCTCCTCTCTCCACCTTTTCATCTCATCTGTTTCCTAACTTCTCATTGTGCCGCCCGCCCACCTGCCTACAGCCACGATTACTCCTGACAAAGCCTTCATCTTGATTCAGTCTGATGGAAATGGGGCACTGATGAACAACAGCAGAAGAAAAAGTAGAAAAAATGAAACTGTAAGCCTTGATAAAAGGTAGATCTTAGCATATCTTGACTTCAAAAAAATAGATAAGCTCCTGCTGTACTGTACGTGTGTGAATATGCAAGTGTCTTTTTTTTAAAGGCAGCACTTTCTTTGTAAGGCTTTGTGCTGAGTTTGCAGATATGGTTTTAGGGTGGACCATCTAGTTATAAATACTCTTTGTATGACTATGTAGGAGAAAGAGAAAAGGAGAATTGTTAGACGGAAGTGTGCAAAAAGGTTTAGAAGACACGTTCCTGATGTTTCTGGTATTTCTCCTGCACCTGTTCAGATGTCACATTTAATTCACACAATTTTTCCCAACTTCTCACCTCCAGTTCCTTCAACCTTCCCACATAGCCGCTGTTTGACATCTCTTCCCTGCACCTTGGTTTGTACGTGCAGATGGTAATAAGAGAATGATATACGGGGCTCTAACTGGGCTCTGAAATGGTCTTTGTGCTTTATTGAAACCAAGAGGTGCCAAAGCTGCAGGGTGTCGAGTGAAGAACTTGATAATAGGTGCCAAAGCGCTTAATTTGATTTAATTCTTTCTTGAGCCAACTTGCGTGAAATTAAATTTCTTACTCTTGATTTAAGCCAGTTGGATTTTATTGTTTTTGTAATTAAATTAGGCGCTTTCCACTCTTTTGATGTGATTTTCAACCCTGATTAGAGAGAATTGAAGTTGAAATGTGTGTAACTGTTGGACGGCTCGATGCAGTGATGAAAAAGAAGTTATAACAATTTCATCACAATGAATTGAGAAAAGCTGCAGACAGAAGTACATTTATTTAGTTTAAAGTGCATTATTGAAGTCACTGAAGAAGGAGGAGGTTTACTCTTTCAATTCCCAAAGGGAAATTTAGCCTTTTACTCTGAACAACCTACGCATAGAGAGGTCACCCTGAGCACATGCGCTAATGGAGAGGTGCCAAAGTGAGGGGAGGGTGACTCCATTAACTTTAAGTTTCACTGTAGTGTCTTCGGGGACCTCCAATGCCTGGAGTTAACATGCAGCTGTCCAGCATCCATTCCCAACCTCCATACTGTAGATGCATTTCCATTAAGCTTTCTGGTTCAGCTGGTAAGATGCGCTACGCAACTGTTTGCGTTTAAGAAACAGGGGAAGGGGCCAAAAAAAAAAACTGATCTGCACTACCCAACTTTTCTGGCACTTTGCTTTTGCGGCACCAAGTATACCTGCAGAAATCTAACCCTGAAGTGAGGAGATGGACTCACTGACTGAGAAAGAAGAGTGAGGAGGAGGAGGAGAGATGATACTCATTTGATCATATTATCTTAACTTGATGTAATGTGATCAGGAAAAAAAAAAATATATATATATATATACACAGTATGTACCACAATTAATCATGACTCCATTTTATGTATGTTTTCATTTATATCTTGAAATATTTTCAAGTGTTAAAGCAGTGTTGGGTGCAAGTCTTTCATGGAAATGACCATGTTGAGCAGTGAGACGTGAATAAAAGTGGATGCAGAGGAGAGAGAGATTACACAGGAAAGTTAAGAGTAGGCTGGGATAGGCTGAAATAAAGAGTTGTTCAAGTTATTTTGAAGACACAACTTCAAAATAAAAGTATTGTGTGAGACAAGGAGTCTTTCGTATCTAGGGCTTACATCCATTCCGTATTTTTCACGCTTGTGAAGTGAATATAGCCGACATAACTAATACAGCCATTAGCATACTAGTTTTCTTTTCCATTTTGGCAAAGGTCCGAGCGCATCTTAAGAAAAAGAAAAATTGCCAAGCCTTCTTTTCTTCTGATTTTTTGGCACATGAGATGGACATGGCACACATCACTCACATCAGCAGTATGAAAGGTCAGATCTGTTGTGTGGCAAAATGAAAATCAAGCTGCTCTAGAGCTTTCATGTAGCCAACAGGCTTTCTGTCTTGAGTGCACAAAGGTATAGTTGGCTGAAAACACAAGCAGGGCCAAGGTTCACCTTATCAAACTGGATCAAAATTCATTTTAGGATTTGAACCTATGACCTTCTGACCCCCGAGCAAAGTCCCTGCAGAGTGAACTTTTTCTGTTTCCCTTCAACATCAAGAGTTTGTTGTCATGATATTTGTGAGAAAGTCAAATCCTAAGTCATCATATAACAAGACCTGTTGTAAATTAAATCCAAGCCTATTCCATTGCTCCATGTACCACAACACCCCCCAGGAATATAGCTGCAGATACTTAAAGAGGGAGTATTATGCACCACCTTCACACTCCTCTCATACAGGTGATATTTTTTCATGTGGTGCAGCGCGATGAGCATTAAACTGCGCATGGAGGAGCATTAAATAAGGTTGAATTAAGTATCTGACCTTCAGCTTTAACGCAGAGCACACATTGATTTAGAGTGTGACTGACAGCACCCCAGCTCAGAGAGAACCATTACATTTTATTTTTCGTTAACACAGGGGCACCACCTTCTTTCAAAATTTCTGCAGTCGTGGTAAAAAGAAAAAAACTTTTAGAAAAACTGTACCCTGTGGAACGTCTTGCTCGGGGCCTGTTGGTCCTTGGCCCCAAAGAGATCAATTAACTCTGGATCACAGTGATTCACAGGGTCCACGTCTACCTAGCCTGTTTTTTTCAATACATCTCACATCTCCCCCCTGTAGTCAGGCAGGCCGCGCTGACAGGCAACACTTTTCTCTGTAACCTCCCCTGACAGGGTGAGAACATATCCATCAAACAGAGGCTACCGCGACTGACAAGCTTGGTGCTAGACAGCCTGTCAGACCGGGGCTGTGTTCCTCTCTGCACAGCTTTACCCTCATTTTTATCTAGCTCCTTGTGTTTTTTACACTCCCTTTTGACTGTCTTTCACCCCAAACGACTCCCCTCCTTCTTCCTACAGATCAATATCTCTGTTTCTCTCATATATATTTGTTTGAAGTCGCCCTTCTCTTTAAACTAAACTCTGTCCACATCACATTTTAATATCTGAGATACCTTCTCTTATGGCCAACGCAATATTCATGCAATTTCACGGCGCTTGAGTTCAAGTTCTTTTTCTTTTAACCTACTCACCTTTCTTTTTGTCTTTTCCATAACCTTCTGTATTACGCATTTGTCTCTACAGATGTACAATGTCCCGGCTTACAAGTGGATGAGTGGAAGTTTCCTCAGACTGCTCAGCACAATGTAACAGGTAAAAAAAGACTGCAAAATGGACAGATTTCCCTTTTCTTCAGTTTTATGTATGTGGGTGTTCATGAGTGTCATTTCTCATCAGGTTTTAATCTGGTGAGGCGATTCGCGCTGCTCAAGAGTGCAGATGTCAAGAAGATACGCAACCCTCGTGGACCAGTCATCCTCCGCCTGGGTAAAACAGCACTCCTACGCCCAACGGAGTAAGTATACAGTTCATGCACCTCACTTGCTCTTTTCCCAGCAACCTAGAGATGATATACATCGTGCACGATCACAATGTGTAGAGCTGTGGGAGGTACAGATGTATAACAGGAACTAAAGGGAATTTTTCATCTCTCTGTGGGCCCGCGTTGATGGATGCTGGCTTTTCACGCCACGTCTCAACAAAGAGTAAAACAGTCTGAACACCCCTACAGCGAGCCAGCCTCTGAGCTCGCGCTCGGCATGTCGGCATTGTCCGACGGTTGCAAACACATGGCAAACTGTGCTCCACGGGTCAAACTCTGATTGCATTTCCAGAAGTACCACTTCATTTCCCTCGCCGCTGACACTGGCTTGTAAAAAGCTTGTAACTACTCTTTGGTTTTCCTGTTTTAACCACAAATACTTTACGCTAGTCGTTTTCAGTCACAAGTCTTAATTTCTTTAGCACTAACTATTACTGTGATGCTGTAATAAGCTGACATGATGTAGTGACTTGTAAAAAGATAGAGCAGTTTCTATGGTAGAAAGTCAACAGCTGCATTTTAGAGCCTGAGCTTCTTGTAAACGTAATTTTTGTCAAAGAAACCAGCAGCTATAAAGCCAAACGGCGCACAGCTTTCTTGCACAACACGATTTTTGAACTTGACATAGTGTAATTATGCTTTTCATGTCTATATTATACTGTTAATGGCTTTGGTGTGTGTTTAGGGTTCGTGACAAGTGCTTATTAGGGGTTATGTGCTCCTTCAGTTGTAGCGAATTTGAGCTGTTTCTCGCAAGTCTTTGCTCCTCTCTACCCACAACAAAGACGTTTTCTCGAACCTGTCAATTGGGTTAGCTCCGAGTGTTTTATCAGCAAGTCCAGCGCTGTGAGCTTCACTTGCCTGAAGGCCTGATAAATCTGTCTACAAAACACACTTTAATGGTGGAGACATTTTTGCTCTCAAAGCGTCTGATAAATTGTTTGTCGCTGGCTTTGAGAGAGGTTGTCCTTTAGAAAAAAAGAAAAAAAGCGAAAAACACCATAAAACTGTCACTCCTCAGGAAATCAGTATCTTTGAGCTAAAGAGGAAAATTCAAGATGTTTTTGTTTTGCCTCTAACCATACAGGGGGAGGACAAGGAACACGGATCTTTGTCTCGTCTGCGATGCTGCTGGTTTGGGATTTTGTTGCAGTGCAGCGTTTATTGAAATGTGGATGCTACTGGGAGTTTCGCTGTCAGTTTTAACCGTAGCAACACCACCTTAGTGATTTCTTTTAAACTGAGACAGACAGTAATCAATGTCAGCACATCAGCTTCGCCTGGGAGAAGTCTTTATTCCGCGTCTCTTTGTGCCGTGAAACTTAGCGTCGCTTTTCCCAAAGTCACAAAACAGACTCCAATGATCGGTTTTCGTTTCTCCTTTGCGTTTTTGTCTCTCTTAAATGCGCGTAGGGCCGATCAGGACCACCTGTGATTATCAGTCAGTCATGATAAAACCTGTCTTAAATAACTTGCCATAACTTTTAAGGGTCTTTTCCGTACTTTCGCTTGACAAAATCGTATTTTATGGAAAAGAAAGTGAAGGAAGAAAAATAGATGCACGATAAAATGGAAACTGTGTAAGGAAACAGAAGGGTTAAAGGTTGAAAGCCAGGCAATAAGTGAACGCATCAGAACAAACCCTCAGGCTTGTTCTTTGGCATTCCCTCTCGATCACAGTGTGAGTGTGTTTTCTTCCATGTGCTAATTTGTATGTTTGGGCTAGTCTGCTCGGATCTGTCTGTTGTAAACTGTGTGTGCAGAGTTGTGGCGTCTTGCGATGAATTTCTGGCTCCAAAGTTTTCTATATCTCTCAATCTGTGTGATAAATGGCTCCCATCCAGCACAAGCGCCCCCGTCACTCAAAAAGGTTTTTAATTCAGCATCTGTAAGGTTGTCTGTGGTGCGAATCCTGAGACGTGTGCACATTAATTGGAAAGCAGCGGTTTGCTTTGTATCAGAGGCTAATCCGTTCAGCTAATCCAAGCTAACAGAGCAGAGTGACAGGCAGATGAAGCCAATTGTCTCAGTTGTACGCTGACAGGGAAATGGGAACCAGGCACAGCTGGAGACATGCATTTTAATTTCAGTAGAATATAATGTGATTGCTTCAGGCCTGTTTTTTTTCTGCAGCTATACAGTATGCATGATTGAAAGGAAGCTGTTCTGTGATATAGCAGTGAGGTCAAGATTACATTGCGCTCATGACAGAATACAAATGCACTGGGTAAAATGAATGCTGCACATCACCAAGCAAACGTGGGAGAACTTAAGCGTCGTCTGGAAATTACTCCAGCGATGCAATTAGATTGGATTCTTATTAGAGATAGACAACATAAGAGCAAAGAAAGAGTATTTTTATTTTGAGCCAAAGATCATAAAGATCAAAAATGTAGGAGGTGAATAAAAAACTGGATAAACAGAAGAATAGTGATTTTAGTTTGAGGGAAAATGGGGATGGCAGATCGAGGGCATGGGTCAGTGGAGATTGGTTAACATTTACTTTTCCAGAGATATTTCAGTTTACCTCTGCAGAAGGCGAATAATTGCTTGTCTGACAAGCACTGAATCCCTGGTACATAATGTCCAGACTGAATGTATTAGCAGTGAAAAATCTGCACTTATCTTCTATTACCACCAATCATGGTAATGTCGGTGAGGGATTTTTTCATTTATTTTTTTAATATATAACTCTTAACTATATCTATGGCGTGGTTGTGAACATATACAGTGGGTACGGAAAGTATTCATATCCCTTTAAACTTTTCACTCTTTGTTTAATTGCAGCCATTTGCTAAAATCAAAAAAGCTCATTTAATTTCTCATTAATGTACACTCAGCATCCCATCTTGACAGAAAAAAACAGATATGTAGAAAGTTTTGCAAATTTATTAAAAAAGAAAAAACTGAAATATCACATGGTCATAAGTATTCAGACCCTTTGCTCAGTACTGAGTAGAAACACCCTTTAGAGCTAGTACAGCCATGAGTCTTCTTGGGAATGATGCAACAAGTTTTTCACACCTGGATTTGGGGATCCTCTGCCATTCTTCCTTGCAGATCCTCTCCAGTTCTGTCAGGTTGGATGGTGAACGTTGGTGGACAGCCATTTTCAGGTCTTTCCAGAGATGCTCAATTGGGTTTAGGTCAGGGAACGGTCACAGAGTTGTTCCCAAGCCACTCCTTTGTTATTTTAGCTGTGTGCTTAGGGTCGTTGCCTTGTTGGAAGGTGAACCTTCGGCCCAGTCTGAGGTCCTGAGCACTTTGGAAGAGGTTTTCTTCCAGGATATCTCTGCACTTCATTCATCTTTCCTTTTACTGCAACCAAGCATCCTGTCCCTGCAGATGAAAAACACCCCCATAGCATGATGCTGCCACCACCATGTTTCACTGTTGGGATTGTATTGGGCAGGTGATGAGCAGTGCCTGGTTTTCTCCATACATGCCGCTTAGAATTAGTGCCAAAAAGTTCAATCTTTGTCTCATCAGACCACAGAATCTTATTTCTCATCGTCTGGGAGTCCTTTCATATGTCTTGCACTGAGGAGAGGCTTCTGTTGGGCCACTCTGCCATAAAGCCCGACTGGTGGAGGGCTGCAGTAATAGTTGACTTTGTGGTACTTTCTCCCATCTCCCTACTGCATCTCTGGAGCTCAGCCACAGTGATCTTTGGGTTCTTCTTCACCTCTCTCACCAAGGCTCTTCTCCCATGGTTGCTCAGTTTGGCTGGACGGCCAGGTCTAGGAAGAGTTCTGGTTGTTCCAAACTTCTTCCATTTAAGGATTATGGAGGCCACTGTGCTCTTAGGAATTTTGAGTGCCGCAGAAATTCTTTTGTAACCTTGGCCAAATCTGTGCCTTGCCACAATTCTGTCTCTGAGCTCCTTGGGCAGTTCCTTCACTCTTGCAAACCTCATGATTCTCATTTGCTCTGACATGCACTGTAAGCTGTGAGGTCTTAGACATGTGTGTGCCTTTACTAGTCAAGTCCAATCAGTTTAATTAAACACAGCTGGACTCCAATCAAGGAGTAGAACCATCTCAAGGAGGATCAGAAGAAATGGACAGCATGTGAGGTAAATATGAGTGTCACAGCAAACGGTCTGAATAGTTATGACCATGTGATATTTCAGTTTTTCTTTTTTAATAAATTAGCAAAAATTTCTACATTTCAGGGATGCTGAGTGTACATTAATGAGAAATAAATGAACTTTTTTGATTTTAGCAAGTGCCTGCAATGAAACAAAGATTGAAAAGTTTATAGGGGTCTGAATACTTTCCGTACCCACTGTAAATCAGCAGACAGGGTGTATTTGTGCAGCTTGTAGGCACAAGTGCATAGATTTTTGATGTGTCATTAGCATGTTTTGAGATTTTCCATTGACAAATGGTTGGTTAGTTGGTCGGCAGGCTGTTTCATTGATTCAGTTCACAGTAAAAAACCTTTAGAGGGATTTGTACAAACTTTGATGGGTCCACAGAGGATGTAGTGACAATTCCTATACTGAAGCCACTCCTGGCTGCTAATGGGTCTCTTGTTTGGACGTGTACTCCATGAAGATAACAAAGTCTGGTCCTCTATAGTTCTGATGCGTTTCATTGTTTTACCACAGTTTTTTGTTATTTATCGCGTCCGTTAAGCAGATGGTAACAATTCTACACATAAATCATAAAATAAAAAGAACTTAATCATTAATCAGATTGCAGTCAAAAACTGTTTGCTTAACCAGCAGCATCCTTGACACAGTAATCACTGAACTTAAAACACCTGTGGCCAGACTCAGCTGCCTCCAAAATCCCTCTTGGCTGCCCTCTAGTGACTAGGAGGAGCATTACCTTTCAAATACAAGCTATGGCTCTTACAGAGGATACATGTTGGTTTGGTGATATTCCTGACTTCTTCTCGTATCATACTAAGAAAGACTTACTGAAGATTTAATTGAAATTTAATACCTACAGGAGATGTTTCTGTTTTTTTTTATATGTCCATTGATACGTACTTTAAGATGAATAATTCCAAATGGACAGAAATGACCTCTTGCGTGGTATACTGTACTTTTATAGATCAGAAGGTGGTGAAGAGGATACTGTTCAAGATCCCTGTGTTTTCAGAGAAAAACCTTTTGGCTACTTCTCACAAAAAAACACACCTATGTCGATATCTATCTATATCCGTCCCAATATCACAAAGGAGGAGTTCAGTCAGAGGGTTCTTTTGACAAAATACGAAAGTTTTCGACTATATCTTCTGAGAGTCCTTGCGAAGTAGCTGGTGAAGCCTTAAACAACAACTTAAAGAACTCACAGGCTCTCTCTGTCACACACAGCACACTTCCTAAGTGTTATAGGCATCAGTTCAACTCCTGACTGGGCTCCAGATTAAAGGAGACTGCAGTCAGATAAGGGTAATTTAGGGGACAAAAGTCTCCCTGTAGAAGAAAGTAACAGATATAAAGCGCAAATTGACAGGTTGGCAGAGGCATACACTATGTGGCAGTATATTTTTTTAACAAAGTTGTCAAGGCATGTGATACTTTTCCCTGTGTAAAGCTGCGTACGTATTTATTAAAATAAAGAAAGTAAGAAAACAGCCACAAGGGCAAATGCAAAGTCAAACAACATTTGGCCACTATAGCTTGTGAATCTATATTTATTTTTTTCACTTCTGTGAATCAGCTTCAAGCTGTTTAAAATTCTTTTCAGACAGGTATGTATAATTCATCCAGGGATAGAAACCTTCTCCACTGAAGGCAATTGATTCAAGCACAGCCAGAACCCAGCAGAAGAGTTCCTATATACCTCTCCAGGTGATATTCCCATCTTTAACCAGAGATCTACTTTTTCTACATTGGATTTCCCCTCTTCCTCTGTGCCTGTCTGACTTGCACTGACTTTCTGCTTCTCTACTTCTCTTTTTTTTTTTTAAATAACAGGAGCAAAAGTAACTTTTCTGTCCAAGTTGAAAGAGCAGAGATCTGAGTGTGTCTGCTTCAGCCCACACCGTGTGGTTTATCTCCCTGTTGCATGTTGGTGTGTTTGTAGGGGTTATTTTTCCCCAGGATTGAAAGGTCAAGGTGAGGTACTTTAAAGTTAAGAGTCAGGAGTTTGTGAGTGGTTTTGTGCCCTGCAGCCCATGACACTAAATCGACAGTAAAACAACTCCACTCTAAACACTTGTTTCTCTCTTTTCTGTTTCTTTTTTCTTTTATATTTTCCATTTTTCTGTTGGCCCTCCTCATACACAACTCACTTTCAAGTGTACAAATACACTTTTCTGTGTTTCTAATAAACGCCTCACACTTTCTTATAGCAAACACAGAAGTCCTCTGTCCATCTCCTTTTGTTTTCTCTCATTTCCTTCATCTCCTTTTGTCTTTCTGTGTCTCTTTGGGTCTCTGATGTTTTCCCTTCTTCACCTTTTTTCTTCTACTCACCCTTTCTTTGTTTTGACGTCCTGTAGTTGGCTGTTTTCCCTTGGATCTTTCCTCAGTCATAAATCACTGTCACCCCACTTCTCGGAGTGGGAAACCAGCTGCCAGCATCAACAATTCTGTGGGTGTGTGTTTGTGTGTGACTGTGTATGTGTTTGTGCAAGAGAGAGAGAGATAGAGAGGGAAATGGAGCAAGAGAGAATATTTCAAAGTGTTCACCATCTCAGTGAGCATGCATTTCACTGGGCTTGTTTGTGAACCCTTCATCTCTCAATACATCCACACCCACCAATGCAGAGAATATTCTACTGTGTGAGTGTATGTGTGTATATTTGTGAGGGTGTGTGTACTTTATGTGCTTAGATGCCCTTGACCAAAACTGAGGGATGAAGCTTGCCGGACTGTATCAGCTATGAAAATTAATGCCAGGGGGTTACACACAGCAGGCTTTGCATTGTGCTTCTGGCTGCAGGCACACAATATGGAGAGACAAGCTAGAGGGAATAAATATAGGGAAAAATATGCACTGAATACAAAACAGCTCACATAGGAAACACTCATGAGATTGCCTCGTCAGAGTTGTCACAAAGTCTTCAAGAAAAACCCGTCCAAGGGAAAATTAGTATTAATTTGTCAAAAGTTTAAAAGGAATGTAACATGAGCTTTGGAGCTAAAAACTTTCTGAATCCAAAGTTTTAATTTCTCCACAGGGAAATTTGTTCCAACAGCAAACACTTGTTGGATTTCTTTAAAAAGCAACAACAAACAAACTAAAAAAAAAAGGACATACTAAATAGCCTAAATCTGGAAACATTTGCACATTCATGCTCAGACGTGTGTAATTTAGCATCCTCAGTTCGTAACTTGGGTATTTTTATTATTCTGTACAAGCTTGTTTGTTGTCTTTGAATTGGCTAAAACGTAGACAATGGTATAATTTGTTTTGTTCTTGTTAGTATCCTTTAAGTTGGCTAATTCTTAGTTACTTGGATATTTTCTTAGCTAGCTTTCTTACACGCTTGCAATCCGCTAACGCACACACTTGCTCTGCGATCGACCCCTGTATTCCTTCTCTGTATACAGAGTTTGGCCTGCATAAGGGGTGGAGCATGGATTGGTTACGTAGGAAATCTCACTGTTTCTGAACCTGGGTCTGCCAGATATTCACAGCAATTTGAATGAAGAAATACTCGGAAAAGCAATTTCGCATTTAGTTTTCTCATTATATGTCCTGTAGCATCAGAAAAATGCCATTATGAACATGTAGACAACAAGAAAAGCATGATTTTCATCAGAGTGTGCCTGTCTGGCCTGTGGCGGGCTGATGCGTAACTTATAGCTTGACACAAATTTCTGTTTAATTAAAAGTTGCCATTAACAATGCTATACCATGTTCAGCATTTGTTTACAATATTTGGTAAATGTATTCCTATGATCAAAAATAAGACATTTACAAATTTTCTAATAATCTTTCTCAAATATAACACAGTAGACTGGTCATCTACAAAGCTTAAAGAAAGTGTTATATTTAAGCTTGATATATACCAGGTCTTCAGAGGAAAGTAACAGGGTTTGTTAGACTAGTTCTTCTTGGCAAAATCCTCATGTTAAAGCTCTGTTTCTAGTTCCTAACACACACTGAATGATTTAAAATCTTGTATTTCCACAGAGGACATGGTTAGTAGCAGACGTACAAGAGTGGAGACATTTTTGTCCAAAGTTTGCCATTCTTTCTGCTGTACTGAGTTTCCTGACTAGATCTTTTTGTGTTTCAGTCAGGTGTTTCCCCACGGCTTACCAGAGGAGTTCACCCTTGTCTTCACCCTGGCGTTGAAGAAAGCCGCCCTGAGAGAGACCATCTACCTCTTCCAGATCTCTGACCAGCAGGGTTACCCACAGGTCCTGCTCACTTCCTGTTTCCCACTCCACTTTTCCTTTCACTGCTTCTTCCTTACCTCCTCCTAACTATCTTGCTTGATCTCTCACCTTTTATCCATCAAACCTTTTGTCTAGTCATTCTTGCCGTGTCTCATTTATCTTCTGCACGCTCACACTTCCACTTTTAATTTATCTCTCTCAGTGACACCTTTTCAGTTCTCTCCTGCTTTCATTCCAGGCCTCTTTTGTCCCGTCTTATTCTTCTTCCTCTTTCTCACTCGCTGTCTCTCCGGCATCTTCCCTCCATCATCTTCCGCTCACCTCTTTCATTCACCTTCATTGTTATTCATGTGTGTTTCATGATGAAGCACTGGAGTCCCTCAGAGTCCCTATAATCACTGAGAGTCTGAGGCCAGATTTAAATACTCAATGTGTATGATGGATGGGGCCAAGTCTCCTCATTAGGAGTGATTGATCGGCTGTACAGCTTGCGTGTGTAATTAATATGTCTTCGCCTTTACTCTAACTCTACAGAGCTTCTGTGTCCTACAGCTCTGTAAGCTGGTCGCAGCATGTACGTTTTACTTGTTAAAGCCATAGACATCCTTATACAGATAGTTTTTCCAATTAAGCACTCATTTTGGTGATTAATTAGCACTCCTTCCTCCTCCCACACCACTCACTGTTAACTCCCCACTCCCTTATATCACCACTTCAGCTCTCCGTAGACTTCAACGGCCCCGATGGCACTCTGTCCCTGCGTGCCAGGGGAGTAGACCCCACTGTTGACCCTGTGAGCTGCGTTTTCTCCGGGGAAGGAGTGGAGGCCCTGATGGATTTCCGTTGGCACAAGGTGGCTCTGAGTGTGCAGCAAGATTCTGTATCCCTCCACGTAGACTGCAGCTCCATTGAAACCAAACCTCTGGATCCACGTGGACCTCTGCCCATCGATGGACACACACTGCTGGGCGTCAGGGCTTCTGATGCTGGCGCTGCGCAGGTATGGAACCAAGGACTTAAACTAAACTTATAAGTCATTCAAGGATTTGCCTAGATCTTTTACAGACCATAAAAAACCTCTGAGAGTTTCCTTCATGCTTTTTTGTATGTTTCTGTATTTTCTGTCCAAGCTTTATGCATAAAAGACTTAAAGCTTCACCCAAATGTGACAATTTATTGAGGCGGTCTCATTTATTTCTGATCATGAAAGGAAAGCACACCATCAGAAGAAAGGGTTTGTGGTGAGCCAGGGCTATTTACGCTAAATAGATTCAGTAATCCAGGCATTTAGTCTGGCATACTTTAAAAGCAGACAGTCTCTGCTGCTAATACTGAAAGGAAGTGCTCACAGATGCATGCACTTGACTATACACAACACAGACTCTGAGCCTTAGTTAAAGCCTCAGTTAAAGTTTATTAGTAGATGATTAAGTAAACGGTCTGGGATGTTTGAAGGCCTGCAGGTTCAAATCATCATCTTCTTTTCTTCCTCTCTTTCTTAGATGGATATCCAGCAGGTGATGCTGTATTGTGACCCTTCCCTTGCCATCCAGGAGGCCTGCTGTGAGATACCTGGGGCACGGGTGAGATTGGCTGGCTGATTGTCAAACAGATCGAAACAAAACAGAACATTTTAAAACCTGGAGATGAAAGTAAAGGTTCATTATGTGGCTTAATTACCCTGATTTTCTCTCACACATGATGACTGATTTGTGCTCACAACACATTTGTGCTCTGAAAACCTGGCTGTAGCCAGTTGCTGATTGTCTCGGCATAGCAAAAGATGTTTACACATGCTAATGTCAAGAAATCCACTTACCAGCAACTCTAAAAAAACATTTATTATTCACTTGAAATGAAACTAAAACAAGAATCACAATCTTTCAGAAGAAGGTTTTATGATAAGTTGTTTACTAGCCTGAAGCAGTGTCTTTCTGGAGGGTTGGCGCACTGCTGGAATGTGATTCCAATTATACATACTAATTTGGAAATGACCCATCTAACCCTGGTAAACATTTAATGTTGCAATGTCTCTACAGCACAAGCTGACTGATCTTGTTCTGTATCATCTTACAGAGTATCTTATATATCTTTTACAAAGGCTGCTTCATATCCTCTTCGTGTCTGCCTGTTGCAATATGGATCATTCCCTGAAATGTCAAAATATACTGTAGATTGAACAAGGTCAAAGTGGATTTCCAGTTCTTATAATGCTCAAATCCTTTGCTATTCACAAACCCTCTGAGGGAGTCCTCAGTGCTGCTAAGGTTTCTCAACAAGGGACTCAAACCTCTTGAGCCTGGGTAAAGGCACCCGCTTAAGGCAGGTGGCCTTTTCAAACCCAAATTATCTGTCAAACCGAGGCCTCTACTTTGGATTGAACTCTCTGGATCACGGTCCTCAAACCCATCGCATTCAAACAGCTGTTTTGTTGCTTTTGCTCTTCAACTCTTTATCAAACCATTGAGCGTTTTTGAACATTTTGTCGCAACTTCAATTCAATTTAGTATATTCAATTTATTTGTTAGGGACATTAACAAAGTGCAACTGTTAATAATCAATATGTGATGCCTAATTAGTGTTTGTCTAGTTTGGGTTTGTAATCGAGATCTACACCTGATTTCCTAAACTCATTTACTACCTAACTTTCTTCCGCCTCTGCTGTAAACACTCAGTTCAGCTATAATCAAAAACACCAGAGAAGAGGAGTAAAGAATTATGAACTTGTGAGCAAATTATGAAGCTGTGCATGTAAACGCCCTAAGATGTTTACATGCACTTCAATTGTCCAGTCTTAATCGGAGTAAGGCAAAGATTTGGTTTTTTTGAGTGTCATGTAAATGTACTGACTGTGCCTCTCTGATTGTGTTGATGTTTGGATGAAAACGAGTCTTATTTATGTGCAAAGTGACCTTTTTTGATAAAGAAACTTATATGCCTATTCATATAAGATGGGTGTCTTCACTGAAAGAGATAATACTGTATCATCAGTATAAACCTAACAACCAGTCCTTAGATAGCTTTCAGGTAGATCATTAATAATGGCTAAAATCAATGGGCTTAATATCGTGCCTTGGGGAATACCTTTTTTATTTTATTTTATTGAGGAGTAAACTCCCAGACAAAGCTTATTTGAACTCCTCCTGCTTACTATGACTTATCACTTGCAAGCGAGGTGGAAAAAATATAGTTTCCCTTAGTTGTCATGTATTAAAAAGGGGGCACAGAGTGGAGGACACAATGGCATGACACCAATTCAGTTGTCAAAGAGGGTTTGATAAAGTTCAGGCAAAGGTTGGTACACAAAAAGGCTGTCAGGTCAGGCAGAGGTATCAAAAATGTGAGGCAAAGGCCCGAAAAAGGCAGGCAAAGGTATTTCACAGCTTGGCAATAATTATGAATAAATATTGGAGAGAGACAAGAAGTGCAACAAACTGGCCTCGAGACTGTGAGACACACAAGGTTAAATACAAGAGGTAATCAGAGTGATGGGAAACAGGTGGGGAGACACAATCAGGCTGCAGGTGTGACAAGACGGGGGCAGGGCAGACCAGACAGGAACAAATCTAGAGGACAGAAACAAGGGTTAGTGATCTATAGGATAAAACAGGAAATGCAAGACATGAAACAAAACATGAATGTGCAGAAATAAAGGACACTTAACCAAACATGAATTTACTGTAAAAGAAAAGAGTAACTTGTCTGACATGACAAAACCAGCTCTTAGAGCCTACCTTTGAGCTACCATCACATAATTACTAAACACGACTTGTTGCTGCCTTACAGCAAAAATCATTGAATGTTACTTTGCAATGACTGCAAGGGAGGCTAGGTTTGCAGTACCAGAATCAACCATCCTAAATAGTTTGTGTATTTTCTCAGGAGGCTCATACTTGTTAATTAGCAAAACTTTGTCTCCATGTTTTGTTTTGCTCATTATAATCCTCCAAATGACTTTGTGTGGTCAGAAAAAAATACAAAGCTGCCCACATAAGGTTTTTTAAGGAAAGTTTTCTGACCTTGTTCGTCAAATCATTGATTTTGAATGCAACAGATGCTAATAAGCCGGTCTTATGCAAGTCAAAAATTCTCTTAGAAGCATATGGGTATAATGTATACAAACTGACTGGGGCTTAGAGTAATCCCATTGTAGGCAATTATGTTACATCGCCTATGGTTTTCTAATATTGTTTGTACTGTGCGACTGTGACTAAAGCCTAATTGAAACTCTCCCTTGCAGCTTGAGAAATATCTCTATTTATGTGTCCAGGATTCTCCTCCTTTTCTTTCACCTCTCCTCTCAGCCTGTATTTTTGTTCAGGTATTGTTTACCGGCTTTAGACAAAAGCCTGATAAAATAGAAAACAGATTTATTGGACCTAAATACAACAGCAGGTTTCTGTTCGACAGGATAAGATAGAGCGGGTGATCATTCAGTTATGGAAAGAATTTCAAACAGCCAGTTCTTGGGTTTATTTTTAAGCTGCAGGTATTTTTTTATGCTCAGCCAACTTTTTTTTTTTTTTCTTTTTTACAGAAGTCTCCAGCGTGTCTGTGCGTACGTGTTTGTGTGTGAATGCAGATGTGTTTATTTCATTATCAAACACACTGTAAAGAGGGATGCAAACAGGGTTAGAAGTTCTCTCAGGCATCTGAAACTTTGGAGTCCTCTAGAGAAAGGGAAGAGTGTTACAAAATTGAAAAGGAGTTAGGGTAAAGCATTTTGGAGGAAAAGCTCTTCTACTCGAGGCTTTCATGCTGCGGGGTTCCCCCCGAGCAGCTTTTATGTTTGAAATGTGAAGTTTAGGTCATGAGTTCACAGGTGTTGACACTCACGGACATGCTCACACCAAAAAAGCTTTAGCATCTTGAGAAAGGAAAGAAATGGAGTGATCTTATCTGACAGCATTGTGTCACTACAGCAGTATAATTAAATGGCTCAGAAAGGCAGGTTCAAGACTAGATGTTGATTTAATTTTTCAGGTATGACATTTGAGCTAGTTTAAAAAAAATAATAACAATAATATAATAATAAAAAAACAAAACAGAACCAGATAAGCTATTACTTTCTGAAAAAATGCCATAAATTATTAAGTTTTTATGATTTACTTTTGTCTCACATATGCTGATGCGAATAGCCAACCATAGTTTAGTTTTTTAATGGTGTCCAATAAAATTTCAGGGGGGGGAAATCTCTGGGACTGGGGCACCCTCGGCTCCACCCTAAAGCCACCCCTGAACCTGCATCTCTCCTCTTCTAACTGTGGCGTGACCTGCCCCCTTCCTACAGTTTCTTTGTGTCTTTTTGTGTCTGATCTTTTGGAAAGACTCGACAGCAGATTCCCAAATAACACAATTTGAGTTCTGAATGATCAGTCATCACAAAAAGATGATACCTGTGTGGCCAAGGTGATTAAAAATGTGAGAAAAACAGCAACCAGCTTAAAAAATGTGAGGGATTGTATTGTTAATTCTGTTTTTTGGGGGTTTCTAATTATGTGTCCCTTGTCTTTTTTTGCAGTGCCCACCAGATACTCCCAAGAACCGCCGTGCTGCTGAAAACGACTTGTTGGAAAACACCTTCAGCCAGGTACATGCAGTCTTCATTGTTATAGTAACGCAACACATACCCATCATTTCTTTCTCTTAATTTGCATGAAAAATCACGCCGAGCTCTGAAATCCTGTGACAAATCCATAAAAAATGTGATACCATTCTTCTTAAAAAACCTTGACTTCTTTTAGAGTTACCACAACATAAGGTTCCCATCAGGCGCAGACACAACACGTACAGACACAGACAAGCATTTGGCCTTAACACTTTTGTTCTAGAGGCAGTTCGAGACAACGAGAAGTCCTGCTGGCAAGCAAACACTGGCCTGCAGGACTTCTACCAAATACTGCAGTTGTTTTCCCTCGAAACTCTGGCTTTGAAAACATGTTTTTTTTGACTCTCCTTCTCATGAGAGCACTTCCTGGTTTTTATAGGACTTCAGTTAAGTCAGGTCCTCTGATAGCAATTGCTGCAAGTGTGCTCACATGGTGTCGAATGTATGACTAATGGAGCTCTAATGCAACACATGGGAGCTGTTATTCCATAAATTTCTGTTTTTTTTACAGTTACTTCAAGCTGTTTGATACATGAAGTTCATCCAGTTATATGAAAAGACAATTTATATTTGTTTCCACACCCGCGTGTTTCATCACTCATATTAATGGGATCTATATCCAATTATCTATTCATTAGGGCCTAGTGTTTGTCTTGTGGAGTACTGGTGTTAACTTAGAGCTCTGGCAGACTTCAGGACACAGTCATTAATCCTGATGATGGTCCCAGCCAGACACAGTTGCAATAACTCAAAGACGCCACTTCTCTGTTTTTATATCTCTCTCACCTGTCACTTTCGTTCCCCTTTCTTTCTTTTTCATTGACGGTTACAATGTATGTGTTATTGTTTAGCCTCACAGCAAAGTATGATAAACCTTCAAACACTGCTGTCATCACAACTCTGCGCCTTTTAAGTTGAAAACCACTTTAAAAAACATGTGAACATATGCTCAGAGAAAGTGGAGTTGTTTCTATTCGGCTCTGTGGATAATAAGTGAACACGTAAAGATTCCAGCATGCGGGCCAGATGTCAGTGAGCCACAGCACTGCTTTCATTAAACTAAGCCTCAGTGAATGGCAGCACATTAGAGGCAGCATATGTGGAATGTGCAATGATGTATACGTGGAGCAAGTCTTGTACAGTATTTACACTGAGGAAGCAAAGGGTAAGCTGTGGTCACAGGGCAAAGGAGGTGCAGTATTTCTTTGTTAACCTGCTGACAAACACTTATTCCATCTTTGATAGATCTTATGTGCTAACCTACTGAGCATTTTTTGGTCTAAAAGAGGTCTAATAGATGTCTAAATGTAGCCTGGATGACTGGTCTAGAATCAGGCTACCACAGGTCTATAAATGAAAGTTTTCTAGACGTCTAAATTTAGACCAAGTTTAAATCTGGGCTATATCTAAACTACACTGTATATTGCTCAACAGCTATCATAATTATTTTGGTTAAAGGTGGGGTAGGCAGGATCTGAGGAAGTGCCAGTTTTGGGGAGAAATCTTGAATGTAAACACTTCCCCTCTCAGCCAGTTTTCCCCTCAGCTCCTCCTCTCCTCGCCGTCTCTGCTCCAGTAAGCCCCGCCCACAAACAGACGCTCCTGCTCGCTCGTATTGTTCCAATGAAATTCAGATAAAATACAGATAAATATTTCAGATAATTACAAATGGAGCCCAGTCAATGTGAAAGTAAAAAGCATTGGTGCTACTGTAGATGCCAACAGACTACCAGCAAACAATGTTTCTACGACTAGGATAAAGTGACACACTCCAGGACCTGAGGTAAACAGTTAAGCGGCGCTACAACATGCAGCAGGTCCCATTTGACAAAAAACACTTCTGTTACAGACACTTGGCTTACTTTGTTTAAGCGGTTCACCTGTCCAGCAGAAAGATTACAGGGTCTGTAAGATCCCAAAGCGTCCCCATCATTGTTGACCCGGCTTCTTAGCTCTTGTCCAATCTACTTCCTTTTTAAGGGCCTGTTATTCCGCCAGAGTCTCCGGTATTTACCTCGTTTTCTTGCTTGTGTTGGTGGTCGTGGCTAAAAAAGGATTCAGACAATTTTCTGTACTTTCCAGTTAGTTTCTACTGTCTGATATTGTAGCACGCTAACTTTGTTAAGGCTCGTGAACGACACAGGGAAGCAGTGTCTGCCTCACAACCAATCAGGTTGGGGAAGCGGAGAATGGCTTTGTTTACAGTCAGAAAGAGCGGAGCGCTCAAAAAATTAAAATGTTGACTACACAGACATAACAAAACACAGCAATATTGCGATATTACCAAGTGTCATCAATGACTAATAGCAATTGACTGATATTAAAAGCTTTTTTGTAGATACACCACAAAAAAAGATGCTTCTTTAACGGATTCCAGCCTACCCCACCTTAAGGTACTTGGAAATCAGTTATGCAACTCACAGTTGCTTTTTGAAATAAATAGTTATCAAATAATGGGTTCAAATTCAACGTCTGTATTCCATCTGAAAATATACAGAATCTAGACGGTTGAAATTTGGTTAAAAAAAACAAAATAAAAACTAGACGTCTAATCGATCTATTGTTCAGTGGGAACTATGGCAAGTTTCCTTCATCTGGAGTTCAAACAGCCCTTATTTACATAAAGATTGTGAGCAAGCTCCTCTGTCACTTTGCCTTTGCAGTTTCATCTTTAACCCTGATTAAACAACAAGCTAACCAGGATTAGCCCATTCAAACTCAGCCCTGAGTAGACTGTCTCATTGACGGTTAGCATCGTTTAGCATAAACAGAGAACTGGCAGCTGACTGAAGGCTTATATTTAACACACATGAGGGTTGTATTGATCCTCTCATCTGACACTTGGCAAGAAAGCCAACATGCATTCAAGCTAAAAGGCTGGGATAAACATCTTATTCCACACGATCAGACAGCTCTACAAATCTGAAGGCTTGTTTCAGGTCTTTATTCAAGCTAGATGACGTCTAAACAGAGTGAAATATTAAACTCAGCACTCCACCAAAACATGTTTTTTTAATGTTTGTACCATCTGACAGGTTGGTTTACTCAAGAGAAATTTTACCCGCCGTTAGTCGTAATTCAGTTGGGCATGTTTGGCATATTTTTAACACAGGGACTTGAATTTTAAATGAAGTTATGTTGGTCTGAACAGCTGTCGGCTGACCAGCGCTTTGATTTATCCGGCTAAACAAGGAAAAAGAAATCAACTCCTGCTGGTGGTTAAACATCATCTTTGCAGTGAGTTGAGTCAGGTTTGGTGCAGAGGTGTTTGTTTCATTTGTGTCTGTGTTTGGGTCACAGCAGTTTCTGCCTTCCTCTGCTATGACAAATCTCACCCACACTGTTTCTTATCATCCAACACAGAAAACGCATTTTTTTCCTTGCTTTCAACTCAGCTCCTAGCTGAAAGGTCATCTCGTCCTCGGAAGACCCACGGGCTTCTTTACCTCTTGTTTTCCTGGTCTCAGTGTGTTCGTACTCCAACTTTTTATGTTCGAGTCCAAAACCTGCTGTAAAATGTCTGCTATCTTTGAAACTCTTCCTTATTTCTCTCCTTCCAACTCACTACTTTGAAAATTGTTTCCACTTGGCTTTCCCAGTCCCTCCCCTGTTCTTGATGTAGATTATTTTCGTCTGTTTGTGACTCGGTGCACAGCAGGGTCCGTCTCTACACTTGCCTCTGGGCTCATGAGGTACAATATTTCCCTTCCTCTGTCTCCTCACCCTGTTTCATCTTATCATTTGTTTACTCAGAATAACTCTTAATGACCCCAGTGAAGCCAGTATGACTCCTTTCTTCGCTCTGCCTCTGATGCAATAAACTGAAATGGCAACCAGGTTTGAAGGGATGCATCCACACATGCAACAGGAAAACAACAGCTTGCAGATGCCAAAGATGTCATATAATGTTGATATTATGGAGACTTTCAAATGCAATTGCTGCCGCTGCTCCCGGGAACATCTCCAGAGATTAACTCACTATGAACTGCGGCAAAGCTGCCACTGACTGGGGATATAAACAGTACCTTAAAGGTTTGAAGAGAGTTTAGACATATCTTTCTTGGAAAATGGGAGCAGAAAAAAGGGATCAAACAAGAAGTAGGTTACAGTCATGCCAAAATGGGAGAAAAAATAGGAGCTAAATAAAATTTCTATGAAGGGCCTTTAAAGTTATTGGATTATTAGAGACAGTTTTGGTCATGACTCTGTCAGCATTTCCTTCTAAACATAGACAAAATCCAATTTTGGGCCCATGTGAAGCCAAAAATGGGAGTGGTATTTAGGTCATGTGGAGATATGATGTAAGTAAAAAAAGAAGTACTGACGTTTTCCTTTTTTCTTTTTTCTTTCAACAGGACATTTTTGCATCCAAGAATCTGGCAGAGAAAGTAAGACTCAAAATTCTCACACACATCAAAACATTTTCATTTACACAACCGAATCTCATGGTACGGCACAGCAGCTCAGAACAAACTGGTAGCCTCAGCACAAGCCTCGTTTATGTCCAGAGGATTCCAAAGAGTGAAAGAAACTTTGGAAAGATTTTTTTTATTATTTGTGGCCAAAAAAAAAAAAAAAAAAAAATGGTACCAGTGCAGCATCAGTGTTTTTAAACACAGTGGCATCTGGTGGCTGTAAAACACACTGCAGCCTTCTTAGCCATGGTCTGAAGCTTCAGTACACTTAATATCAATAATTTACTCTTAGTTGCAAGTGATAAAGCCGGTTAAGTGCCAAAGCATTTAAGAATTCGAAGCAGACCCAAAACATTAATGAGTCTTTTTAAATAGAGCAGTACGGGCACTTCTGTGGGCTTTGGTTTTTTATCGTCAGGACTGATATTTGTGTGGCAGAGTGATGCATTAAAGTCTTTAGTGAAGACTGAATTTCATTAAGTTAGCTGTGAACTTTTAATACATCGTTACTTTGTTTAATGTGATGATGAATTACGTCATTCTAATGTGCATGACTCTATTTTGTCATCTGCTCCCTTCTCTTCTCTTACTATTCTGGTCACACTCTAAAACTAAAACTTTCCCCTCTGTAGAACTGGATTCAGTGTTTACACAAATTTCTGTTCAGATGTTACGTCTGTGCTGGCTAAAAGCAACAGTTGACGTCCGTCCAACATGCCATCTTTTCAAACACGTGTGCATTCCTGACATGCTCCCATGATAAGCTAATTCCTCTCTAGAGATGGATTTGCTTGAAAAGTTTTGCAGTCCTTGTCTTTGCAGCAGGCTCCAGAGGTTTGAGGATGCCATGGTGTTGCATTGGCTGCCACTGTTTCATGAAGTTTGGTGTGCCTGTCACTTCTGTTTTGCTACAATGCATGTACAACTTTCAGCAGAGATGGTGACAATGCTAGATGGCTCAGTGCTGAAAAACAATGCAATGTCTCCTTACTTATGGGTGTGCAGTACTTACAAAAAAAATATCAATTCTTGAGATTTTGCCGATAATGATGACTGGCAATATTTCCCATCCTTTGAAAAGTGTGTTTTAGAAAAGTGTTTAATGTACTTGTATTGTACTGGCTTGCTCTTGTTAAAAGTATATCTGTCTGTTTGTTATCCTGCCGGGGTAACCACTGAAATCGCAGGCGCTTAAGGGAGAGAAAAAATAATGGCCTGGTCTAGACTTCATAAACAAAGACAGATAAATAAAAAAACACAAACACAGCTTCTGAGTAACTGACCCAGACCAAACTGTGTTATCTCTTGCCTCCTTTACCTTTTTTCCCCCATCTTTTTGTCTGTGTTTCTGACATCATTCACAAACTACACAAACCTTCAGGACAGGTGGACTTCACAGTAGATTTGTCATCCTGAGAAGATAACAGATAGAAATATAATGTCTACCTTTTTAATAGTGTCCAGAATCAGTGAACAAAAAAAACTTTCAAACATCATCATATGCAGGTCACATGTGTGTGTACCTTGGTGAGGTGTGCATGGGGCTAGAAAGTAAATACCTCTCTATTTTCTACTCCTTCTCTCACATAACCCAGCTTGCTGACAGGCCAAGGACTGATTTACACCTCATTATGCTCTGAGCCTCAGTCGGGAGTTGCGGCTGCCTATTAATTTTGTCATTCACCTACAATAGGCAAAGTTCGGTTCACAAATAGAATACTGAACTCCAGACGCTTCATTATGTCGCTCCTGTGTGTGCTTACCAAAGCAGCTGGCCGCCTCCCCTGACTTCTTCAATGTAGGTTATTACCTGGTTTGGAGCACAGAGCCTGCCCTGCCACAGGGGGGCACACACACTTGCAAAGCAACAAAGTGACTTTTTCCCTGCTCTGTGGATTTATTTTGGTCAAATTATGCAGGAGACAGGTTTATTTCTGTGTCAAATTGGCTCAGCTTCCCATTTGAAACCATTGATAATACAGCCGAATATCAAGCACTTCAACACCAGTGCCAACAAATCTTCCAGACATGCCTGTGCATTAATGGTATGGTAATAAATGGTGTGAATAAGGGGAAGATGCAGCTTCTTTGCACAGTCAGAAACCAATTTTCATCACGGCTTTCATGTCATGCTGCTTCAGCTATTCCTCTATTACTTGTTCCTGCTACATCAGTGGATTCTCTGTTGTGCAAGTCAAAAAGGCTCAGCTCCACCAATCACTAGGAATACATTAGTATGAATGGCTACTCCAGACCTAAAATCCGACTCTCTTCTTCACATCACGCATTTGCAGAAGTGGCACTTCCACGGAAAACACCCATACCTAACTGATTTGGAGTGTTTTTGGAAATTACAACCCAGGTAATTACTAATTTACGTGTACACTGATATTTCATTAGTGAGCGCTGGGTCTTGCCCTTGTTCTGTCAGTGACTGGAAGTGGGAGAGGCTGTGCCAAAAAATGAGCCCATCGGGATGTTTGATACCAAAGAACAGCACGCTGCTGCCATAAATTCAGTCCGTCTTTGGAGATGTTCAAGTTATAAATGAGGGTAGGTTTTGGCACACATGAGTAAAGAAAAAGGAGAGAGCTTGTGTTTTGGGAAGCATGGTGCCAAAAGGTGGCCTTATTTATTCGAAATTTAAACTTTTAACACTTGCTTAGATACTTGCATTGAAAAATCACTTCATAATTCCAGAAACTGATCGACTCAAAGCTACCTTTTATGACTTTTTTGACATTGCTAGTTTATTGATAAAAGACCTCTTGTCCTGACAAACTTAAATGATTAAACTCGTGAACTGAATATATCATTTAGGAGCAGCTCAACTCACGTGAAATGACTTTATTTTAATACATGAGTGCTCTATCTCAGCTGCGTCTGGTGATGTGCTCTTAGCAACTGTTCTTGAATTAAGCTTTTAAGTAAATTATACAAATTTTGTGTTTACATATTGTTTTGCTATGCCCATGTGGCCCTAAAAAACCCTGTGAAGCTTTCAAGTGCCAGTGCTAACACCATATGGTATGTATAGAAGTGATAAAACCCGAGAATAAACCTTTGTCTTGGGCATGTTGCATTCCCTTGAGTCGATGAATTTTAATGCCAACTAGCAGACTGCTGCGCTGTAGGGATTCAGTAAACACAAAGAAATCTCACTTATTTGAAACCTTAATTCATTGCCATGAGGTAGAGAAACACACTTGGCTGTTTACTGTGAAAAAAACATACCACAGAGATGCTTGTAGTCAGTGTAACGTGAAGGTTAAAATGAAGTTTTTGAACAAAGGCAGCAGGAGGGGAAAAGCTTTCTGAGGCAAAATTTAATTGCAAAATCCCAAACTCCGTCTTTACATACTCGTGAATGAATACGAAGCGCTGTCCCCGTGTCACATTATCAAATGTGTGGGCTCTTTCATCCAAGGCTACATTACACACATTCATGGAGTCTGTGTTCCTGTGAACTTATCTTTGCACATGGATTTTGGAAAGCAATTTCAACATACTCGTCAACTTCATTTTCAGTGAACTGTAGATTGAGAAGATAATGTTGCTGAAGACAGAAACGCAGCTGATAGCATCACCATTAAAACCGATGTTAGATTATAAGATATCATAACTGATGTGGTAATTATACTTGAGATTTTACCATTTTGTTTTTGCTTGGTCACTGGTGAACAGATTTTCTAGCCTCATTAACTATCGTACATGACTTTAACGGGACATTACAAACTATCAATTACATCTTGGTATATTAAGATAGCATCTAATGGATACCGGCTGGTGGCTTCATATCAATCATGACTTCTGTTTTCTCAGTCATTGTACTACTCTTAAGTTGAAAAAGTGGAACATTTATTTGTTTTTCATTAAAAATTTCTTTGGTGGCATCCAGCTGCAACCTTGTCGCTCTTAGACATACCTTAGTGGGAAATAAACATCACCAATGTGATGCATTGTGGGATTAAAACTTGGGCTTCTACTACTCAACCAACCAAGTGCAAATCAAGCCCACTGCACTTTGGATTGCTGAAGGTAGGCGACACACTTGCATGCTGACACTGAGCACATGAATGTGCACGCCAAGCACCTAAGCATGTAAGCGTGAACCAGTGTGCATAATAGGGCGGCCCCTGGGGTCACTTTTTCACCATCTTTTCCTCTTTCCTCATTGAATTGGATTTTAACAAAGTGAGTAAAAGGCTGGATTTTGCTTTAGCATTGGCTTATCCTTTCCGTTTTATTTATTTGATCTGCTTTTCATTTAACAAATTCAATCAGAATCATAAAAAGAGGGAGAAAAATGAAGCAAATGAAAAATACAAACAAACACAAACTTATTGTTGTTGTAGTTTTAAAAGGTATTGAAAGAGCTATTGATTTTTTAAACTTATTATCAAGAATGACTGGGAATGTATCTGTAATTGTGGATATTAAGCAACTCCCAGTAGTTTTGTGCATGTTTTTTTTTTACATCTAAAAGGTTCTTAATTCTCTTTTCTAGTATTTAATCATGGTAGCCAAACTGAATCAAAGAAGCACACCGTCTTTAAGAGCTGTGACATAATGCACACTGTCACTGAATGCAGCTCTTTTACAGCCTTTCAGGTTTTTCCATCCTGAATTAACCCCAGAGAATAAACAAGAAAGACAAGACTGCTGAGGTTTTATATGGAACTGAATGTGGACTTGACTAAACCCACGGTCAGACGGGAGTTTGGAAACACTGACTGCCCTCTGCAGCCGCACGAGCCAGCCATTGATAGATTTGCAGCTTTTAAGACGAAGGGGGTGGGGGGTGGAAGAGAAAAGGGACAGTTACTCATTGTCTCTGGGTTGTAACTCGTTCCCTTTGGTCTTCTCGCTGGGTTGAGTCATATGAACTTTCTGGTTTGGGAAAGCACAATTTCATGAAGCAGCAGGTTGAGGGGAAAGCAGCTTTAATTACTCACTAAAAAATGCCTCAGTTGGTCATACCAGTCATGATTGTTTGGTGTGTGAGGCAGAGGGAGTTTGTGAGCTCTCCTGAGTAGCAGCTGGTCCTCTCCCTCCTGTGCTGTGGGAATCAGACATTCCTATTGATCTTCATCTCCCACGGGAGTTATGCGTGTGTGTTTGTGTGTGAATGCCTGTGTGTTTGTGTGTCTATTTGCCCTCCTCACATCCTTTTTCACTGCACGCTGTCACTGCTGGAGTTGCAAGATTAGTTTGATGTTGCAGTGCCACCAGCTGGTCTCTTCAAAAATTGCACCTCATATCACTTCAAACAGCACTTCTTTTGTGAATTTCCAAACCAGTAAATTAATAAATCTCTCTCTTTCTGTGCCTTTTTTTTCTGTCTGTAGTGTGCTGGTTGTTTACTCCCAAACAGGGAAGGAAATGTAAGGATCGCTGATCTTTACTTGTATGTCTTTCCGCTGATGCATGCCAGAGCGGAGTGTCTAATCCTGTTTGTGTTTGTTGCAGGTTGTAAATTTTGGTGGAACTGCCGGATTGAAAGGAGAAAAAGGCGACCGGGTGAGTTTGAAAGATGCACACAACGTAACTAAGTGTGTATAATATCAGGGGAATGTTTGATGTCATCACGTGTGTTGGGACATGTCTGGAAAACAATGCACAGCCTTGTCCAAAAACACTCTCATCCACACACACACACACACTTTGATGTCCCTGTAGTCAAGTATGATGCTGGCTCTGGACCAATCCACCATGTAGCTGATTTGCATTCCTTAGAGCTCACCTACAAGCACTCATTCTTCTTCTCTACCTCTCTCCATCTTAGGGTGATGACTGCTCTGGCACCCACTCAGGAGGCCCTGTAAGTTGCTATTCCACTGCTTCTTTCTCACTCTAGGAAAGTTTCTTCTTCCTCTGCAGAGTAGTGTTGTCTTGTAATTTGGCACGCTGTAAAAAAAGAGGCTGTAATGTGGCCAAAATTCTTGTCTGTGATGATTCATGCCAACCATGTGTCTCTGACCTCAGTGCACGCAGGGACCCAAGGGCCAGAAGGGAGAGCCGGTGAGTGCCAATCTGCCGCTACAGGTTACGGCAACACATCCCACTGCGTCGCCAACTTGATAACCCCTTCAGCTATTTGGTTTGATCTTTGTTCAAAACCTCATTTTCAAGCAACCAAGCAATATTAATTATGCAGAGTTTGTGCTTTTGCCAGTGAGTCATTGTTCATGCATGAATTTACATGTGCTGATACGTATAATGCATCAGATTATATCTATCAAAAATCATGTAATACTGTCTTTTGTGTCACGGATCTGGGTAAAACAAAAAGGGAAAAGACCCATATTGCAGATCAAAAACGAGGATTTATTTTAAAAGGAATTAAAAGAACAAAAACTTGCTCTCTAAGTTGTCCAACTCAAAAATCCTAAGAAACACAAATGAAGAAATCAAAGAAAAAGACACTGGAGACACACAGGCATGGACACACAGAGGCATCGGCATACAATGAATTGACCAGGAAACAGGGGAAGACAGGGACTATATACACACACACACACACACACACAGGGAAACGAGCAACGAGAGGCAGGTGAGACACTGAGACACAGGTGCAGACAATTATAAAGGAGGGAAAACTGAGGAAGTAAAACAAGACTAGAAACACGGAATAAACTACTTTAAAATAAAAGAGGAAACACTGAAAACTGATATAAGCAATAAAACACAGAGAACATGAGGGAACTGGGGTCAGACACAAACTGAAAACTAACAAGACAGGATAACTGGGGAACAGGAACAATCGGGAACAGAAACACAAAACCAGGAAAAAACTCAAACTGAACACATCATGACATTTTGTGGCACTTGGAGAACAAGAGTGAAAATAACAGGTGTACAGAGATGTCCTTATCTGCACTATGTATCTGTCCAATTCAAAAAAATGTCTGTATTTGTATTCAGATAAAGAATCAGCAGTAAAAGCGTTGCTTTAACCAGAATTAAAGCCACCTCCTCCTATTGAGACAGTGATAGACGGATTCATTGCTTGTATGCAGCCTGAAGCCTAGCAGTTGAGGGACACAGTCCATATTCCAAACTTCAGGAAAGGAGTTCTCACTAAAGCTTTCAAAAGTGTAGGAAATTAACACATCGCGCCAAGACAACAGATTATCAGTTTTATTTTAATGTATGTTGCCTCCGTGGATGAATCTGACAGGGAGGGGCAGAGAGAGATGACTCAGTATGTCTACATGCACAGTCAAGTCTAGTTAGGGTTAAACTGGACAACTGTCCTTGTCCCACTTTAGAAGCACTAGGCACCCTTTCAGCTTGTCACTGGTTTGTCTCCTGGTTGTAGATGCATTTGCAAGTGGCATAAGCGATATATGTCAGGCAATAAAAACACTGTTACTTTCACAGATCTGTAACTTTTATATGATCTACACAACAGCTTTACCAGTTTTTACGTCTTTTCTTCTTCTGCTGTTCAAGTTTGGTTTACTGCTGTGTACTCACATATTCAACTTCCTGATTAAAGCTCGAATGGGCAGAAAACTTAGGCCAGTAGAAATGGCTCTCTTTTGTAAGGGCAATAACAAACACATTGGAGTAAAAACTTCCATGACCATTTGTGACTTTCTGAATTCAGATTTGTAATGGAGTCCTTCTCTTTTGGAGCGTCTGGAATAGATAAGATTATCTAGAAATGATAGCAGCTACACTTTGCTTGCAGTGTAGGAAACTCTGGTTCATCCTCAACTTTGAAATCTTCATCTGCTGCTGCCACACATTTGTTCAGCAATGGACATAAAAGATTTTAGTATATGAGAGAAAGCATCAACCCCACTTCAATTTTTCATCTCATCGATTGAGTCTCAGCTGCTTTTAGGGGCACTATTTCATCCTTTAGCTTATAAATCCTGTTGAATGCTATAGATTCAAGTGTTTGCATCTAAATACACAAAGATTGCCTGTGTCATTCTTGTAGCACATATGTGTTGCAAACCGTTGTCCACGATGCTCAACTGGTGTGTGTGTGTTTGTGTGTTAGATGTCTCTGTAGAGTCAGGTCATTGATCCGGTCCTCGTCTCTATTCCCTCTCTCCACAGGCATCACCTGCCAACTGGGGTGAAGCAGCTGGGTACAAGGTGAAAGGTTTCAGCAACTTCCAGTGATGCACGATGAAGATAAAGCCCTTCAATCATTCAGCTAATTGATTTGTTATTATTTATTCTTGCTGCTCTCATTCTTAAAATTTGATCTCTCGGCACTGTTAAGGGGGAAAAAGGTCAGAAGGGAGAGTACGGTCCTCAAGGTCTCACAGGAACTCCAGGAAAGGATGTAAGTGTCTTTGCAATCGACGTTTTCTCCTCTCCTCTCTCTCTCACTGATTCTTTATGCAGCTGTAGATCAAAGTGAAATTTAACTTGAGGTTTAGTTTAATAATTAGATTGAATATTTCTTTTTCCATTACCTGCATGCTTAAGTGAGGATTTAACACCAAAAAGGACAAAAAAAAACACTCCCACACACATTGATATCCACTCACACAGCTGTTTTCATCAGGCTGCGAGTGGATTTCCAGTAAACTTACACGGCATTACTCTTTAAGCTCAGCCTCCCATTGATATCAGCTCTCCCCCCCTTCCTCCACCCTGTGGCGTTAAGTCGGCCTGTTAATGCCTGTTAGATTAGGCTAGAGCAACAAAGCTTGCACAATCAATGCTGCCTCATTGACTGTTCTGTTAGTCTCACACACAGGCGGGCGCCTATTCATGACGACTTAAACCTCATAATCTTCCCTGTTCAGCACGGTGATCCTGTAGACGCATGAAAAGTTTTTCAGGAGCAAATTACATCGTGTGTGTGCTCGGAGATATTCCTCCCCGGTTCCTTTTAGGTATCAGACACACTCACGTTTCGCTGTTCACCAGGCTAAGTGCTTGTTGGGACAGATGGATTTGGGGGAGCATAGATTTTCTTAAGCCTCTCATCCATCTGACAGTGTGAATATGAATGTGCTTGTTGATGTGTCTTGACTCAGGCAAGCAGAAAATATTCCATATGCACCGCTGAAGATAATACATCTCACAGACTCTACAGTTCTCCGTATTTCAAATCGTAAAACGTCTGAAAAATGAGGAAAATCTGCAGCAGTGTGAGGATTTCTCCTCATCGTTCTTGGCTGACACTGATGATGTCACTCCCCTCTCTGTCTCTCACCATTTCCCAGGGTCGAGCGGGGTCCATCTGTGTCGTCGGCCCAAAGGGACAAAAGGTTAGTCTGCATTAAGAGTGGGAGTTTTCGCCCTTAACCTGTCTGGCACACATAAAAGTTCACTCTGAGTTTGATAGAGCTGCTGTTAACTTTTCTTTCCAGGGTATTCCAGGTGTGGTGGGTCCTGAAGGACTCGCTGGTGAGCCAGGACATCCAGGACTTCCAGGCCCACCAGGACCTGGAAAGCCCGGCCCACCAGTAAGTGTTTTTCTTAATTATAGAACTTTGGTTTTAACAAAAGAGCCCATTAGCACTTATTGGACAGTGTCATTTTACTCATTACCTTAATGTCCTCACAGTCTTTGTACGGACGGTGTCAGTTTGACTTAAAAGTATTATTATTAGCTTTGCTCTCACAAATGAGGGCAGGACTTGGCAAGACTCTTTCTTAAAATGCTTTTCAGCTGTTGTCAAGGACAAAGAACACTGCAGCATGAGAAAGACATTTGAAAAGTTTGATGTAACTTTTTTTGGAATTTCTAGGGCCTCCCTGGACCGCCAGGTGGAGCTAAAGGAGACAAGGTGAGTACAGCCTTTATCACATGTCATATGAAATCTCCAACGATATGGACAGGTGATCAGCACGGTTATTATCCAGTGGTTTATTTTGAATCTACTTATTAAATACAGATTTCCAGTTAGCAGAACACTGACAGCGACTGAAAGGCGACTGCAATGTTGTGCATGTACGGCAGCCTTTTAGCTATTGTATCCTCCTTTTATTCTGAAGTGTCTGTCAACCTCTGCATCTTCTTACATAAACAAAATAATCCAGCAGTGCATCAAAAGTAGTTAGCAAATCTGTAGAGAAGTTCAGACAGTCTATTTAAAACCAGAGATTAATGGTTGGAATAGGGTTAGGGTTAGGGTTAGGGTTAGGGTAAGTCATCAATAAACAATTAAAATTGTCTTTAATACTTTCAACAAATCTGAAAGGGTTAAAACTATTTTCTTGCAGGAATAAGTCAGAGGAAAGTTACAGTATGTAATATTTGGTGGCATTTAGCAAAGCAGGCTTTTCAGAGATGAAATATGTAAGCATGTGTAGGTTACTAAATATTTATCAGAATATAAAAAATGTGTTTTGTGATTTTTGATAAGCCTACATGCGAAGGAGCGGGTCAACTTTCACAGATGCTGCAATCTTGCGTTGTTAAATTTCCAATAGTAGCACAGTAAAGACAAACTAGCTTCATACAGTATGCATATTTCTATTCACTGAGTGGTCACATAAGGAAAAAAAGTAGATAAGACAATCAGCTGCAACTCCAGTGGGTAGTGGAAAATATAAACTAAAAGTCAAGTGTGTGAAAATTTTGTGATACATCTAACTCCCTTTGTGTCCTACCTATTCGATGTAGTCAAAATTGTGTAATACCCTTTATTTTTTTCACTTATTGAGGAGAGTTTATCCTGGGAATTTCGGGAGTGTGGATGATTCCGTGTTTATCCTCTAAGAAATGTTTTAAAGACAGCTGTTACTGTGGTCTTGAGACAAAAAAACTGGTCATTTGTTTTACCAGGGCGATTCTGGACCTGCAGGGGAAGACGGATCACCAGGAGATCCAGTAAGCCACCGTTAAACATAGATTTATATTCAGTAATGTATACAGAAGCTCTGAGTAATCCAACTTTGAGCCTTTCCTGTACGTTACTGTTTAACCGGGACGCTTTTGTTTTCCCAGGGCCCAAGAGGACCAGGGGGGTCTAAGGGAGAGAAGGTATTAGCCATCATCATCTTAAATCTCTTTATCTGCATGCCTGTGTGTGCCTCCATGTATGTACAAATCCTTATATATCATATTATAATGTTCAGGGTGACCCATGTGAAGTTTGCCCCGTGCCTGCAGACTTTGGCAACACAGTGGCTCTGCAAGGGAAGCCAGGTCCTAAAGGAGAGCCTGGAGCTCCAGGGACGGGAAAAACAGGACTGCCTGTAAGTACAACAGTTTGAGTTTAATGTCATGCTATAATGTATTCTGAGCCAGCCCTGAATGATCAGTTTAACATTTTTATGATCTTGCTACATGTTTTATTGGGGAGTTGTAGACAGTCTGAGCTGCGGCTGACGATTAAACCTTGAACGCTTGTTTGATAATGCATACATTTTACATTTTCTTATCATTTTGAGGGAAAGTATACTTCCTACTTCTATCTCAGGGTTGTACTTCCCCCTTGTAATTCTCACAGTGGTGCGATTTTCAAGGCTGCTGTCAAAAGTTTATCCTCAGAGGCAAAGGTCATTTTGTTAATGTAATCTTTATGTGTCTTTTCGTTCTCTGTCTCCTGTGAGTCGGGGCTCAAAATACAAGGCATTGTGTGTCTGTTTCTGTTCACTCTGCATCTTTGCACTTACCCCTGCAGTTGAAATGGGGGGATGATTTGTGGCGGGGGGAAAAAAGAATATAAATCTAAAGCCTTATGAGATTCTCTGTGCAACGATTTCCAATAATGTCAGCATCCATCTGTCATACCTGGTTAGGGCAGAGGGAGAAGGAAGGTAGAGCAACAGAGAGAGAGAGAGAAAGAGAGAGAGAGAAGAAAGATATGACCTGACTTTAACAAAGTTGAACTAACAACTCTCCGACTCCTGGTTAATCTCTGCTCTTTTCTTTTCTTCGCTTACCTCATACATACCAGGGGCCCCAGGGTGCAGATGGCAAAGCAGGACAGAAGGTATAGAGTTCCACCTCATTCATTTACAGCTTATGGTTCATTCATATTCTGTGGAAGCGTGACCTATACACACACACACTCATCTGCACACACTCCGCACTCAGATATGCTAACATCAGCAGTGCAGAAGGCTTGCTCTTCAAGCAGATGCAAGCAAACTTAACTCCACAAAGAAGAGAGACACACACTCACACGAACATTTCACACTCCTACACACACCCAACTCTGTAGCTTTACACCCAAATCTGTCAACACGCCTCATGCACTGGCACCCATCGCTGATACTCTCCCACCTCTACCCATTGTGTGCCTCCAATGCCATGTTGAGACACGACATCATGAAGCAGAAATGTTCATCAGACTGAGCTGGGGCTAATTTTGTCTTCTTGGATGTCTGTGTTTTTTATTGTCTTTGGCAGGGAGATTCTGGATCAGATGGCGCCAAAGGAGAAAAGGTCAGCTCAGGAGTCTCTATTCGGCTTAACGTTAAACAATTTCTTGTTTAGACCACTTTAATAAAGTTGTCAGCGAGATATAGTAGCCTATTAGCAAGCTAAACTTTCTCTTTAGTGCAAAACCTGCAGCATTACTTACATTATCTTGGACAAGCAGAACGTTTAAGCTATTTTAATTGAATGTGTCCTGATATTGATAATACGGTTTTGCCCTAAAATGATTGTTCCATGTGCTTCAGGGGGAGCCATGTTCTGTGTGCCCTACTCTTGGAGAGTTACCTACAAAACCCTTCCAAGGTGCCGCCCAGACTCTACAGCAGAAGGGCGAGAAGGGGGAGCCTGGGTTCGGGCAGAAAGGAGAGCAAGTAAGCCTGTGCTATTCAAAACAAGAAGGAGACAAAAACCAAACCAGAACGGTTTACCTGTCCGACTTGGTGTCTCTTTCTGATTCTGTACACGTCAGTGTGTTTGTCGTACAGTGAGCACCTTAATTAAAATGATGTATGGTTCCATTTTCACCTCCACAGGGGGAGCCAGGAAAAGTAGGATCACCAGGCCTTACAGGAGGAAAGGTAAGTAACATAAAAAGAAACAGACCTGAGAGCGGGTGCCCTCGATAGCAGACGAGGCGAACTGGCTCTGTAGGTTGCTGAATGGGGTCTTTAATAGACTTCATGAGGAAGATAATCACAGCGGTGCACTAATTTTAGGGCCCAAACCTGTCTGCCGGGGGGATTTTTCTCAGTGGGGAACTTATTAGCGAAAGGCTCAGGTAGTGAAAAACCACAATTATTTGACATGGCTGCCTGTAGGGCACTTCTTACTATAAAAATGTGAATAACCAATTTCAAAAGACCCATCCATTTTTATCAATTTATAAAATTCAGACACAGGTAATTTTTTTTGCTTGTCTTCAGGGCAGTAAAGGAGCTGATAGGAAGCCAGTAATTTTGAATTTAGTGTCACAGGTTAGCCCACATACTGATTCAATGCTGTGATTTAACAAAATGTGTCTCGTCTGACAGGGACCAAGGGGAACAAGTGGAAATGTTGGAAAAAAGGTAGGAGGATAGACCCGCTGGATTTTACTTAACAAAGATACTTAATGGATTTTGTTGTCATTGTTTTTGGACTAAGTAGTTTGTGTTAACTAGTTGTATTCAGAAGTCTTTTGACAGTAAATTTAGGATCAGACTTACGTACGTCATTGCAATGTTTTTATGCGAACTAATACAGGGACACACACTATAAGTGAGCTTACAATGGCTCTTACTTGAATTGAAAGCTATATTTTCTCTCCAAACCGAAAGAGGAGTTCTCCTTTGGGATACCAAACATTTTTTACTCCTAAACTTTGATTTGCACATTGTAGTCGTATCCCACAGTGATGCTTTTTTACAAACCGCGCTTGTAATATTGGAGTTACCCAAGCCTTTTGAACCAAAACAATCCACCTGCACTTTGAACTGACGTGCACAGGTTTTCACAAGGACAAAAAGATCAAACTGTAAATGTAAGCCCTCTGAAACCTTCATTGGTTACCTGTTGTTTTTAGAATATGATTTAAAATCCCCCTCTTGGTTCATAAAGCTCTTGCTGGTCTGGCTTCACAGCACATCACAGACATGCTGTCAGTTTATAACCCCAGCAGATCTCTGTGGTCACAAGGTGAATATCTCCTCTATATATTTAAAGCACTTTCAGAGTCTGGTGAGAAGGTATTTATGCACCTAAAAAGGAATGGGAAGATTGTGGCTGAGACACTGTGTTCTTTTCAAACTTAGATATAGATCTTTTCACTAAAGTATCTCTTGCATCATTCATCTGTCCTTCACTTGAGGACTCTCATACATCCCCGTGGATGTTATCTGCTTTGTATGATCCAGTGTGAATAGATTTGGAACGAGGTCATTTTTATATAACATCATTTAATCTGTAAGCCCCATTCTTGAAAAAACTAGTTTGTTTTTCTTTTAACAGGGAGAGCCAGGTATCCCTGGTATTGGTGTTCCAGGACTAAAAGGCGACAAGGTAAGAATAGACACGTGTTACTTTCTTCATCTTAAGGATTGACTTCCATTAGGCTAACCCGTTTTGCCTTTTAGGGTGAGTGTGGCGTGTGCCAACCAGCTGAGGTTGGAAGTGGGCCTGCTGGCATCAAACTGAAGGAGGGAACAAAAAGCACGCCAGGAGAACCAGGCCCTCCAGGTCCACCTGGTCTTCCAGGTTTTGGAGCTGATGGCAAACAGGTGAGATTCTTAAAACATTACGGACTCAAATGAAAACCAAAAACACCAAAGCAGCTTAATTTTGATTATGCAAGTTGTTTATTTTGAATCGCTGCCTTGCTTTTGATAAAAATAAGCCAGTGATGGAAACAGAAGCTGATGTTGTAACAGACATTGAAATTCAGTGTCTTTCTTACAGTAGGTGCTTGTTGAGAGGGCAGTAGGATGCAATCTGCACAATTGGAGACTAATCCCTGACATCTAAATTCTTAATGTTTTTGAGTTATCCTGCAACATTCAAGCAGTAGTACAGAAACATTTCATTAACAAAACTCTTGTAGAAGAGCGAACAGTGAGGGATAATATCCTTTCATATTTAAGTGAATTGAAGTCTTCCTTTCAAAATACTGGATCAGCGTTAACCGCCTTTTACTTAGATTAAAATACAAGTAAGGACCAAGCTTCTCTGTTTTTTACTTAACATAAAGGGATCAGCTGAAAAGGTAAAAGTGAAATGTTGGTATTACTAAAAAGGTACAAATCATACGTGACAGTAATTATACCAACAGGTTATACAAGTATTCCGCTCTTACCACAAAAGTGTGTCATAGATCTCAATTACCTCCTGTCACCTCTCTATATTACATGCTGTGCACCTCAGGGTTTAGCTATTTATCAGCAGCTATTTTAACCTGGATGCATGAAAGCTTATAATCCTGTTGAAAAATGTGGTTTATTCTGCATACCTATTTGTGTCACTTTCATGTCTATTTACGGTTTTTTTTAAATTAAAGTCTGTTTGCTTGCACAGGGTCCACCCGGTCTTGCTGGTGCTAAAGGAGAAAGGGTGAGTTTCCTGCCAAAAGCTCTTTATGGCTGTTTCCCAGAAAAAGTCGTTCTACTTACTTATTTTCACTCACGGCTTATGCCAGACATGATCAGGCAGTAAATTCATACCACATAAAGTCAGCAGAAGAAATGTTGCCTACAGATCAATTTCTCTCAGAGCATTTCTCCATGGCCTGAAAAACCTCTCTTTACATAACAGTCTACCTTATATACAACCTACTGCATAACCTGGAGGGACCGGGCTATTTTGAGTAACTGGTGGCCTTTAGAGGCAGTCAGATTCTCTTAACTAATTTGACATCTACTAGGACCAAGGATTTCTGCAGGAGAATAACCCCACACACAGTATCTGAAGATATTTTAAGAGAGCCAGGGCACTCTGTTTCATTTCAGGTCACCAAGTCCATCTTCTGGAACATTCACAACACTTTACCGAAAATACCAGGGAAATAAATCTGCCATCAACAGAGCCAGGCAGCTTTAAATCACATCCATGCTCCCCCACAATCACTGTGCTCAGAGTCCAAAAAACAGAATTAAGCCTATACTTTTTGATTTTTGAAGCGGATTCTGATATTGGTTTCAAAACTTCAATTCATCACATCACAAGTGCTTAAATTTGAGAAACAAGAAGGAATTTGATGTTCTCTTAATGGAGTTCACTTGGCAACAAACAAAGTTGGGTTCACCCTATATCTTATTGTCAGACCAATCAGATATGTGAGCTGATCTGAGCTGGCAAAAGCTGCACTGCATTGCAAAAGATCAAAGTTTCCGCAGTGCACCTTTAATGTAACTTTTACAAGAAGATACAGTTACCTGGCTTTATTTCTTATGGTTTTATTTGATCGTAACTAGGGTGATCAAGGGGATCAAGGAGATAAGGGACTGGATGGAGCTTCTGGAGCCCCGGGACTGCCTGGAGAGCCTGGTCGAGATGGACTTCAGGGGTTCAAGGGAGAAAAAGTAAGGGCTATATAAACTTTTGAGCCACATTCACTTTGCCAAGACTTTTTTTTGTACTCACTGGCTGGTTTGATACTCATATCTTTTGTGCAAAATGTTGATACAAACAGCTTAACACTAGAACACGATCGCTAAAATTAGTAGCACCATCACTATCGCCGGGTGATTTTTACCTGAAATAATCTACCCAAGAAAAAGTACTTGTCATCAAAATATATCAAAATAGGACGATACATGACAAATTAAAGTAGTTTTCTTTTATTTGTGACTATGCAATGTCCAAAGGGAGGGAAAAAAAGTGCGATGAGGGGACCATATAAAAATGCAACAAAATAACTGAAATTAAGCATTCATGAACAAAAATATCCTAAAAAAAAAGAAAAAATAGAAATTGTGATTGTTCCCCCTATTCCTGGGGCATGTGAGTCTTCCCTGGTGAAGACTCAGGGTCCTTGGCACAATAACAGCTGCAGGAGAGAGAACCAAAATATAGCATATTTTGAGTGAGTAAAAATGACCAGCTGACTAAAATATTTCTTATCACCACATGAATTCCCTTGAAAATCCCTATTTTGTGATAGTTTTTCATAACCACTGCGCTAAATAAAGATTGCATGCAAATTCCAGGACCACCCTTTACTTTATTCCCAACATGCAGCTATCAAATCCACCTAAACCTACTTATCCTCTATCACTATTGCTGGGTGAAAATCACCCGAACACGTGCCTGTAAGAAAAAGCGGGTTTTGGATCAGTGAAACAAATATGCCTTCAAAGCTGTCAAAGGCAATGCTGAAGCTACGCAGGGACCCATGATACTCAGAAAAACGCAACATAATGAAAATCACATGAACACGTTTGAAAATCACCCGGCAATAGTGTTCTAGGGTTAAAAAAGTAGCAGCCATGTTTCTTACCCTGTCCTGCTTCAGCACTCTAATATAAAAGACAGAGAGCTGGGTCTGTGTGTGAATCTGGATTTGTTTTTTCAGTATTACTGGACATATTTTAAAACAGATTGTCACAATAAGTTCCCAGTGGTAAAAAAAATGACATTTTAAATAGACAGTGATTGGCTAAGTGAGGAACTACCATTTGGTGGCTTTATTAAATTGCTGTAAAAGGCTCCTGGATCATTATTTGTATTCCTCATGTTTCCCAGGGCGACGCTTGCACCAGCTGTCCCACTCTGGGATCTGCAGTGGGTAATGGTGTTGCTGTGCCAGGCCCCAAAGGCGAGAGAGGAGAGCCTGGTCCCAGAGGAGATGGGAAGCCAGGCAAAAACGTGAGGGAATTGTGTTTCTATTCATTTACCTATTCTTAATACGCCACTGCGAGGAATGGCTGATGAACATTGTGCATGTTTTCTTTCCAGGGAAAAGCTGGCTTACCAGGTGTGCAGGGGCCTGCGGGTCCCAAAGGAAGCAAGGTGTGAATGTCCTTTTTATTGTATTAACATGGTCATAAATACATGCAGCTGACAGTTTCTCACACTGTTTTTTCTTGTGCTATCTGTAGGGAGAGACTGGAGCTGCAGGAATTGGCCTCCCTGGAGCACAAGTAAGTCAGATGTGTCCTTAAAACACACGTATACATGTTGAGTCTTTACATGGACAGCTAATGCAGCTCCTTGACAGTAAACAAAGAAGAAGCTCGTAAACAGATGCCATCTTGCTGCAGTCTCAGTGATGAAAACCACATGAATCCCAAAGATCTAAAAAAAGGAGTAAGGTTATAAATTTTGATCTAAAGCTTATCTGTGGACATTCTTCCTCAAATCCTTTGGCTCACCCTGGAATTTTTCTTGTTTGGTTTCTATCAAAACAAAGACTTCCCCAACTCCTGCACTGGAAAAATAACTTTTAGTCAGGCTTCCTCCTCAAATGTCCCCAAATTAAACATCTCATTTCCCTCTTTTGTCTTCTTCATTTATATCCTAGGGTGAGGAGGGACCAAGAGGACTCCCAGGACTTCAAGTGAGTTTCTCTCCTGTTTTTTAAGTTTGACTTTTTCTACACTTCATATTTGGGTTGTTGTCTAAGTTTACTTCTTTTTTTTTAATGCAGGGACCTCCTGGACCTAAAGGACTGACTGGTCCTGTTGGTCCTGCAGGAGATAAGGTAGCATAAAGACGCAGGACCCAAGAAGAAATACACGTGGACATAATAAATCAACATAATGTAACATGGCTTATTTTTCACATGTTTTTTCTTCACAGGGCTCCAAAGGAGACGTTGGGCTTCCAGGACCACAGGGGCCTGTTGGCATTGGAGTAGCAGGGCTTCCGGTGTGACATAAATGCATCTTTTTTGCATATCTAAATGTGCATATGTGGCAACGCTTTTGTAATGTCAAATGCTGTTTTTCACACACAGGGTAGAGACGGAGCCCCCGGCACTAACGGATTGCCAGGAGCTGATGGCAGACCTGTGAGTTGTCTTCTTCCTTTATTGTCATCAAGCCTCATTTGCATGTTTTTTATGCATTTGCATCAACAATTTGAGAAGCTGTTAAAGAAATTACAGTAGATTAGTTGAGTTGTTGCCACTGCATAAGCGCCTGTGCAGAGTTTTAATTTTCTTTGAGCCTCTTTGGGAATTGTCCTTGATTCAGGCATCATTTGTAACTAAGGATGTCCGCCTCGATCCATAACAGAGGCGACGTCTGTTTGCATCTCATCCTCTGTCCCCCGATCTGCGCTCAGCTCACTGCCCCCGTGAGCTTTGTTCTGAAATAACAAAGCAAGAGTAACTAAGTGTTTGTGTGTGTCTTTTTTTTTTCTGTGGATGTGCGTACATGAATTTTCACTGTCTCCTTCTCTTGCAGGGACGTGATGGAGCTAAGGGGGACAAGGTAAGTCTACCGTTTTGTTTAGATGAAGGGATCTGGAGGGGTTTGAATAAAAAGGGGGTGGAACAGATGGTAATCGCAAGAGATGGTTCAACGCACCCACAAACACACACACACACACGGAGGCGTACACACTCGTGTGCCCCGGGGCCACGGATAGAGTAACAGCGGAGGTGACGAGTGTGCTGTTCTTGGCAGACAAGAGGAGTTTTGGGGCTTTTAAGGGTGAGAGTGTGTGAGACTATTAATTACTGCATTTATCAGAGCCACCAGTCCACACTGTCACTGAGAGGGTGGGGAAGATGAAGAGGAGGTAGAGGGCGTGCTTCATGGTTAGTGTGGAGTGTGAGAAGTGGGAGTGCCACACTTTGAAAGAAAAAATAAATAAATAAAATAAAATACTAAGAGTCAAAAAAAGGTCAAATTTAGCAAAATTCCGTCTTTAATCTTTCTTGAGTCTTTACAGATCATATATTCTGTAAAATCCTTCTATATCAGATAAAAAGTACCACTCAACAGTGTTTTTTCTCCCTTCAGAAGCAACAAGACAGATAACAGCCCCACTGAGCAATAGACAGCTACTAGACATCCAGTTTTTTTAGACCTAATTTCAACCGTCTAGTTTCTGTAAATTTTTAGACAGAATTTAAACGTTGCACTTTAACCCATTATTTGATAACTATTCAAAAAGCAATTGTGAGTTGCATAACTGATCTCCAAGTACTTAACCAAAATGATTATGATAGCCGTTGAGCAATATACAGTGTAGTATAGATATAGCCCAGATTTAGACTTGGTCTAAACTTGGTCCAAATTCAGACGTTTAAAAAACTTTCATTTTTAGACTTGAGGTAGCCTGATTTTAGACCAGTTGCCTGGGCTACATTTAGACACCTATTAGACCTCATTTCGACCAAAAAATGCTCAATGGGGCAGATCCTTTAGGTTCCATAATGACAGTTCCACAGAGCAGATCTGGGCCTGGGTCAGCGCACAGAACATATTTGAACCCAAAACGGTGATCTACCTGTCGCACAGATGCTGGGTTTTTGAAGATGTAGTGAAGTCAGAGACCAATCTGACATTGTTTCCCCTTTGGCCACCTTCTTTGGTTGCCCTGTGGTCCATTTCTACAGCTCACATGCCCATTGTAAGAACCAGCAGTGGCCAACTTGAGCACCAGTTTGACATAGGCACCCACATTACAACAGAATTCTTACATGCTAATCAATCATCAATTTGTGTCTGATCAGCAAACATCCAAAGGTTTTACGGTCTCACTTTTTGAGGAGGTATTACAGAGCTTTTACAATAGTTTCCAATAATATAATTTCCCCAGAGAATATTATAATGGCTTTCACAGCTTCTCTAGCAAACCTGAAGGGTGTTAACTTAATAAGAGTCCTGAGATGGTGTTAAAAAGTCGCCCCTCAGATTTTTCCTGCCATCTCCCTCTAATCCTATTAACTGGTACATTTAAATTGATACCTCCCTATTGTTGTGGATTATCTTTGGTTTTATGAGTGATTTCTCAAACCTCCATGTACTCCAGTATCTACATTATGTATGTGCTCTTCTGAACACTCCTTTGTCACTTTCATATTAGCATAATTTTGCATCTGGAGGCACTGTCAACAGTCTTGTTTCTCCTCGACGAGACTTCCTTTAAGCATTTCCAAACTGAGCAGTTCTCCGTCTTTCAATATACTGCATAGAGATTTTTATTTCTTCCGTTGTCTGTTCTCTCACATATCTTAAGTGAATTACACCTCTCTTTGCAATCTTGTATTTTTCACTTTCAAGTTTAACACTTCAAGTTGACTAAAGTGAAATAAAAATAACTTCACACCGATTCATCCCTGCAGTTTAGAGTCTCTTTATGATGCATAAAATTTTAGGATTTAGCAAATCTGCACAGAAGAGGCCTGAAAGCTCAAAGAGATCCGACTTTTTTTGTTTTTTTATAAAAAGAAGTTTTAATGTTGGATGAGCACTTCAGTTTTGCAGCATGTGCTTAAATTTGTGCCTGAGCCCCACTTTATCTCTCATTTTTAATGCCTCTTTTTTTGATGTATATTTTAGGGTCTACCTGGAGAGTGTGGCTGTGGTTCCCCTGTGCCTAGCAGTGTGGGCGGACCTGTAAGCACTCACACACACAGAGACACTGAAATTAACACATGTAGGCATGCAATTAGTTTAATCTAGGGAGATGCATCCTAACAGCAGGAGCTTGAGTACACATTGACTTTTAAACACACCCTCAGAGGATTTATTGGAACTCCACAGGGGATGTATAGAGAAACACATCCATGCAGGGTTATTTCCTCTCTGCCTCTTTCTGTGCTGTGACATTTCTTGTGTTATTCTTAGCTTAACGCTTCATGAGCTCTGTATTTTTTGTTTGTGAAGGCGCTGCTGCCGCTCTGATTTTGACTCCTTTTGCCTTGCAGGGAGCTCCAGGAACTCCAGTAAACACTTGGCAGCCAGGGCCTCAGGTCTGATCTGTCAGCCAGCAGTCCTGTCTGATAACTTTGGCTTTGTTTTATGCAAGCTTTGCTTCTCCTTGCAAAGTTTGCTCTGAAAAGAAACACAAACCTTCCTTGCTGTTTTACTCTGAAGATGTGATGCTATTTTAAAAGCTTGTCTTCTGTGTTTTGAAGGGCCCTCCAGGACCTCCTGGGCCTCCTGGCCCCCCTGGACCTCAGGGTATTACTGGAATACAAGGACCACAGGTAAACAAAAGGGGGCAGTAGGATGGTGAGGGGGTTCTCTTGCAGCTTCGAAGCTGCTCCGTCAGTCTGGATGGATGTAGACTCGCAGCTTGGGCATTCGGGGTGCCTACAATGCTTTGACATGCTTTGCAACTTGGTTGGTGAATGAAGTTCAAACTGTGCATGTAGGAAATGGAGCCACTTATATACTCACTGTGAACTGTAGTACTGTCAAAAATAGGATTCAGAAATACGGGTCCAAAGAAAAATGCACTAACCTGAAAATGGCTTTGAGCTTTAACGTATGAAGGAGGCAACTGAGCAAGCTTTGTGAATGTCTGTCAAGACATGAACATTTGTTTGAAGGTCTGGTTGAATTGGCTACATTAAAATTCATTACAGTATTAATTTGAAGTCCTTGTTTGATGATTTTAAGTTTTGAATCTTTACAGACCTTCAAATAAAATGGGATTGTGATCTGCACTGCAAATCAAAGGGGTGAGAAGGACTTTGGAGAAGGTTATGGTCACAGGATGGAGGAGGTCATGTCTTTGACAAGGGTGTATTTGCAATAAAAAAACACAGAATTAAAAAATAAATAAAAAAAACCCACAATCTTAGATTTGGTCGGATTGAAGGCAGAGGGAGGAAAAGGTTTCATTTTGACCCTGGCCCTTTCATTCTGTCTTGACCATTGGTGGAGGTGGGAGCGGCTCGCCTTTTGATTGGCAGCATATCAGTTCAACCTCAGTTCCTTCTTTCAGGGTATCCCTGGAAACGACGGGGTACCGGGGAACCCTGGTTTACCTGGATACACCGTAAGTAGGAAGGGAGCGGCGGTGGTTCTTATTTTTTTTGACTGAAGACCTCATGACTATGATAACGATAAGAATCACAGAACAAATGAATGTGACATGGAAAGGTCAGTTTAGCCTTTTTGGCTTTTATTAGGTTTGAAAAACTTGGACAAGGCCTCTACTTATGAACGTATTGGATAATACAAGGTTAAAGTATTATACATGAGCTGGCACTTAAAAATCAGACAATTACATTTACATGTCATACAATTTTATTTTGTTGTGATTTAAGGGCTTTGAATTGTGTCAGTCCCTGAATTTTACAAGACAATTAGATTCAGATTTACCTCCTTGATATCATACATTTTGAGGCAAGCTGTGGATGCTAGACTAATGATACAATATTTAAAATATTGATATTAATTTTTAATCAATGTGCGCAAGCTTAATTTTTGATATGAATTATGGATCACTGTGGGAATGGACCTAAGGTATTCTGGTGTATCTCAAAGTGACGGATATGGACTTTACTTCAAATATATGCTTAGATTTTCAAAACACAACCTATTGATATTCAGAGTTGCGGCCTCTTGACAATCTGACCTCAGGTCCGTTTTTAATCTCAGAGGATTTTCAGTGTCTTTTCAGACAGAGTTAGTTTACTCACAGTGAGTTTAAGGACAGCATCAAAGTGAGAAACAAGTTGTTTTGTTGTGAAGTTATAGTGGGTACTTTCTTCTTTTTTAATGTGGTGCCAGTGTTGTTTCTTTCAAGTGTGTGGATGGCTTAATTTCATTAAGGGAACATCAATGCTGATCTTCAGCCAGCACCCAAGGGGAACTTCACCTTCAACAGAGGAATTAAAGTAGAAGTGTAATGGAGGTCCTGGGAAATCAGATTTGAGACAGATCTTGTGGAAACTATTCAGAAAGGTGTTGATTGTTACCATATTTAGCAACAGCTGTGTCGTTGACTGACCACAGAATGAACTGGTATCAACTTTAAGAACTCTGTATGGAGTAAAAAGGTTAATGCCGGGAGATAAACCTATCAAATGTTTCTTTTCTTTCATGGTTCTGCTGCTTTTATATCAGTCAAATTGGCAGAGTAGTTCTTATGACCCTCAGAAAATGCCTCGTCTTTGAAAGTAACACTGTGTTGCCCAGAGAAGTCAGCAATAGTACACTCCACTACACAGAAATATAGAGAAACTTCTATTGAAGAAAGGCCTTGTTCCCACCCATAAAACAGCCAATACTTTGCAGCATAAAATAGCCTTTCTAGCTAATGGCCCCAGTTTGAACAATGTCAAATGGGCTGGTAATGACTCTGAAACCAGGCCAGGTGCTATTGACAGACTCATGCAGTCGAAAAAGGTCCTGCTGCTTTGATAGGGAGCCGACTGCCTTTCACAGTAAATGTGATTGGGCTTTTGGAATGAGGAAAACATAATGTAAAGGGACAGCTTAACTCCGGTGTGCCTTTTTTTTTTTGTTTGTTTTGTTTTGTTTTTGTTTGTGTGGAGCAGGTCTGAAGGCTCTCTTTGAAGTTAAAACCTTCTGGCTCAGACTCCAGCTCTGGGGAAAAAAGCTTCTTGACCATTAAGTTGCATAGGGATTTAGGGTTTCGTGTTTCTGGTAATTATCTTTAAAGCTCCTGTGAGGAATTTTTTGACAACATAGACTTAAATATACAGCAATGCCTTTTTTATGATAAACAAAGGCAGTCCAGACCATTAGTAACATATTGGCTGTTGGAGTATGTAATTTTTAATGCCTGAAAGCAGTGCGAGGGGGGAGGTGTAAGCTGAAGAAACAGCCCCTTTTTTTTTAGCAGTATACATAAATATTTACATTAAATGATAAATTTGACTGTCTAATTCAGCAGGACAGGATTGTTAAAAGTTACGATTCAAGCATGTAGAGGACAAGATGAGTAAGGACAGCTTTGTCCACAGGGGGCGCCAAAATTGACTTAAACCAAAAGATCTTCACAGGAGCTTTAAGAGCTGTAATTTATAACTGTCCATATTTTAACGTTAATTAAGGTTAACTTTTAATTGACATTGAATGTGCAAGTTATTGTTGTACTTCATTGATTCTAGCGTCTTTTGATTCAAGAAGTGGTGTGTTTTAATTAACTCGTAACTTGATCTTGATCTATCTCAGTCATGTCTTGCACTTGTGTAATGCTAATCTAACAAAAAATTTTAATTTTAATTTTACCATTAAAAAAAATTGACCATTTGCTATGACCATCTATTTATTGTGCTATCTGGGGCAAGGATCCTGGATCATTACAGGGAGGCATCAGTGTTTATTTCTGTCTATTTTGTAACAAGCTACAAACACCTCATAGTAGCTTTGCTGATAACTCTCCAGCCACAGCGTGATGATGATAGAGGGTACAAGTGTAGCTGTGAAAGAAATCACGCTCCTTTGTTCTTCAGTTTTGGTCCATCAAATGTGAAAGTACTTTCATTGTCATGCTTGGGACTCTTTGTAATTTTTTGGCTCTTCAGTTTATTAATAACTCTTTTTTTTTTTCCCCCGCTTTTCTCTGTAGACCCCCAGTGGACCCTCTGAACTACCTCGAGACTCTACAGAAGGAGTTGCAGATGTAAGTGCTTGAAGTACATTTGAAGAGCAGAGTTAAATGGATCCAGAGACTTTTATTTTATGTGTTTTTCAGCTTTTGAATGAAAACTGATGATTTTTGTGTCAGAGTATATGTACAGAAGTTGTATATATACGGCTTTTTCCTCCATGTATGCGCTATGACACAGGAGGGCTGTTTTGGTGAGGACTGTGCCAAAGGGTTGCCAGGGGTGCCGGGGGTGGTTGGTGCCAAGGGAGAGAAAGGAGACCAGGGCAAGCCTGGTGTCACCCCGCTGGACAGCTGTGACAGGGTGAGACTTGGACAGATGGGGATATTTCTCATTGAAACATTTTCAGCTTCACGATATGATTCAGCAACTCCTGAATCATACCGATGTCACTTGACGTGCAGCCACTGAGCCTGATGTTGTGCTTTGATAAATGCAAAACGGCAGCCTCTCGTTTTGCATTGGGTTCATGTTTGCATGGCTGAATGTGCGTTTTTATCAGTTTGACATAACATAGTGCCAGCAGTAAAGCCTCACTGTGACAACTTACTCTGCCGTCTCTTTCCAGTGTTTAGAGAGACTGCAGAGAGAACAGGCGACACAAGCAGTGGTCAGTTGAGATTATCATCAAATTCTCTGCATCTTCACTTTCATTTAAACTGACACATGTGCACATTCCTTGCATCTGAATTCTTTTGCCTTACAGGGTGACCGTTCCTGCACCGGGTCACCTGGTATTCCTGGAATGCCTGGATCACCTGGAATAAAAGGAGAGCCAGTGAGTCGATTGATCCATTTTCTCACACGTACACTGTTAATTTGATGAGACACTGACTTCACAAAGTTCAACATCTCCCTTTTTCTCTCCTCTTAATTTTATTATAGGGTACACCAGGAGATAGAGGCTCAGCTGGAATTCCAGGAAACTTGGTAAGAGCTGTAAAATCACAGAATCCATCAGGTTGAATCATTCCAGACAGCTCAGCTTTAACTCTCTTAAAGCTGTGTTGTAAATCTGAAGCCCTCATCTACTTCTTGTGAGTGCCTGCGGTACCCATATTACCAGTGAGGAGCTTGTGCTGGCATTTTCCATGATATCACAGAGCCACCTGCTGGTCTCAGGGAAAATGTCACACAGTAAGGCCCCTAACACAAAGGGGTTTGCACACTCTAGCTCTGTTTTAGAGCTTGTAATATTCACTTAAATGTCCGGTAGTGAACCAAAACTCATTCTGCCTGAGGAAGTTGATTTATTTACTTTTCTTGTTTTGAGTGTTTTTTGTAAACAATCTTTTGGCTCTTATTTTGTCCACAGGGACCCCCTGGTTTTCCTGGTCCTCAGGGATCATCTGGTCTACCTGTAAGTATAAATCACATTTTTTTAATCTGTGATGGATAAGTAATAATATTTTGCTATTTAGTAAAAACACTTGCATAACAACTTTAACATGTAGGCCTACTTAATATTCATATAGAGATTCTATTCAAATCAAAACTGATCTATTGTTAAAAGAGAAGTCCTTCCAGTACTATAGCCTAGAGATGCTCTACTGCTAATAAACATTAAAGCTCCAGTGAGAAACTTTCTGTTTGTATTAGTTTTGATGTCCCCTGTAGACAAATCGATCAATCAATCATTCAATCAAATTTTGTTTATTCAGCGCCAATTCACAACAGTCGTCATCCCAAGATGCTTTTCAAAGAAAGAGCGCAGGTCTAGACCACACTCATTGTTAGATGAAAGCAGTCTTTGCTTATCTTACCTACAAATCATCTCTTCCTGATGTGGTTTGATACCCAAATGTGTCACTTTTTTGTGAATATTTAATGTAAAGAAGATTAAAAACAGGATTTTTCCCATAGCAACTTTACCGACCCCTCACACAAGCTACAGTTTAAGACCCATCGGTCTTGCTGTTAATGGTTTGGTTTACTTTTGTATTTAATGAAGAGGCTTGATTCCAGTCTGCTTCTCAATTGTCTAAATCTTTGTAACATTTGCTATTTTGCTTTTCTCCATATTTAACTGAAGATATCCACTGAGGGTCAGGTAATGGCAGGTACTGAGTGAAACTTCAACTGGAATATTTTTTAATACGTTGTGCCAAGCAACACCAAGCAACCATCCACTTTAGTTTTATCATCTTTATCCCACCTGCTTTTCTTTCTTTTTTGCTCTGTCAAATATATACCGTGCCTCTTAACATCAAGCAGCGCTGGATTATGCTGTCTTCTCCACGCCGTCTCTACCCCAGCCTTTCAATGAAACTTTTTCAGACGAGGAAAACTGTTTTTGTTGTCCCTCTCTCCAGTTGTTCAATTATTCCTCTGTCTAAGTGATGAAGAGTGGCACTGCTGCACGGTCAGATCCCTCCCCCTCTCCCTCCTCTTCCTGCAGAGTTATTGTTTTAGGAGCAAAGAGATGTTAAATGGATGAGCTGTGCGAGCGCTGCGTGGAATCCATTTGCAGCGTAGTAGCACTTTACAGCAGGTGTTAACTTCCGCTGTGTGTTTCGCTGTGTGTTTGTTCTTTTTTTGAAGGGGAGAGAGAGAAATAAGCAGTCCTGCTGCTGAATGTATTTCTCATATTCAGGGGCGAGAAAGTGACAATAATCAGCCACTAATTAGTTTCTCCTCAGTGTGATCAGTTTATAATTACAGCCTAAATTACAGCCCTCACTAATCACTGATAACCAATCATACCACTAGATCTCACACTTCATTGTTATTTCTTTCCATTTTTTAAGTTGTTACATAGTTTAATTTGGAGTTTTCATCAGATTATCACCCTCACTTGTCACCAATCTAAAATCATGCAAACATCTCTACCTCTTAACCCAAGTTAATATGTTTCCACTAACTTTTTATAAACTTTATTTTTTTTAAACATCTCCCTTTTGCTTTCAAGAGCAGTTGCTAGGCAACAGATCACACACTTTCACATGCAAATTGGATGTTAATATTGTTGAAACATCCTTCAGTATTCGGTTAAAAGAGTGTTAAATACAGGTTTCCACTACATCGAGAACTCAGCCTGATATGTGATCATAATATTGTGTTTCTAAATGATACTTTATTCAGATTTTATGAAAGGTTTTTATTTTTATTTTTGGGTGTCAGGGAAAAGGTCTAAGGAGATAGATTGCACCTTAGTCTGAAAGATAATAACAGTGAAAAGGATAAAGAATAAGGGAGAGGATATACTTTTTCTTGAAAGCAATAAAGAAAAGTGGCTTAACTAGCAACAGACAATGCTCAGCCCTGAGATATCACCGCCACACACCTAAACTTCCATCAGGAATCCTCATAGGGATGTGAAGCAAAGGACAAAATCAAACGTAGGCAATCCCAGAGGGAGGATGCTACCAGCCAGTTAGCCGTTTCCCCTCTTTGATATTGACTCGCCTTGTCCTTGGCTCGTTTCCACCAGGAGAGCCTCTCCTCCAGGTGTCAAATCCCATCTTCTCCTTCATTTTCTAATCATGCCTCATTCCTGTCATCCTCAGGGTCAGCAAGGTGAGCGAGGGCCGCCCGGCCTCGCAGGGATGAAGGGCGAGCAGGTGTGTGTCTGCCAATCAACTTCTCCAACATCATAACCATAAACTGATTGCTTTCCCCTCTTTGACTGATTCTTTGATCTTACCTCAGGGCCCTCCTGGAACGTCTGGCTATCCAGGAACCATGGGACCACCTGGACTGCCGGTGAGTCACTCTCAGTGCTGTGTTATTCAGGGACTGAGGGACTGACAACAATCTGACAATGTTAATAGATGGATAGCTGGTTACAGTTATTTGTCCTGAAGTGCTGATTGACTGTCAATGTGTGCTCGCCAGGGACTGAAGGGTGAACGTGGGAGCCCAGGAACAAGCGGCCAGAATGGAGAATCAGTAAGCCATTGCACCATTTCTGTTGTATAACACACAATACATCTACTGGCTGTGTTTTGAGTCAGCAACTCATATTTCTGCAGGGTCCTCCTGGTAATCCTGGCTACCAAGGACAGGCTGGTGCACAGGTCAGTTTTTGTAATCATACTTTTTAGTTGAACTGGATACTTAATCAATTTAAACATTAAACTAATAATGCCAACTGTTTTTATTTTTATTTTCTGCAGGGCATTAAAGGAGACACAGGACCAGCAGGGCCTGCGGGTGCCAAAGGAGATTCAGTATGCTTCACACATTGTATGAAATTGCAAACAATAAATTTAACAAAGGGAAACAAATTTAACTCTTATTTCTCATTACAAGGGTTTTCAAGGATCACCAGGTTTTCCAGGACCACCAGTATGTAAATTTTATCATCTATGGCAATTTTATATCATTTGAATTGTTATGGACTTTATAAACCCCTTACTGTATTTTTAGGGTGCTCCTGGTCCTGCTGGCAAACCAGGAAGGGAGGGGATGCCTGGGCTCAAGGGTGAAAGGGTGAGCACATATAAGACAATCAGCTGTGTGTGTGTGTGTGTGTGTGTGTGTGTTCTTTTTTAACACGTAAAATTTTTACTTGTACTGAAATTCCTTTTTTTCCCCTCAAAAAGGGCAACGATGGTCTTCAAGGCTCTCAAGGATCAACCGGCCCTCCAGGCTCTCCAGGCTCCCCAGGGCTCATGGTACATACACGTGTTTTATTTTTTTTTAATATCACCATGCTAATGTTTGTACAAGTGACCTATCTAATGCCAAGAACCCTCATGTGAACTCTTGGTCTATGTTTCCATGAAAGGGCCCCCCTGGCATAGAGGGAATCGATGGAAAAGATGGAAAGCCAGGGCTGAGGGTGAGCCTTACACGCACACACACAACAAAACACACAAATATTATTAAAGAAAAGGTGAAGTGTATGGTAAGACATGCATGTAATATTTGACCTTTGACACTACTTATTTATGTTATCAGGGTGAAGCAGGCCCTCCAGGCCCACAGGGACCTCGAGGAATCCCAGTAAGTATTACCTCTGACATCAGCATGACTTGATGAGACTTTCTATCCCATTTCAAACCCATGAATTAGACATGAGTCGTACACTGTGTGTATTGATTGCTAAATGTTCTTTATGGGAAAAGATCAGAACACAATTTGCATTTCAGTTGGTTTTACATCAGTGGTTAGTCTTTTTTTTTTAAAGACTAATTTTAAGTACTCTGGGAGCATATATAAGGGGTCAGTGTAATGACACAAGAAAATCAATTTTCATTTAAATATGTTGGTAATAAGGAACTTTGAGGCAAAAGATATGACCTTAGCACTTGTCAAGTTTGCTAGTTTATTAGAAACTTTCACTTACTGAAATGTTCTTCTACCAATTAACTACCTAAAAATTTAAGGACCAACCCATTGAGTACAGACATGTAATATTTCCAGACTGATTTCTATAACCTCTGACCATGATCAGTAAAATTTTGTAAAAGGCCTACCTGCATGGCCTCGAGAGGCTAAACCCATGATTCCTGAATTTAGCCTTTTGGATAAAGCCAGAGGAGATTTGGTTCAAGAAAACATGTGCCCAAAACAGTTGTGTCAATGCGTATGGACTTTGGACCAGATATTCAAGGTCCTCAGAGGATGCAAAAACTTAGAAAAACAGCTTTTCTTTTTACATATCTAGGATTGATTTCTCAAATGTGTTATTATTTTAGTGAAATCCCATCACATTTAGGTTAAAAGCATGAATATGCACAGACCCCAATGGATGAACCCTGATTTGAGATTTGTCCCATATTTTTCATCGGGCTCAATTGAAGATGAGATATGCAATTTATGAAAAGAGCCAGCGCCCAACTTTGAGTTAAATTTGCATGTTATTCATGGTCTTAAGAGGATGAATGATATATTGGATGATAAAACTCGCTTTTCTTAAAGCTTCACTTGTAGATCAGTCTTGATTTGTTGTTTTTCCACCTTGTATTGAGAAAACAATCTATAGGCGCACCTTTTCTTCATGTAGTGCATTAGAATTTCATTCCCATGGCTCACCGTCAGTTTCACAAACAGGAAACCAGGATGCAAATCAGGCTGCATGACTAAACCTTTTTCATCAGAAGCCTTCCCAAAGCTCTTTATGGAGCGATGGATTTGCAATGCTGGGTGAATATTTTAGACACCTGAGATTGTCACATACATACATTGTGGATTTAAAATACCAGAATGCATTTTAAGGACAGATCATAGGAGGTGTGATCATCTTAATTTCTTGTATGATAAGTTCATGATATTTCTCACATGTTGGTACTTTACATCTCCATGTGCAGTCATTACCCACTCTTGTTAATGCTGAAGATGTCATTGTGATGTGACCTCATTTAAACTTCTAAGCTCCCTTTGGTCCTCACAGATCTCTCCAACTTTGTCTTTAAATCGACACAGCAGAGAGAGTGATATTCACACCCTGTAGTCAGCTTCAGAAGAGAAAATGAGTCACTGCCTTTCTTTCTCTTTTATATCTCTGACTTGCTCTCTGTATCTCAGTTTGTGTTCTACCCAAGAGCAGGTGTTCAGGATTTCAAAGACACGGCTGCTCGTTCTTTGGCAGCCTCCACTTTGTGAATTTTGATACTGTACCAATCCCATTCTCTTTGATGTCTCTCCTCAGGGATTCAAAGGGAAAACTGGCCATGTTGGCTTCCCAGGACAGAAGGTTAGCCAACAGCTCATTGCTTTACCACCGCACTATGTCTGTCTGTTTGTCTGTTTGCTGCTACTGTCTGTGTTTTTGTGCTGGGCCAAGTTCTTCCAACAAACTGATAATTGCAAAACTGTAACTGACACCAAAGGGTCATGTTGTCAGGATGCCTTAGTTTTCAGAGTTTCAGCCATTAAAAGAAGTAACTTCTTTCTTCTTGTGTATCTCCTGTTGCTTCTTTTTAGGGTGAAGCTGGACCTTCAGGACCACCTGGACCTCCCGGCAGACCAGGCCATGAGGTGGGTACATTTTCTTTTACAGAAGCAGATATTTGGTAAACATTTGTAGCACATTCATGATTTTGGCATCCACACCTAAAGCAAAGGTACAGTCTGTATAAATCCGCAGTGCTCTAAAAGTTAATCCTCGACCTTCCAGGGTGATCCTGGGACCCCGGGAGCCTTGGGACGGCCAGGACCCCCCGGTCACATTGTAAGTTCACTGCCCTCTTAACCCTTTAGCGTGTAGGATATATGGAAATGTTAATGTTAGTTTGCATAAATTGTGTTTTTGATTTCTCTACTAGGGTGCTACAGGTCCAGCTGGCTCACCAGGACCTGCGGGTCCATCAGGAGTGGTAAGGAAGATCTTTCAAAACAAAAATATTGAACCTTTTGATAAAAAAAAAAATAAAAAACTATATATATATATATGACAACTTATGGTTGGGTACATTTTAAATACTCACAAGGGGAGATTTGGTCATGTTAGCTACTAAACACAGTGTAAAATTAGAGTGTGAATAAAAAAGAAGGAAAATGGTTTCGTCTTGTCACTGATTTCTACTGTTATGTATTCTGGGGTCTTTGCTGTTGCTCTCCCTGCCTTAGCTCATCATGTATGCGCATTAAACAGAGGGGAAGTAGTCCACTTGGAAGGGCAGGGAGCCCACAAAACAGAGACATATTACCAAATAAAACATAATGCCTGGAGTCATTTATTCTCCCTGACGACTGGTTTTGTTTTTGTGTACACATGTTCAGTCAAGAAAAGTCCAAACTGTTTTTGTTAATCAGAATTCTCTCTTGACTTTGCAGGGTATAAAAGGAGATAAGGGCCAAGCTGGTGAGAGGGGTATGCCAGGATTGGGAGGGGCCCCAGGTCCACCAGGGCACCCAGGACCGATGGTAACTTCTTGACTTTTGTCTTCTTCCAAAAACATTCCAGAAAACTAAGCAGTTATAATTCATCATCCCACCTGCCAGCCTGACAGAAAGTATTTTATTCACCCTTTTTTTTTTTTTTTCTCTTGCTGTGACTTTGTCTTGCAGGGCGAGCCTGGCAACGACGGTGCTCCGGGTAAAGATGTGAGTAATGTCTGGGTGTGGTATTCGCCCCCATTAAAGAATAATAGCAAGAGATCGATGTGGTGATGTGTATATTTCATTCCACTGATGGATATTTCTTTCTTTGTTTTGACAGGGAGCAGCGGGCCTGCCAGGGGACAGCGGGCAGACGGGTCAAAAGGTACCAAATCAGGGTGGTACAATGTAATGTGTGATAGTGTGTTGTCAAGGCAAGCATCAATCATCCATTACCTCCGCAGACCGTCACAACTCAGCGAGGTCGCCCTTGTTCCGTTTCTGTTAGCTCAGGGAGGTCGACGCACTGTGGTGCTGAGCAGGCTTGCCCTCCTCTTTTCTGCCCGTTCAGCACCCACACTTAACACAGTCATCAGTCCGCTAACCCTCCCCAACCCACCCACAGACACCCTTCTTCTTCCTCACCTCATTTCACCCCATGTGCGAGCTGGCAGCCGGCCGGCCTGCTAGACCTTTGTAGCCGTGGAGCCTGTTGGACTTCTCCTTGGAAGCAGGCTTATAGCTCTGTAGGTGGATACAATGATAAAGTTATTCTCTGCCTCTGGGATAATGCTATTAAGCAAGAGGAGAGATGCTAGATGAGGCTATTTGTCACACTGACAGGATGGCATTGTCAGGGTTTTAGCCGCACAGAAGAGAACAGAGGAGAAAGACAAGAACGGGCTCTTCTTTTCTTCTCTCTCCTCTCCGTTTCAAGAACCACTTGTCTAGCGCCGACATGGAAACATTAGACGTCCATTATAGCCTTCTTTGTCCTCGATAAATCACTGTCACTAATGTGACACAACTGTTTGTTAAGTGTATTTAAACCTCCAATGGTGGGTCCATTGTGTGGACAGTGAGGAAGACGTAGCAAAGAAAATGCATTGAAGGGTCTACTGCTTATTCTTCTAAGGAGCAAGTTAATTGTAGTCTCCATCAAAACCTCAAAATCAGCCAAGTAGTTTAACAGTTAAGGGATATGAGGAGGAAAAAACATTTTTCACTGTTTTATTACTCAGAGTAAAGTAAAAGAGACTGAAACCGCTTCAATTTTTTGATGTGATACGAAGCTGCTGTCGCTTGTTGCTTAGCTTAGCTTTAAGAAGACGCTAACAGCTTCTTTGTAGCAGTTAGGGTTACCTTTACGCAAAGCAAACAACTTAATAAAAATACTATGCTGCTTGTGAGTGGACTCTAGATTTACTTAGTTTTTTGTTTTCCTTTTTGACATATTCTGGCTTTTTATTTAGCCTTTATTCTAACCTAAAGCTTAGCTAAATTAAGATGTCCCAAGTTTCGGGTTAGCTAGCCAACATGGGAGCTGTGACCTGTCACCTCCAAATATTTCAGCTAAACAGAATAAGATTAGTTTTCTTCTACCACTGTGAAAACTTAGCTAAAGGCCTGAATTACTGGTCAAATGTTGTGACTGAGCTGTTAGCTTAGCAACCTAGCACCAGTTCGATGGCTACTGCCTTAGAATTCGACAACACTGATGTAAACAAACATAAATAAAAGCATCTTTTTGTGTTGCAATATTTAGCTTTTCCATTTTGACAATGGAAATGGACGTAGGGTTGTATGTAAGCTGTGTCTGGTGAAACTGGCATAAACCCACTGGTCTGGGGGTATGTGTAGGCGTATGGCTTTCAACCTACAGGGAGGACCAGAGGCTGGTTTCACTCTGGACCTAGCTCTGTCAACACTAGGTCCATAGACTCTGTGATCAGAGTTGAGCGCTGTCAAACTTCGCTCAAGTTTGACTTTTTTGTGTGTTTTCTTTCATTTATATTTAAGTAATCTGGAAATAGGTCACTTTCTGACATCCAGGGTGACTAATGCACAATATCACTGATAACCAACTTAGTATCCCATTCTTGTCTGTCATGTAATAACTGAGTATCATCCTCTCTTGGCTTTGTGAGCTACAATTCATACAATGACAGTGGCCTTTATCTATTCGTATTAATATGCATGTGTTCCTGTCCCAGGGTGAGCCAGGAGCCCAAGGCCTTAGAGGGCCTCCAGGAGAGAGAGGTAGACCAGGACTTCCAGGTGGTGGGGGTTACCATTCCAAGGACGCACAGCCCATGATTGGTCCAGCCGGACCCAGAGGAGAGACGGGAAGGCCAGGCCTAGAAGGGGCCCCAGGGCCCCCTGGAACACCAGGCTCACCAGGAAATGATGTGAGATACATTTTAAGACATTCTATAGACTGGAGCTGTGACCAGAACTTTAAACCAGCTTTAAATCATCAACTCTAGCTCGGATTTGGAGGCAATGACAAATAGTGCAATCGCCAGAGGTGTTTACCAGCTCCATCTGCTCATGTAAACAATGATTTTTCTAATTATCTACTTTGATTTATGTTCTTTTTGTTTTCCTCCTCATTTCTCTGCTTATAAACAGGCTACAGTCAACTACGATGAAATCAAGAACTTCATCCGCCAGCAGGTCATCAAAGTCTTTGATGGTGAGGGCACGGATTAATCTTTGCAAATGCAAATTCTTAAGGCATCGTTTACGTTGCATGATTCTACAGTCTCTAGACTGGAGCAACATTTTCTGAGAGGATAAACATCTCTGTGAAAGAATTGTTCTCCAACTCCTCCGGGATACCTCCTCTCCTGATGCATTGTTTGTTACTGTGTTTCTCCTCCCCAGAGAGAATGGCCTACTACATGTCTCGCATGCAGATGCCAGTAGAGATGGTGGCATCCCCAGGTCGGCCTGGACCCCCGGGAAAAGACGGATCGCCAGGTATTCCTGGAACTCAGGGTGCACCAGGACTCCCGGGACAAATCGGCAGACAGGGTCGACCAGGAGGCCAAGGACCCCCAGGTCTGTCATACCTCTTTTCTTTCCTGCACCAGAATAGCAATACATAATGCCACCTTTAGATTGCTGTAAACTACTAAAATCTTAAAAAATGTGTATTACTCTCTCTATATAGGACCACGAGGACCTCAAGGAGAAAAAGGAGATAAGGGTGTAGGAGAGATGGGAGATATAGGACCTCCAGGAGCACCAGGTATTGCCATCAACTGGTTACTTGTGGCCTTTTGGTTTAAAACTTCAGACAGCCTTTAGTGAGTGCATGGTGTTTTGAAATATTGATTTACCACGTATTGTCATATCACAGTTATCACTGTCAGCTTCTCTAATTCAAAGTTTTGGCAAACCGTGGGTATATCATCATTTGTACTTAAAAAAGTCCTCCATTAGTTGTTGACAATACTTTGAGTAAACATTTTAAAAGATTTTCTGCAAAGGGCCCAAAACTTCTGTTCTGATTTGATTTTGGTGATGTTTTTTCCTTCCAATGACTCAATAAGTTTGAATTTGCTGATGGTTTGTAAATTGCAAACATAATAAAAGTGATGTTTTATCAGTTTAAATAATTAAGATTACCCAGCTGATCACCAGCACAGAAAGCAACATCTGGAAAATTTCTTTAATCATCGTGGAGTCTAGATAGCTTTGCCCACTGTAAAATAACTGCTCATGTTTGTTCATTTGTCCAGTCTGTTCATTTGATGTTTTAAGATTTTGTGGTTGGAAAAGCAATGAGTATTACATGAAAAGTACTGCTTGATGTCAGCAAACATTCTAGTTTAAAACCAGAGGCTGATTAGGTTTTATGTATGAGTAAGGGAGAAGAGAGGAAGCAAGTTAGAAGAGGAAAATGAGAAGAATTACAGGGACCAGCAAGAGTTGGGCCAGGAATTGACTTTGCCAGTTGAATAAGAAGCAACAGCAAGTCTGTATCTACACCTGTGAGCTTATGAAGGCATGAAGGCTAAATGGAGGGAAAGCCAGCGCCAACACCAATAGCGTGTTTGTTTGATCCATAGGATAAAAGCTGTAAATCTGGTATCAGGATAACTTCTGACTTTATGATAGTGAATGTAGACTCTTGTGATGTGTTTGTGGCAAATGCTCATCTTGCGATAATACAAGTCAAATTTAATTGGACAGCTCTGCTTGCAGCCTCCTAGTTTTAATCATGGTTGCTGCCTTCATTATAATTCCTCTCATCTTTTTTGCCTCAGGTATTCCAGGCCCTCCAGGCTACGGTAAAATGGGACCTCCAGGTTCTGTTGGCCAGCAAGGTGTTCCTGGCATCCCAGGCCCCCCTGGTCAGACTGGTTCAAAGGGAAATGATGGCCGCTGTAATCCTAGTGACTGTATGAGCCACCAAGTAGAGTACAGCCCAAAGGGTCCACCTATCAAGGGTCCCTGGTAGAGGGCTACAGTGGACTGTACCAAGAGACTACGAAAAGACAAGAAGGCCGAAGACCGTGACCCAAAGATTCTCAACCTGATGTTGTAAAGGAGCTCCTTTGCTGTTGAATTGTAAAGCTTTATCCATACAGATGTCCTGTGTAGATGTGTGAAAAATTCATAGTTTTATCAGCGGGCCCCGCTGGAAAGAGGCCTTCAAAGAGCACCAGCAGCTATTTTTTATTGCATCACTTTTACTGTATGAACACCAAATCTCTGCTACGGTACTGCCTCTTATTCTACCCGTTTCACTCCTTTTGTACATATTCAACAGCCCAAGAGAGGTGACAAAATTCACAATCTGTATCTTCTTCACCTTGATTAATACTGGCCTTTGTTTTTTATCTTTTGCTTTTCATTTTGATGCCTTTAACTGTAGGAAAATAATTATTGTAACACTTTTCTTCCACCACTCTTTTTTTTCTCTTTTCTCAAGGTATCACATACAGAGTCCAACTCATGCATTTCTAATATTCTCTTTCAGAGCCTGTGGTGTTACATGTGTGAATCTGACCCCAAAATGTATTTCAGTCCAGTCAAAACAAATGTCAGATATGTGCTCTTTGTTGGAACTGACTGTCTTGTATATATTTATATTTATATATAGTGGCTTTTTATACTTTTTCAACAGATTTGATAAAGGACTTTTGCATGGCCAGCCACTTGTTTTTCTTTCTCAGTGGATATGCAGCAACATAAGAAGCCAAAGGGATATTTCATAACAATTATAAGCTTTTAAGATAGAGTTATATGTTAGGTAAAAGACCATTTATGGATGTGTTTACATAAGAAGGCATATTGGCTTTGGTAATTATGCAGCTGAAGTTAATTCTGTCCCATTTTAACTCCGGTCTTTTTGGGAATAACAGCAATTTTAAAGCATCTCATCTCATTTTGTATTCCAAAGTAGCTGTAATAGCCATCTGTCTGCTTTACCAGCCACAGTTTAAGAAGATTAGAGCAATAATACCACTCATTCTCCTCATGTACTGTAATACAATTTACTGAGCATGGCCACCAAACCTATATTATTGAATTAAGTGAGGATAATTCTCCAGAAATCCTCACTTAAGACTTTTGTTCTGTGAGATGACTGTTCGCCAGGGCTGGCAATGTTTTTACTTCATCATTTCTATGTGTAAGTATAAGAAGTTTTGAATCACTACCAACTTTTGCAGCTTTAGAGTTTAAATCAGCAGTTTAAACTTTAAAAGATTGTTATTTTTCCACAAGCTTACCCACTGAACATGTTTGACTTCTTGCTGAATTAAACTGCTTTTCAAAAGATGTTGGGTCAGGATCTTTTTAAACAGATTTTTGTTCTCTGTGTGTTTTTAGCATGTGGTTTAGCATGCCTTGGTAGTCGTGTTGGAATCTAAATTGATCTTTTCCTTTTTAGTTGTTTTGCAACTGTCTTTCGAGAAGTTTCTAGGATCTAAATTTTGATACAATTTTCTTTTTAACTTGTTGTGTAGCCATTTGAGATTTTGTCTCTTTGTAGTTTCATGTCACCGTGCAGTATGTTGGGTCTCTTGGGTCGCTTTTTTTGTGTCTCTCTTTGGAGCTTGGTATTATTTTTGATGATTTGTCCCGACTCTCTCTGAAGGTTTTAAGAGCACTCATTTCAAAACACAGGTCTGAGTTTGTAAGGCTTGTTTAGAGATAGTTTTGTCAGTGCGTCCATGAGCTGTCTAGTCCGGTAGTTCTTCACCGTCTGTCCCATTGTTTGCCTACTTTGTATGATGGAAAACATTTTTCAGGCAGTACTGATCAAGTTTGTCGTGTCTCGTTGCAAGAAAAAAGGTTTGTCAGGATGACAGGGTGTGGGATGAAAATGTGGGCTGAGATTATCTTTAAAGTTCGTGAAGTGGGTTATCTAAAATCTGCATTAGTTGTGAGAGAGGAAAAACTCAAATGCGCTCCAAACAAACAAGCTCACTTTACGAAACGGAGGGAAAGAGCAACAACTGACAACAAACCACACTTTCATGGGGCCAAAGGACACACGTTCAGCCCACACGCAAAAGCTGCCAGGTAGTTGCCTCATAGTAAATTGTTGTCATGCTTCTATTTTGATAGCTTTGCAGTATTGCAATCGGTAGATATATTGCATTAAATGCATTTTAAAACTGAAATTGTGGCATTTCTGATAGATTGTTGCAGAATTAATTAAAAAAAAAATGTTTCAAGAACTGTTTTTTGACAGCACATATGTTCAGTTGTTCAGTAACCTAAGGAGGCATGTCCCCTAATGTCAGACCATGTCTTGTCCAAAGTGCTGAATCATCTCAGAGAGCTCCCACAGCTGGCTTTGCAATAGCTACTGCTTCTTGTTTGTCTGTCCTCCATTGTGCTGACGTGGCAACTGGCAACCATCAAAAAGGACCACAAATGAACTTAGGGTATTGAACAGCTATCATCTGCTATCATCAGTATCGGTATGTGACAGCTGCCAGGGTTGCTCAAAAGACAAAGACTAGCCTCCAGCAGGAAAGACGCAGCAGGAAAGACAAAGTATCAGGCAATTGTCTCACGACAGAAACTAGACATGGTTTGCAAGTCACACAGAAAGGTTCTTGTGGAGCCTCTGTAGACTCACACACCCCTACACGATAAGAGCTGCGATGAATGAACTGCTCACTACCTCTGATGGTGAGATAATGAATCAGTGCAGAGCACAGGCACTGTGGGTCATATATAAGCTTCCCACACCTGGTCTCAATCAGAGCAAACTAGACACACACACACACCTGACTCTGCTCTGAGCTGATGAGCTCACCAAACTCAACGAGTACTGAAAGTGAGCTCCCCTCGAAGTCAAACCATAGAACAAAGTATGTTGGGATTTTTTTACCTTTGTGGTTTAAGACTTGACAAAAGCTGAGCATGAGCAGCTGCGGCAGTGTGGGAGTTTATTTACCTAAATTGATACTTTAAATATGTGGATACAAGGGAAAAGAGGAGCTGTAAGACTTGACCATTCCCCCACATGATAGAGAAGAACATTTGGTTTTATAAAAGATTCCTCTTTATTGGTTTGGGTTGACCTGAACAGCCAGAAACAAAACCCTCTTTACAGATGATTACATAAAGAACAATAAATAGCTTCTGTTAATGAGAATCAATCAGTCATGAAATTGCTGACACCCTGTGAAAAGTTGACAGTGGCTTAGGACGCACATTCGGACTGATTCGTATGGAGGAAAAAGTTGTGATATCTGTAGGAACTTTTTATTACTCACTGAATTCATTAACACAGGATTTTTGTTGGTGCATATCGTAACCCATTCCTTTTTCTCTACATAATAATCAACACACATTTACAAAGATTTACAGCACTGCATTGTGGGAGATGGGAGTGCCCATCGGAATATGCTGTTGCCAGGCAACAAGAGGAAGAGATAAAGCTAGTCGTTAGTTCTAAAATGAGACTTGGGTAGAAAGCAGGGAGGGGTGAGGGGGGAGTAATGTACACATGAGGTAAGTCAGTGATTTCACTCTTGCTTACAGGTGAAAATACTTCATTTTAACATACAGTACAGTACTGAGTGTAAATTTCAATCATTTATTGGTCTTTTTTGTACACTGTTAAGGCATTAGGTGTGAGTTTGCAAAAGAGGCACGGCTTCTAAATTTCAAAACACATCTCAAACAAAATTTTGCATATGTCAAAGCTTTTAAAGTGACCACTTGGTAAAAAAAAAAAAAAAATAGAAATAAGCACCTTTCCCCACACTGTGTTCTCCTCTCAGCTCATACATGCTGACTTGGTTGAAGACACTGAAATGCAAAATGAATCCGTTCCTCTTTCACTGCTGGAACAGGGTGGGATATTTAGACAGGACTGACACTGACATCAGCCAAAAACACAAGAGAATGCAGAAAGATGTGGGTGGCTTTGAGCTGCTGTTGTCATGGTGATGTGGGGGATAAAGATCAGAGTATGTCCCACCAGTCAAAACTTGAGGTTTCAGGAGAGGGTCATTATTACTGTCCCCCGCCCCTCCTCCTTGATGTTGTCCTACTGAGCGTGGTTTTTTCTCCTTCACTTTTCTCTCTTTCTCTCTCTCCCAGGACTTGTGAGCTGTTGATGGAGCAACAGCCTCCTAAACACCGGGTCCTTTGATTGTTCCCGCTTCCTGTAGTCTTGGAGAGGTGTATGCTGATGCAGCCAGACACATTGCCATCTCGCAGTAGCCTGGTAGACCTGCCGAACCCGCCTTACCGGGGCGACCGGCCTCTCCAGCTGCTCCCTGAGGTCCTCTCTCACCATGACGGCCATCCCGGGCTACACCATCAACACCAGGTGGACCTATGGTGGTGGATATCAAGTCGGGGCTTTTACTGACTATAGCTCCTTAACAGTACACATGTATATATTTCAAATGCATGTGTGCGAAGAGGAGTGTGTGTTTCCACTGTTTAAATTAGTGTGTCCCTTTGCAATCCCATTACATTCAAGAGCATCTGTTCAATGACTGGAGTTAATGATGCTCTAAAATGCCTTTGAGCAGCCTCTCCTGTGGAAAGAGCTGTAATGTCAAGTGCCTGAGTTTCTTACTCAACTCTTATTCTTTTTAACCTTTGGCCTGTATTTAATCTTGTTTCACCCTGTAGGTATGTGCATAAAGCTTACAGAATTTAATGGTTCTAAAGTTATGGCCATCCACACAGGCTCAGCTCTTACCTTGTATTCCTGGGGGCCCTGGTGGTCCAGGATGTGGCTTACCAGGATCTCCTCTATCTCCCTTTGGCCCTCTTTTTCCTATGGGTGACAAAAAGAAGGAGCTTAGGTCGTAATTTGATAAGAATAACTTCATTATGTCAGCCCCATTAAGACCAAGGGTTTACAAAGAGCTTCGACAAACAGGCAAATACAGAGGAACCCAACAACATCCTAATCCAACCCACCACAAAACAACCCAAACTTTCTCTACACACCAAGCACGAGTAAAGTCATTTGTGCAAATGAATTACATGTTAAATTGATGCAAAGACGTGATTAGACGCTCCTACTACTCTGGCGGGAGATGAAAATGTCTCAACTTGAGCGATAACCAATCAGCACGAAGGCTGCTGGGTGGTGTATGAAAACAGACGGTTGTGGTGGTATCCAAAATGGAGGATAAACTGATTGGTGTGTTCGTGCCCCAAATTATAGGATACCTTTTCTTTTAATTACCAAAACTGGAATAAAAAGGATTTGCCTGGAGGCAAGTGAGTGAGGAGGTCGGATTACCTGGTAAATTGTAAAAAATCCTTTCTATCACTTGATCCCACCGGTTGAATTAGCAGGGATTACTGTTGAAATTATCGCTGACGCACAAATGAAGCGACTAAATACTTGTCATTGACGCATCTAGATTTGCGCGAATTAAGCGAGTAGATGATTTTACTTGCCCTTGGTGTGAGCGCCCCCATAACAACGTGCAAGCACTCAAGCAACAGCCAATCACTTGACTTCAGATCAAAAGGACCAAAGATAAAGAACTCCAAACAGAGAAAAATAGTAAAGTAAAAAGGCAGTGAAAGAAAAAAAACAGGACAAAAGTAACATTCTAAAGAAAGACACCCAATAAAGAGTGTTTATAAAGAGGGCTGGTAACCCTAACCCAGCTGGAGCAATTCTGGTTTTCAGCATCTTGCCTGAGCACACTTCTGCAAATGGACTGCAGGAGCTGGCGGTAAATGCTTCCCACCTCAATACTAAAACGATGGTGTCCAAACTGGATTGCAGGACCCTTAGGAGGGCCTACAATGATGACAGAAGGAGGTGTAATCAAAGACTTTAAAGTCAACAAGAGTCACACTTCAACTGATGCTTTAAGCTCTGTCTCCTCAGTTTAGTTGCACATGCTTAGGTTATTTATTAGTTTTTGCAGAGAATATTCCTGATGGATCTCAAGGCATGTACATTGTTAGAAGTGGACATGTGTGATGGTGCATTTTAATGTAGATAGTCTTTAAAAGCATGTTTTTTTTTTGTTTCTGTTTATGGTAATGATTAGGGGGGGCTGTGAGTATTTTCTTCCTCCAAAAGTTGGTCCCGCAGAAAAAGTTCTAAATGAAGACATAACTGACTCAAACCATCATCAAACCACCCCTTCCACTCTACCACTGAGCCACAGCTGCCCCACCTAACTTGCATGAAAATGTATCGATGCCCTACTGTTTATAGATTCACCTTTCAATCCTGTGTTTCCAATCTGTCCTGGTCCTCCAATCATGCCAGGAATGCCTCGGGCACCAGGTAAACCATGTGGCCCTTGAGGCCCAGGTGCCCCTGGTGGTCCAGGAGGCCCGGGAGGTCCCATCACACCTGCTCCACCAAGCACAGCCCGCTTGGCGCTCACTGCCACAGCTGCTAGCCTCTCTGTAACAGAACCAGGAGCGTCATGTTGATTGAATTAGCTTTGATGACAGGAAACTGATTGCTCCGAGGATGAAAGTAGCAAGTTAATCTGATCTCCCTCATGGACATCAAAGGTGAATACTCTGGTCTAGACACTTACCCTGCAACATCTTCAACACCACTTCGATAATATGCTGGTCTGATGCGTCACGTCCCTGCAGAGGGAGAAGGATATTGAGCATCAGGACAAGAAAGAAACCAACAAAGTGCAACAATCTCAGTCTGTGTATGTTCTGCATGCATCACACATAACAGCCAAGAGTAATTTGGACTCACTGCTCCTCCCTGAATGCCCGGCATGCCTGGTACTCCTCGCTCTCCATTGAGTCCTCGAGGACCAGGAAGTCCTGGTGGTCCCAGGTCTCCAGGTTTGCCAGGGTCCCCAGTGGGTCCATTGTGTCCAGAGTCACCCCTTATTCCTTGCTGTAAAGAATGAGGCAAAAAGAAAAAGAGAATAAGAGGACAGCCAGGAAAGAGGCAGATGAAAACTGGTCATGTCAAAGAAAAATGTAAAAACAATCAAACAAAAGAAAGAATGAAAAATAAAGTTTGATGGATGTCTGGAAAGCCGAAGCTCACCTGTCCTTTAGGCCCGGGTTCACCAGACAAACCCTGTCACAGCAGACACACAGAGATCATTATTTTCACTCTTATTGCTTTCATTTGTCATTTCTGCCTCACAGACGCCCATTGAGCAATAATTCAAGAATGAATTTTGTAAATGAACGCCTAAAAATGGTTCGAAAAGCCAATGTGCATCATCGCTTCACTGTCATGTAAATAGCTCATTTGCCATCTGGATTATTATGGGGATTTGCATGCAAATTCAAAAACAGACTTCCTCTACTTTTCAACTTCAGCATAGTTATGACTATTTCTGCTGTATATCACTTCACTCTGACGCCTTAGGAGCCAAATGTTTAAACGCTTTCATCAAAAGTCCAAGGTTTATTGTTTTTAACTTTAAAGTTTGAAACAGCTTTGGGTGGTAAGGTAATGATTTTTACCTTTTCACCTTTCTCACCAGCCAATCCCTCAACTCCAGGGTCACCCTAAAAGGGACAGGGAGGATGAAGATCAGACAGGGCAGAGAGAGGGATGACATAGGGAAGTATCTGTTGGCATGGAGCTTAAAACCACACAAAACAATAAAAGGATGTGCTTCTGTAAATCAAATTTGAAAGGGCAAAAACTTCTACTCACAACGTCTCCCTTTGAACCACCTTTTCCTTGGAAACCCTTGAAAAAAAGATGTGTTCAGTGCATGTTAATGTCTTGAAATTTAGATATTCAGATCCTAAAAGAGCAAAATATTGATTTTTTCAGTGACCTCACATTTTACAAAGTAAGAAAAATGTTGTGTCTTCTCTAAAACATTGGAGATTGGGGGCTCTAGATTATCATTTATACTGCTTATTTACATTACTGTGATTTACTGCATTACATGACTTTGATTCTTAGGTGAACACTGCCCCCTATGGGCTATTCAGTGTAACTAATCCACTGTGAAGTGTGTTTCATCTTTGTAGATGGTGCCCGTGTTTTGAACTGTACCATACATGTTTTCCTCACACAAAAACACAGACCTTGTCACCCTTGGTTCCGGTGAGACCCTGGGCACCTGGAACACCAATGGGTCCTCTCTCTCCTTTGCCTCCCTTTGAAGAAACATTAGAGGTTTTACAGGAACCTGTGGATCAGTTCATTTGTTTGTAGGAGTACAATGAAAAAGATGCAGCTTACAGGCTTGCCGACTACTCCCTGTGGTCCTGATGGTCCCCTCTGGCCTCTGTCACCCTGTTGAAATCAGTTAAGGTGAGTATGTTGGTTTCAAAATCACAGATTTTTGTGCTTTTCATAAGAATTCTGTGTTTGTACCTTGGGTCCCGGTACTCCTTCCATACCAGCCTCACCAGGAAGACCAGGCTCACCCTTAGGAAATACAACGTAAGTATAATTGTTAACCCTTTTGAGCAATATGGGACTTGTGATACTATTTTCTGGGCATATGATAGCTTACCAAAGGTCCAGGGGCGCCCTGCATACCAACATGACCTCTAGGTCCAGGTTCACCCTAAAGATAGAAAGGAACATACATGATTTAATAAATAAAGGTGAGGAATAAGGCTGTATTTGATGTACGGGTTGGTAGAAGGCTTACTTTAGCTCCAGGTCCACCTTTTGCTCCTGGGCTGCCAGGTAATCCCTAAGAACAGAATACACAAGACTGCAGTCAGTGTAAATCAAATAAATGTCTATATTATGAGCTTCATGGTCATAGTGTTGTAAAGAGAAAAGATATATATATATACAGTACAATCATTCTTTATGGAGACTCCTGAACATGTTTCTCTCTTTGCCTTTTATGCTTTTTTCAATACAGGAGCTAACTCTCAGGAAAACTCCTCCGTGATAAAAATCCCCACACACATGTTGAGAAGCGTATCGTATATTATATGTTTGAAATGCAGAGAGTGACCGTGAACTACAGGTGGAAATAGATGTGAATATTATTCTGGCTGAGCTCGTGAAAGGTAATAATGCCGACGTCTGGTACAATAATAAAAATAATGAAAATACACCGTACTGCAGTGCCAGCTATGGGTATATACCTGCAAGAGATTGTGTGTGTTTGTGTGCCTGTGCATGGGCATATGGCATAAAGCCAGCGAAGTTGTGGTGCTCGAGTTTGCAGCAGTGTTAGTGTCACCGCAATGACCACACGGCAAAGTGTGCATCCCATGCTCCATTACCTTTTAGTCAGAATGACGCTCACACAAACAGAACACCCCTCCTACTCATGCACACACACACACACACACACGCACACTCGAGCATACCCACTAGTCTGATTGTGATAAATCACCCACGTTGGGAGGGAGAATGCTATTTCAAGGTGGTTTAAATTTTAAAGCAGCATGGGTCACAGGGTCGCTGTTAACCTGGATGAGAGCCCAGAAAACAAAACACACCAAGATTTACAGGCGACTTCACGCTGGCTTCCCTTGTCTGCATCCTGGCTTTTTCAAATTGGGGAGGAAGACAGACTGACCCCCTACGTGGTCTGAGTGACAATACAACCGGCGTATTTGCATGTGCCTCCTCAAGCAAACAGACCCCCCTACACACACACACACTACACTGAAGGATCACTCACTGCTGCTCCTTGAGGACCTGGAGGACCTGGCATCCCAGCTTGGCCAGGGCCGCCCTACAGAGAAGAAAAAAAAAAGAAAAATAAATCGCCATCTCTTTCTGAGATGGAAGTTGCGTGTCATTTTCATGGCTGGAAACCCTTACCTTGATTCCAGGGATACCAGGTGTGCCATCCTTTCCATCAATGCCCGGCAGACCCTGGAAAAAGCAGGCAAAATGAGTCGGTGGGCTTCATTTGGCACACTTTCTGAAATCTGGCGCAACTGTGTCGAGCACAAACGAAAGTGCGTTCACTCACATTCTCTCCCTTTTTGCCAACTGCACCCTGTGGGCCCTGGATACCTCGGCTGCCCTGTAGAAGATAACCAAACCAGCATCAGTGCATTTGCAAGCACAACAGAATCCCTGCCTCCATTGAAGTTTTCAGACCATTTTCATCCTTTTCTGTATTTTGCCTCTGCTTTGACAATAAATGATGTGCTGGGAGGTTCACCTACTTTGTCTCCCTTGTCTCCTGCATCTCCAGGTGGTCCCTGTGGGCCTTCTTCTCCCTGGAAATAATATACAGATGTTTTCAGATCCTTCGGTGTTCTCTGGGTTCTTGTTTTTTTTTTAGTCTATCATGTCTATTTGAGAGTATGTGTGTGTGTGCACCTACAGGAGGCCCAGGAATTCCTACAGGTCCAGTGATGCCCTTGTATCCTCGGGGCCCCTGCAGAAAACAAAACAAAAAAAAAGTGCCATCAATCACTTTCGATCAGAGTGGATGCTAAGTCATGGTGGCTGACTATTCATTGTGATAAAGGGGTAATTAGCGCTTAACTCACTCCACTAATGGGAGCTACACAGAGAGCCAGCCACTCTTGTTTTGGCACTAAGCCGGGGCGCTAACTTGGCTAACGCGGCTAATGTTAACAGTAAGACGGATGGCTACAGCGGATCATTAACTACAGATGGAGGCACTGCAGACCCAGACAACCCCAACTCATTAGAGGAGGGGAGAGATTTGTGTTAGCATCATTTCCATATGTCCCCATTGCTGGTAATGGATGGTGTTTGTATAGCGGGGGCAAGTCTGGTTGTGCATCCTCAGAGCACATCTAAGAATAAGAGCACCCTTATCCCAAGAAAAATAGGACATAAAAATGAGAGTCTGACTGAGAACAAAGAAAATAAAAAGGATTATACTAACAGCCTCTCCTTTAGGACCCATCATTCCTGGATAGCCTCTCAAACCCATCGGACCCTGAAAAAGAGGCAGGAAAAAGACAGATGCTGACACAGAGGCAAAAATTGCTATGACAAATACAATAGAAGTTGAAGTTTTCAGCTCTGCCAAGCGACTAAAAAGTTCAATTGTTCACATACCGGGGGTCCTGGGATACCTTGTTCCCCAGAGATGCCTACTTCTCCCTTGATACCCTGGTGGAGATAGAAAGAAACAAGTTGATTTGCTATTTTCATCATGTTGTTGTCTGCTTGATCCCAGAAACCCTAAGCTGGTCAGAATCTAACACAAACCAGTCTGGTTGCTGCTGTCAAGCTTTTTAAAGAGCTGGCTTATGCTGGTTAGACAGCTTAAACTAGTGTCTGTCCACTTTGGAGTTTCATGGGTCTAAGTTTGAACCAGTCTTTGATGAACTCATCTCCCTGAGTAGACAAGGAGGTATCATTTTAACCATGTGGATCAAGAGAAAATGAATTGCAGAATTTCCCAAAGAGTTTACAATTAGGTACTAACTGAAAGAGCAGTATTTAGAGCTAAATGTACTGGTCTTTCAGCATCAATTACTATTACAAACCCCAGAAGCTTTGAGTTTTGAAATTGCATTAAAAGCCTGTTACAATCTATTAATGTTGAGCTGCAACATTTAATTGCTGGTTTACTTTTATTTTACATCAGCCTACGATAAATGTGAAACTTGTCTGTCTCACATCTCTCTTAAGACTTTGAACATCACATTGTCATCAGAAATACATCAAGTGCAAGAAAAAAAAAGCTCATTTATCATTCTGGAGATGAAATCTATGTTTTAGTTTCGGTTGAGTCCCGGCGAACAGCTAGTGGGGATGTAAACAGATCGTGCTGTGTGTCTCTGAGCAGAATAAAAGAGAGAGCAGCCCCACAGTGCAATCTCGAGTCAAGGCAAGTCTTCCAAAATAACCTGCTGATCTGCTCTGCCTGGGTTGAATGATAACTTGTTGCACTGAGTATTTGGAGCGTCTAAGGCACTTTGTGTGGGGGAGATCAGAGGCTAATGCCTGAGGCCTAGCTGGCCGCTGTCTTGGAGCTCACTGTGTGCTCATTAGCTCTGCTTAATGCAGCGAGGTGAGAAGGCTACGTGAACCCTGACTCTCTCATGTACCTGGCTCTTCAACACTGCTTTCATCTGGCTCGCTGCATGCTGACTGCAGGGCCAAGGCCAGGCCTGACTAATCGCAGCCAGATTAGTGCCAGTCATGTGCCTCAGTGGGCTCTATTAGAGCTAATCTTTGCTTCTGCTAGTCCTGAATGGTGGGTCATGGGTATGACTTTACAGCATGCATGTATTGTGGGGTTTCAGTCAGTGTGTGTGTTATAACATGGATTTGGCAACTCACTAATTTCCCTATGCTACCAGCGTCTCCCAGAATGCCGGCACGTCCTTTGTGTCCCTGTAAGGCAGAGGTAAGGCGGTTAGCAAGGTAACCATAACATTTTTCATAGCTCAACAAAACCAGTAGTGCTTATTATTTCAGGTCAACTTGCAGCTTACCTTGACTCCCTGCAGTCCCTGTGGGCCTTTAAGTCCTGCTGGACAGTTCAGAGGACACTGTTGTAGTGAGAAGGAGATATTTGGATTAGGTAACGTGGTGTTGAGCTGAAACAGGTTTGTCAACAAAAGGATGTGAGTAAATCTTACCTGGAATTCGGCACTGCCTTCTTCTCCACCAATGAACTTCCCTGGAGGACCCTGAATACAGATGGATAGAGAAAAGGAAAGAAAAACAAAGTCACCCGGTCATAGATGCCTCCACCCCAAAGAGCTGATCCAGCTCTTTTTCTTTGCCCTCTTTCCTCCATCTTTCCTCCTCTCTTTTCATAGATGGAGTGTGAAAGTAAGCTATCTCTACAGGTTGTGATGTATTTCTGCTACAGTGAGATGAGACAGCCAAATGATCTAATGGGGGTTTATTTACCCTAGGACAGCACGAGAGCTAAACAAATCCACTCCCCTGGGCTGGGAACATCACTCTCAATGAGGACACAACCTTTTTCTTGGAACCACTCAGAGATGCACACTGGAGAAAACTCACACCAATGGAATATAAACTTGAAAGTGTGCAAATCCGAACTGTTTGTGTTTCACCGCTTACTATCAGTTGGGACTTCAACAGGAAGCCCAGAGCTCCAGCTGTGCCAGGTGCTTTGTTGTTGCGCTTTGCAGCGTGTTTTGGAGGCAGACACGCTTGAAGTAGCATTAGTTAATGAAATGGTGTCTCTGCTTTGGTTTTACGCTGTGATCCCATTCAACAATATAAATTAAATGCATTTAGATTGATGTAACTCTGGGTTTGATCAAGGCCAAGCTTCTGGTGGTTCATCAATCTCTCCATCTGTTCCCAGCTGTTTCTTTTTTCTACGTTATCAAAAGACTGTTTCTAGTTACAAAGGCTCTGCCGTGCAATCTTTTAACACTACAAAGGCCAGTTTTCTGAGCAATTTGTTGTAAGCTAATAAAAGCTAATCAGATCTACTGTGTATTAGTAACTGATCATATGTTGGTCAGTTGTTATGACAAACCTCAGGCTCATATATAAAATGGACGTTCATATGCAGAGGAAAAAATCTGCAAAGAGGTTTAAGTAACTGCTTTTTCCACAAGGAGCTGCCTGGATTAACCCAAACAGAAAATCCCTCAGAGGGCCGTCAAGTAGTAGACTGTGTCAAGTTCCAACACACTGACAAGGAGTTGGAAGAAATGATTTCTTATGTGCTGGCTATCAGATACATATATATGTATATGTGAATGTATTTGAATAATGCGTAGACGTAGAACTGTGGTTCTCTACCGGAGTGCTGGGACTGTAAAGAGGGTCACAGAGCTAATTTGGGTGGGTCGTGTATGTGTGCAGAAATAGCTGTAACAAAAATCTGTGCTGCACCTTTTTTTTGAAGGTCACATTTCAGTGCACCTGCAGCAGTTTTACAGTTTCTTCACACCGACACCAAAGGTGGCGGTGATACATCTCAAGGCTGGTTGCTGTTGCCTACCTCTATACGACAAATTTCCAAAATCAGGGTCGCAATTGTCTCTAACACTTTCATGTATCGTGTCCACTAAATACTTGTATTAAGCAGCTATGTTTATCAGTCTTCATCTTTGTTTGTTTTTTTGGTAACATTAAGACTTTATATTTGTCAGGTCATAAGGTGTAAGTTAACTATCCTTTATCTGTGCACTGTGTGCATGATGAGTGTACTAATTCTCTATATTTGCTGTGCTGGTCCTTTGCTGCTGTAACACTGCAAGTTTACACACTGTACAATGAATAAAGGTTTATCTTATCTTTTCTAAAATATCATTGTGATTCAACAATTTGTGCATGAAAGGGCTAAGAAAGTGATGACAGGTCAAAAGACTGGACCAGTTGATAATCACTGACCGAGGACTAGGTATCTGCTCCCTCCTGCAAAGTGTAATGAAACTCTGGTGGAAGCTTGTGTCAGCATTATAATAAGCTGTAAATTACTCTTGGAAAAACAAACTGTTTGACTTGAGTCACTTTATTGAACTTTGGTCTTATTTCATTGCATGTTGTCTGACACTGTTGCAGGAAAGCCTTGCAAACTCAGAACTTATATCTCATACACTAAGGACTATTGACCGGACATTGATTGATTTTTTTGTTTTCAAATTTGATTTAGTGTACTGAAGATTCCTGAAAGTTGGGGTTGCCGACTGTCTTACTTTGGTTCTTATTTTCTAATTGTACATCTGTATTTAATCCAAAACCTGTTTGTGAGCCTGCATATAAGATGCTAATGCCGTATCATTTATTCCCAACACAATGAGACCCTCAATAGCACTGAAACCAATAAATCTTGTGTTTTTAAGAGAGTTTGAGGACCAAACTATTGTTCCCCTAAAACCGAGCAACAAAAATGGCAGATGGAAATATTTCCTGAGTTAAGACTCACAGGCTTGCCAGGGGGTCCGGGAAGTCCAGGTGCTCCAGGTGCTCCGATAACACCCTGAAGGAGAAGGATGAATAAAAATATATATCAATATTAATGCATCAATGCGTTTTACAAGTCACAGAGGCAATATGATAACAAATAGTTACTTATACCAACAGTAAATGGCTGCAAACATGTATGTAAACCAAGCATCTGCAGCTTAATATTTCATTCTTAGTACTTAACAGCGCTCCTACCTTTGGTCCTGTTGCTCCAATTTCTCCTGGGAGACCAATTGGCCCTGGAGCTCCCTAGACATGAACATCCACAGAGGAAGAAAAAAGAATGAGTACACATCCCACCAGACACAAAGTGATTTCCACACCTCAAAGCAAAGCCATTAAGTGATAAAGACATAATTGCATTACACTATGTACACACTACTTACAGCCAGTCCTGGAAGGCCGGGTCCCTGTGTGGACAAAAGAAGCAAGGGGTTAAATTACTGCATGACAAGTGGAACCAATCCATCAAAGTATCAGTTAACCAAAGCCAATTAATAGCGGCAGCGGTAATGCAGTGATACATGTGTACAGTGTCAGAGTAAACAGTGCTCAAGAGGTACAAAGACACACAGCACAATCAGTTTGTGTTGGCTGTGTCTTTGGCTGGGAGTTAATTATAAACAAAGTAATTAAGTAAGTAAGAAAGCCTTGTTGGAGGAAGAACAGCCTATGGGGCAGGATCCCCTGTCTGTGCAGAGTGATGCAGCTGCGTGCACGAGCAGCGCCCCCAGACGGGACGCCTCCTAATGCTAAACAAAGGATTTAACTAATAGCACTGCAGCCAAGCGTGACATTGGATGACTCTAAAGTCATGTATTGGGTGCTGTTTGATAGATGGACACTGAGCTCCACCTAGTGGTTTCAGTGAGCAATGCAGATGTTTGCAGTTAATGTTGAATTGATAAACTCTGCATGTGCTTGTAAAGCTGCTGCATTTGGTGATGATTTGTGCATAAAACTGTGAATCATCTTTCCACTGCTCCTCTTCATAAAGGACTGTGTGTTCTGTTGCAGTCAGGCTCATGTCAGCTGTAGCAGACATATGCCACATCTGGGTAAAGTAGACCCAAAAGAGGGCACAGCTGGTCAGCCATCCAGGCATGAAGAGAAAGATGCTCTGGAGGTTGCTGTATGAAAGCAGCTGTGATACAACATGTTTGTTAGGAAACTGACAAGGCTTCAAATAATGCTTAATTCATCCCGCCCTAACTCATTTTTAAGTGCCATGTCAGCCTTAGGAGATTGATTACTCTCTAATTAATTTTACTGCAAGCAAGTCGTATGAATTTGCAGTCAGTACAGTTACCCAGGTGCTGTAACAAAATACAACCTCGAGCCTCTGGTGATTCAAGCATTTCCATTTATGATACTATATTATTAAAGTACTCTGCAAAACTAGGATATAATTTACTTAGTTTGTTAACTTTTGCTGTTTTTATGCCTCTTGATACATCTACCTACTTGTAAAATACAGGCTTGTAAAATATAAAACACATCACAGGTTCAACTATTGGTTCCCAAACTTTTCAGCTCAAAACACACTTAATTAGAGCTTCTTGGCATGGTTAAAGAAGATCTACAGTATATGCCGGTTTGTACTTTGATGAATATATGCTGAGCTGTTGGGACAAGTCCAGGTATGCAGGTAAAAGCTATGATTAGGCGCTAATAGCTAATTAGCTGTTAGAATACAGATACTTGATTTTTTTTTTCTGTAAAGGTATAACTTCTGGGCTTAAATGGCTGTGTAAGAAGTCACACCCACTAGCTGTGTCTAATGTTATATAACTGGAAAATCAGCCAAAATGAGGAGTGCTTTAGTTTACAAACCCCAGTATGAGATGAATATGAAGGTTTTTTTTCTTTTTTGTTCTGTAAATCATGCAGAGATACTCCATAAGAGTCCCAGATGAATGTAATAAAAGGTGAGAACGAGTACAATAGGTCTTCTCTAAGGTGTCCATCAGCAGGGACTTTAAAAATGGAGGAATTTTCCACAGTATTTTTTTTTGGTTTGGTTTTGTTAAAGCCTCGTATGACAAACTTGCCTTATAGTTTTACAGAATGATAGATGATACTTTAATGTACTTACAGGAGGTCCAGGCTCACCAACGGGTCCAAGTTGGCCCTGCAGACAACAGGAAATGACAATTTAACTAGAGTGGAGACAGTCTACAATCTAGATGCGCAAAAACTGTTTTTTGGATGATATTAAGAGTGAAAGAAATATCAAATCTTAAGTTTTTTGCACTTTGCATTGGCTTAATTTTTCAACACCAGAGGGTTAACACCAGGTTGTCCTTATATGTCCCAACAGAAGTATAAACACTTGCCTTTGGTCCAGGGCTCCCAACAGGACCCCGATCGCCTTTTGCTCCAATCAAACCCTGAAAACAGACAGAAAGAGACGTTTTATTTCAACTGATAAACTGAGCATGTAGACAAGACAGGAGATGTGGGTTGAAAGCCAAATTTTCAGTGAGCACTGTGCCTCCCACAGGCTGAGTTCACCTTACAACAGGGCTAATTACACATTTGATTGAATCTGACACTGTTCTGCAAAGTCATTAGGAAACAAAATGCAGATTGAGATTCCAGGCCGGATTATGGGCTAAATCTCTGCGGAATGCATGGGACAGACTCTGGGTATGACCACCAGCAATTTTAGCATGTGACACTAATTTTCCCGAAAACAGACACTGAATAATCACTATCCATCAGTGCAGAATCTTCACCACTGTTATCATCAGGTAAACCAAATACTACATCGCTAAAGAGCTATCAAATCACAGTAAACTGCTGTTTTGTTTTTTTCTCAGCAGCTCCTCCCTTTCAAAAGACTTAGAAGGTTAAGTCAGCAAGGAATAAGAGTTCTTAGCAAGTGTATTAAGCTAATCATGTTGTTGTTTTTTTTATCCGGCACAGCATACTGAGAGTGACTGGAAGGTTCATTGCAACAGACTTATGAGAACCTTTTTTGCTATTAAAATATAAGCCACAGAGTGACTTTCTGGATGTTTAAATTTGAAATAGAGGTTTTAATACCACAAATAGAACAAGCCAAGTGATAACTTTAAACAAAACTGATTAAAACACGAAACGATAACAGTAGTGACTTTTTAACAAATTAAAGATGTAGAACTTTTTCGTAGTTGTATCAATAAAAGTTGTTATCAAAACTCAAAATACCCCTAAAAGGTTGTAATTTAACATTTGTTGTAATTTAATATTATTTGCTGTAAATACTAATCTAAAATACTGTGAAGATTTTAAGGGTATCATCTTTGCACCTTAAGAAAAACAATGTTTGAAAACAATGTTTACTGCTTCTCTTGGAAGCCAAAAAATCCAAATAGCCGGTTATCTCACAGTTGATGCGTTTTTCATGTCTTGCTCAACTCATGTGATATATATGCATTGCCTTGCTTGTACTGGTTCAGAGTTTTTAAATCATTACTCTGCAAAACCACCAGGTGACCTTTAAAGTACCGTCCTCATTACGTCATAAAAAAGTAGTGCCAACTGCCTTTTTATCATTTTCATGTTATTTATGAGACATTTGTGACAAAGTGTAATCGAGCTGCCCAGGATCCTCCTGCTGTGGCTGTGGTATATAATAATGACCTGCAATCAAAACTGCATCTTTCACCTAAAACACCCCTGACAGCTTGATTGACGAGTCAAAATTTATATGCATTGTGTCAAATTGAATTTAAAAATCATCTTCTGCCATCATCTAGCTGAGTATACAGACCCTATACTCAGTATGGGTGCAGCCTTATCAGGGTGGTGTTTGCAGAAAACTGCATCCCAAAAAACAACACATAACTCTAGTTTGGAGTTTGCAAATCACCAGAGACCCGTGGATGAAACTTAATCAAAGAAGTAACCCACAAATGCGTGACAAGTCATCTACTAATGTGAATTGCTAAGCAATTTTATATGATATTGAAGTTGTTTTAAATGTAAAATGAAATAATATTTCACTGTGATTTGTGATTTACGACTGATATTCAGCAATAAATCACATTAAAAAGAGCTGATGGCTCAATAAAACCCTTAAAGTAGATAAATGGCTGTTTACCTCACAGTGTGTTGTCTTCAGAAATCTAAAAACTGCTTCATGAATCATACTTGTTATTCCAGAGAGAATTTTTTCACGTTCCTTTTCATGTTGTCTGTTTCCCCACTTAATCTTATTAAGCTGCTTTGGCATAAACCTGACACACCGCTAAATTGGGGACGCAGCATTTGATGTGATTTCATGAGGATTTGCAAAACAACTTCTCTCTTTGTTTTCGTCTCTCTTTTTTTCATTCTTCCTTTTAAACACACCACAACACAAATCATTAGATTTACTCACATCAATGCCGTTCTCTCCGGGTGCTCCATCAGGACCCGGCTCTCCTGGTTCTCCCTTTTGTCCCTACAGTAAAAGAAAACAGCGTTATAACGGAAAAACTGTTGAGATAAACCGTGGTAGATAAAAGGATTTGTGCTGTAAAATTCAACAAACAACAATGCGGAACAAACTTACTATTGGTCCAGGGGAACCAGGAGGTCCTTTATCTCCCTGCAGAGACACAAAGGGAGAAACATATTTAGATGGTGTTTGGTGCTAATTTAAGCATATGATGATGAGACCTTTGACACAGCAACGGGGCCTTTTAAATCCTCCATGAAGCTCATTGATTTACTCATACCTGTGTTCATTTATTCATTTATTTTATTTTTTAACAACTACTGCTCACTCTACTGGATCTCACAGGGGTAATTGGGCACCAACCCTCTTTTTTAAGGGGGTGCCTAAGGGGTTTCTGTGACAAGTTCTTGCTCGTTGACATAAAAGTTGATAAAATGAGAACTTTTTTTTTTTTTTGCAGTCTAATAAAATGTGGTTTAAGTTACATTTTAATCAAAACTCTGTTGTCCAGGAATCATAAATTTGAATGTACATTTGGAAAAATCTCAAGAAACCCATGAAGCTCATACATTTAAAAACTAGTTATTTTTAGTTTATTCACACTTGATAAATATATATGACTGCATTAATATGATGCAAAAACCCATGTTTAAGCATACAGCCACTGTTATTTTACACCCTGACTTTTCCACTTTTCTTGTAGTAGGGACCCAAGAAAGCTACAGAGTAGGTAAAGGAGGGGGAGGATACACTGTTTGGATCCATTACTGTTTTATTTTGCTTTGCAGTGGGTGGTGTTAGAGCACAAACTTATCCCAGCTGAAATCTGATCACTCCAGCTCTCAAACTGATCAGCCAAAAAGTGAAACTCACGAAACACAACTCCAGATGATGCATGTGAAAAACGTAGGATAGCTTGGATGTACATATCAATCTTAAACAGCTTTATAAATGACAATCTTCTGGACAATGGCACAAAAACCAAAAATCTCCCTTTGCACATGTTTTCTGCAAGTTTGTTTTCTCCCTTTTCATTTCATCCCCACAGCCTCCGTCTTCAACATACTTGTACAACCTGTGTGGAGTTAACCCCCGAAATATCCCAAATGTATCACATTACTGTGACACACACCGAGGACTGAGGGTCCCTTCTGAAAGACCCCTCTCTCTCTGCTGGGAACAGAGCTCTTTTGTACCGCTGTGTTTTCATTTGCAGTTCCCTCTGCTGGTAAGACTCTGGAACTGCAAGTGTTGGTACTCCTCCAGCACAATGATGCTCTTTGTGACATATCTGAGGATACTCACATCAATGCCGTCTGAGCCAGGGGTGCCGGAGGGGCCTGGTGGGCCGGCCTGGCCCTGAGGTCCAGGTGGACCCCTCTGAAACACAAGGAAAGAAATTCAAATACTGACAGGTAACGAAAAACGACAATACAACCCAAAACACCTATGATATTACAACTGTAATATCCTTTTGGAATATGCGTAACAGAGTGACACTGAGCGGGGATTCACTAAAAACAAGGACGCATGATTAATGTTGTTTCATGTTTGGTAATATATGTGAATTTTAGGGTTAATATTTGAAATCTAAATACTTAAATTCTTGGATTTGACCGTTCTTGTCAAGCTCAAATGTGGGTACATAACAGAATGCATACAGTAATATCCAAATGCATGAAATTCTCACAACAAATATCACAAAAATGACTAAAGGTGACGAAAACTGGATTTAGAAAGACTGAAACAACTGCAGCAGAGAGGTAAAACCAAAGGCTCAGAGAGGAATGTGGAAGGAGGGGTCATGAGACTGGCACTGTTTACCCCCACCACCCCCACCTTACCCCAATCCTCCATCCCAATGCCTCCCTTTATTTTCTTCAATTTCATTTTAGCCAGTCTTCAGTCCATCAGGTGATAAAACAAGCTTCAACTTTGAATTGTGTATAGAAATAATAATAAAAAAAGACTAGTCCTTAAAAGTGGAAACTGTAAGTCCATGTAGATAACGAATATGTGTGTGTTTGATCTGTGGCTTTCACACTCAGTGGGCAATGTTTGTGTGTGCACAGTGTGTGTGGTTGTCAGTGTGTCAAAGCCCAGTTGTTTCCAGATTTCCATTTCGCTCATAGCAGCTGGTTTCGCAGACAAAAACTGAAACAATTTCTTAACGTTTTCTTCCATTTTGACAAAAATCCTCTCCGGGGAAAAAAAGGAAGGAAACCCGTAACTCCACGGTGCCATCTTGAAAAAGATAAGAGTCCAAGCACGATAAAGATGATAATCCAAAGAGGATAGTCCAGATTCATTTTCTTTCCACAACAGAAAACCCATTTCAAGCTCATCTTTCTTCTACATGCATGCCACAAACCTAGATGGACAGCACAGATAGAGTGTTTTTTCACTCCACCTGCTGCATTTGGATCACTTCAACCAGCATCAAAACTTATTACACCACCTCAACACATCCACTGGCCTTGTCCTAAGGGCCCTCTTCCCCCATTGAACCCCAGAATAAAGCAGCTAATCCCACGAAGAGCAGGTCTCAGCCTCCTCTCAGTCCACTCACCACTTGGGCCAGAGCCAGGCACAGGGTCTGCAGTATCACCCAGGTCTTCAGCAAGGCAGAGAGAGTAGCCATGGTACCTCTCTCCCCCTGTCCGTCTCTCCTCGGTTCACCAAATCCTCTCTTCTGGCTCCTCTTTCCGCTCCCTTAGTCCTCTCCGGGGCCGGCACGGTGCGGAAAACTGGTGGAGCAGAGCTGTCTGAGAGGCAGGAGCGGTGGGGGGGCGGAGAGGGGGGGGTTGTGTGCACTGCCCCGAAAAATCCACTCAGGAGGAAGGAGAGAGCTGGGGAGGGGAGAGGGTGGAAACGAGGTAGAGGTGAAATTCTCCTCTTTCAGCCGGCCTCTGAAAAATACACTTGTGAAGAACATACATCTAAATATAGCTATCCTTAAAATCCTTAAAACACCAGAAGGGTTTTTACATCTCTCTGCATTCAACAGGCTGTTTCTACCACTGTGATTGGATGATGAACAACTACTTAGCATATTTTTAACAAACTTTAGATCCAAGTGGACCAAGAAGCAGTTAAGCTCCACCCCAAACTGCAGGAGAGGACCAGTGATGAAAACCCAGGTTATGGAGCCAGTCGTGTTCAACAGCCAAACACGGGCCTTTGATTATGTCTCTGCCTTTTCTTGTATCTCTCAGTGCAAATGTGCCTTGGCTTATTTTCCTTGCCCTGAGGCTACCATTTACACACTTGTGCAAATGTGTCGTCACATTTCCCAGGTGAGTATTGTGGTGTACAGATGTAGGAAGCCAGCCAGTTCCTTCGAGGAAACTGCATGTATATGGACTGAATTTGATTTAGATATGAGCTGATGGAGGAAAGGGTAAAAACAAACAAACAAAAAAAAAAAAACATCATTACTCTGCCATAAAGAAAACAAAGATCACCCAAAAGGAGAGCAGATCACCAACCTGACCTCCCAGCTTCAAAAGGCCATTCATTCTAAACCATTACTGACATCTAGTGGTCATTTTACAAACAGCAGCTTTGCTCCCACACTTATCCAGTGTGCTCTTGTAAGGCTGAATAAACAAAACTCACAAATATGTGAAAAAAAAAAAAAACACTTCACAGTGACCCCTATTGTGCAAACATCACACTACACCAGATATAATTGAACCATATGTCCACTAGATGGCAGCAAATACCTATCAATAGGCAGCAGAGCGCAACAGCAGAGCCGCTTGTTGCTATGGAGGAATTCAAAGCTGCAACTTCTCTACTGTATGTTTGTTTCCCACTGGGCTGATGAAGACAGAACTGAGGATGCAGAGAGGTTAAAATATTAATAAATTTAGATGTATTGCACACAACAGGGAATCTCAACAGACTACATTATATGAATTAGATCTTGCTAGGTGGAGATTCCTGCACTGCATGTGTTTTGCACATTATTTAGCAAGCAAGTTTATCTCACTTAAACTTAATTGTTGAATATCATTTAAATTCTTTGCACCAAAAAGAATTAAAATGGATTTTGCCAGATGGACCTTTTTTCTTATTTACGAGATACATCATTCTCATCCAGTGCAATAATGAAAATCAAACGTACAGTTGAGTTTTTATGTATCTATTTATTTATATGACTTAACTTGAGCTTCAGGCTTTTATTTTGAAAGGACAGCTTGAGAACGAGAAATGAGAAGTGTGAGGAGAGGGAGGGGAATGGCATGCACCAAATCATGTCAGGACTAGAAATCAATCATACAGGACCAGAGCGATGAAGATTACACACTCCGTTAATCGGGAACCTGCTGTAACAACTGAGCCACACATGAGCCCAAGCTATGATCTTTATTCAAGTATTTTTTATCAGTTATTTTTCATCTTATTAAGAGTCTTTGCATAACCCCTTTAAACACTGTTGCCTTTTTGTGCCTTCAGACAAAGAAACCAACAACTTTAATGACTTGACTTGTGCTTGCGGCCATTAAAGGTTTTAACTGGTGCTGCAATTCATAGAAATGAATGTAGATCGACTAAATGACAGAGGCATTTTAAATATGAATGCAATGCAAGAGCTATGTTAGGATGTGAAAGATAATCTGGATGAGCCACTTTTTAAAACCATAGTTTTTACTCCTGCAGTTACAGATTGTATTAAGGTACAGCACATAGTAGTTAGCAGCATTTAGCAGAACAGACTTTGTGGCAATGGGAGACAGTATTTATAAGTATGTTTGAAGTAGCATATAAAAGCTGGTATAATGTTTATATTGTTGTTCTTGTGCACAAAATTGTTTATTTGATGGTTTTCGACAGCAAAACCTTGTTGAAGAGAGGCTCCTGCTTGTCATGCATTACTGGGAGCATAGTGCTATATCAAATGTTACCATTGCTGTGTGTGATTTACCAACTAGATGAGCGAGGGTGTGTTTTAATCTTCAACCAAGTTGCAAGGTACACTGTATCTTGAGGTGTTGTGGAGTCAGACTGCGGCAGCTCCTACATCTGTAAAAACATCTCCAGAGTTGGTTCCTTGGACACTTATCTGAAGTATTATCCATCCATCCATCCATCCATTTTCTACTACTTATTCCATTGGGGGGTCGCAGAGGGGCTGCAGCCTATTTCAGCATCTTGGGGCAAAGGCAGGGGACACCCTGAACAAGTCGCCAGTTCATCACAGGGCTGACATTTAGAGACAAACAATCATTTACACTCACATTTGCACCCATGGGCAATTTGAAAGTGGCCAATCAACCTAACCCCGCTCCTGCATGTTTTGGGGAAGTGGGAGGGAAGTAGAGAACCCTTAGTAAAGTAAAGGGAGAACATGCAAACTCCACACAGAAATGCCTGAATTTGAACCCAGAACCTTTGTGCTGTGAGGCAACAGTGCTAGCCACTACACCACTGTGCTGCCCCCCTGAGTGTTACATTTTAGATTTTTACAATGACAAAAGTAAAGGAAGGACAAAAGGTTGTTTGTTTGGAAATCTTTAAATGCTGTCAAGTGATTGCTGGCGAAGCTGTAAGCTAGCTACTAGCACTATGACTCGGTATATATATATATATATTTTTAAAGTGTGGTCCTTCTCTGTGCTTGTATTTATTGATTTTTATGTCTACGGTAAAGATTGTCAATCCTTTAACAGATGTCAGGTAAAGTTGTGCTTTGTTCTTATTGAAGAACTTTCAGCCATTCATTTGCGCACACACTTTGAATATACATAAGCAACTCATTGCAAGGGCAGTATACACTCACCGGCCACTTTATTAGGTACACCATGCTAGTAACGGGTTGGACCCCCTTTTGCCTTCAGAACTGCCTCAATTCTTCGTGGCATAGATTCAACAAGGTGCTGGAAGCATTCCTCAGAGAGCTTGGTCCACACTGACATGATGGCATCACACAGTTGCCGCAGATTTGTCGGCTGCACATCCATGATGCGAATCTCCCGTTCCACCACATCCCAAAGATGCTCTATTGGATTGAGATCTGGTGACTGTGGAGGCCATTTGAGTACAGTGAACTCATTGTCATGTTCAAGAAACCAGTCTGAGATGATTCCAGCTTTATGACATGGCGCATTATCCTGCTGAAAGTAGCCATCAGAAGTTGGGTACATTGTGGTCATAAAGGGATGGACATGGTCAGCAACAATACTCAGGTAGGCTGTGGCGTTGCAATGATGCTCAATTGGTACCAAGGGGCCCAAAGAGTGCCAAGAAAATATTCCCCACACCATGACACCACCACCACCAGCCTGAACCGTTGATACAAGGCAGGATGGATCCATGCTTTCATGTTGTTGACGCCAAATTCTGACCCTACCATCCGAATGTCGCAGCAGAAATCGAGACTCATCAGACCAGGCAACGTTTTTCCAATCTTCTATTGTCCAATTTCGATGAGCTTGTGCAAATTGTAGCCTCAGTTTCCTGTTCTTAGCTGAAAGGAGTGGGACCCGGCGTGGTCTTCTGCTGCTGTAGCCCATCTGCCTCAAAGTTCGACGTACTGTGTGTTCAGAGATGCTCTTCTGCCTACCTTGGTTGTAACGGGTGGTTATTTGAGTCACTGTTGCCTTTCTATCAGCTCGAACCAGTCTGGCCATTCTCCTCTGACCTCTGGCATCAACAAGGCATTTCCGCCCACAGAACTGCCGCTCACTGGATATTTTTTCTTTTTCGGACCATTCTCTGTAAACCCTAGAGATGGTTGTGCGTGAAAATCCCAGTAGATCAGCAGTTTCTGAAATACTCAGACCAGCCCTTCTGGCACCAACAACCATGCCACGTTCAAAGTCACTCAAATCACCTTTCTTCCCCATACTGATGCTCGGTTTGAACTGCAGGAGATTGTCTTGACCATGTCTACATGCCTAAATGCACTAAGTTGCCGCCATGTGATTGGCTGATTAGAAATTAAGTGTTAACGAGCAGTTGGACAGGTGTACCTAATAAAGTGGCCGGTGAGTGTATTAGGCAGTGCTCATTTTCTGTTGCTTAACTTAGTGATTATGCTGTACATAAAATCAGACTCTTGCATGTGAAAAGATTTATGCTCTGGGCAAGTGTATTCACACCAAAGTGGTATTTTGAACCATAAACAGCTCTGAAGTCTTCAAATTCATTATGCTCCGGTGAACTGTGAAGCCTTCACCTCAGAGCTGCTTCTGCCGCAAGTGTTTTCAAATGTGGCACTGTCAGCAGCTTGTGTAAATCCATGTGACGAAACCGCGTCTTCTTGGAACCCTTATGAGTCACTTCCTGCAGGCAGTTTAAAATTGCAACATCAAGGAAGGGCTTGGATAAGACCCCATTAGCCCTTTAAAGCAGTTTAATGTAAGATGCGAGCTGATGTAAGAGAGATAAAAAGCTTGAGTGGGTTTTAGAGCTTTATGCTGGAGGAGACGGACAAACTGTTTGCCATTGTGTTCAGCCTTTATGCTAAGCTAAGCTAACTGACTGCAACTTGGCTCCATCCTCACAAAAACACAATCATTTTCAATCCTTTCATCTTCCTCCTGGCATAAAAAAACAAGCAATTTCCAAAATGTTGAAAACTGCCTTTGAACAGTTCTATCAGGTCACATTAGAGGATAAATAGTCCTTCAGGTAGCTGTCAGACACACACGCCTGCTAAGCCTGGCTTACCAGTGCTGCTGTAAAAATCTGCCACAGTGCACTGATCTTGTTTGATTTAGCATTTTCGTATCAAAATCCCAGACATAAAACCGTATGATAAAATGTGAGAGTACAA